TATTGCGCGCAACCGTCGTTTGGCGATCAGCAAAATTACAATCGATAGAGAATCTCTTAATACTTACACACACGACGAAACGAATACATATGAGCTCTCTCTCTCTCTCTCTCTCTCCCCCCTCCCCTTCTCTCCCTGTTATTTTCATCGCCGACCACTGACGATTATACGCACACACCCACGCACAGACGCGCTCACGCGCTCGACTCGCGTCTCTATTGTTATAAATATGTACGGCCCTTTCAAAATTTCCATTTTTGGCATCGCTCGCGCGCCCGTAAGCGGGCCTCATCCGCCCACGCGCGGACACAATCCCGCCCAATGTTTTTCGCAGCCGAATTTAAATCGAGTACATGCACGCGTACACACACACACACACACACACACACACACACACACACACACGCATAGACACATGCGTACTCTTTCTCGTCCCTCTTCTTCTTTCTCTCTTTCTTCCTCGTGGACGGCAATATAAAACGTAGCTTTATTACAAACCGTGCGACACGCGAGGATCCTGAGTATCTAAAACTTTGAACGAGACACACACGCGACTTACACGGCTCCGTTCTCGTAAACATCGTCCGCCACCACTGCCCGATACGCTGATTAAACGTCTCTTCTTTTTACTCCGACTTTTACTTGGACAACCGTTTCCGTTTACGAGGATAATGACGGGGCATTCTCGCGGCGTGATGAAACCGAGTTCCTCTCGGCGCGATTTATGCATATCGTAAAATATACAATATTTCGCGCACGACGGCGGTACGCACCACGTGAGCGATGCACAAGTTCGAGAATTAAAAGTTTTGTGCTTTCTTTCTTTTTCTCCTTCTCTCCTTTTTCTTACTTTAGCCTTACGAAAGGAAGTGAACGCACTCGCGGCAAGACGCCTCCGATGAAGTAAAGAAGGACCACTGACCGATTGAGACCGAACGAGAAAAGACGTTCGAGGACTATTGTCATGGCTCCTTTCGCGTCTTCTCCTTCTCTTTTTCCGCTTTTCTCTTACAGAGCGCGATCCCGAGCTTGCGACGAGTAATCTCACGGCACGGAAATTCGCGAAAAGTTGATTCACGCGACTCGACGTTTCCAGTTAACGTTGACTAACTTCATTAGCGTGTTTGTATCCAAGAGGCCGTTGGGACGCGTGGTTTTTCCGATTGCGTAATAAGAAAAGAAGAAAAAGGCAAAAGGAAAGATTTAACCCGATCATGCAGTATTTCTCTCTATATCGATTCACATGTATAAATATCTATGCGGCACGTGTGTGTTGTTTAATAGAAATATTATTTTATATTCAAGGCAAGTAATTTATCTTCCTCGCTATCAGAATGTTGCGCATTTACACTTTATCTACATATACATATACATATACTATATACATACATACATATACATATATATATTAGAGATGTGCGAACTAATTCGAATCGAATCGAATCTAATGTAATTCGAATCCGAATCCCTATGATTCGAATCCGAATAATTCGAAAATTTCGAATCGTGAAAATTCGAATACGAATCAAATACATTAGCGTTTGCGCGCATTAACTACAAAACGGGTCATCTGGGCCTGTATGTTTGAACCCTTAACTTAACGTAATTAACTTAACTTATAATTAATAACTTAATTATAAATTACTTAAAAAATTTAAATACAGTATATTTTACTTTAAGATGATATTACAATATTAATATTCCCTTTCATATTAAAATCTGCCATCGTTATTTGCATGTTTAATAGTCATGTTACACTTTTTAATGATTCGATTCGATTCGAATTCGAATGAAATTTCATAGACTCGATTCAAATTCGATTTAATGATTCGATTCGATTCGACATAAAAATTCTTGATTCGCACATCTCTAATATATACATACATACATTATATATATATATATATATATATATATATATGTATATATATATATATATACTCTTATGTTTATTATTATCTTCATGTTTTTTCTCTCTCCCGAATGCAACGCAGAGAAAGATAGCAGCGCGAGCATTGAGCATGCATTTAGACTCTCACGTTTCGATCGGTCAACTGAATTTTACACGAGATATAAGCTCCGCATATAATAACGCTCCCTTTATGCGCTTAATATGAATGCATTAACTTTTACCATCGTGCGTTATGCAAGGCATTATGGGTCACTGCTTATATATTCGTCATTGAGTAATAGCTATTAACGTAATAGCAATTACGGAAACGGACGAATGAATTATTTATTAGATTTAGCTTCTCTCCGTATTGGGGCCGATCTCCTTGCCAGGCAACATTCGGCGGATGATCACGATGAGGATCGCGATACCCGCGACAAAACCGTAACGCGACAATTAATCGTACATGGTAAAACGTGTTTGTTACGTGCGGCATCTGTTTTCACGCGTGATGAAAAATCGTGACAGAAATAGAACGTCCTTGCATTGTGTAAAGCGAAAAAATCGAAAGAGAGAGAGAGAGAGAGAAAAAGAATATGAGAGAAGTCGTGCCGTTCACACCCGCGCGAAAGCTTCCCGATATTTTCCCAGAAATAACATACACGCTCCGGTCGGAGAGAGAGTGTCCAAATTTTTCCCAAAATAAATTATCCTACTATGACGTCAATTATCGTGTATATCGTGGAAACTCGTCCGTTTTTAACAGATAAAGTCAATGTGTTTTAATGGAATTACAGTAATAATAATTAATTGATTAATCAAGAGGTATAAATCGGTAATAATAAATCGGCATGTTATTACATGGGTCGAAATTACGGTATTAATTAATTTACTCATGATTAGTGTGGAAAATCCTTTTTCACACACACCAATCACGGAATCCGATAAAATAAAGAGAATACATAAAACATTTCGATCATTTACAATTTTTAATATTTATAATTCCTGAATATTTATATTCTTTTACATATTTTGAATTATAAAACGTATACACTTAAAGTGTATCATATGAGCTTCGTTGACAACGTAAAACCGAAACCAGAGAAAATCTTCAGCGTCGAAAGACGTTTTGAGACGCAGATCAAGTGAAGTGTGCTTGGATTTTCCATTCGGGATCGCGTGTTTAAAATCTTACGCCTCCTGATTAGTTTTTCCGACCGGAGTCGGCAATTTTTCGGGAAAATCCGGAAATCGCGCAAAATCCTACGAAATTTGTTTCAATCGTTGTGAGATAATTCGAGGTAATACTCAGCGCGGTCGCAATCGGGACTCTTACTTGCTGTGATTTGCGTTCTCGACCGCTTCGATGCGGTATTTGTGCCAGTACAGCGAATACACATAACATATAATCGCGAGTCTGCAGGCTCGCATGAGGGAAAAGTGCTCGAGAAAAGCGTAACGAATAGTACAACGAACGGGTGGAAAAACCGGTGTGGACCAGTGGAGCTGCGTGCAGCGGTAAGAATATTTCGCGAATGTAACGAGAAGATGGCTTGCGCGCGCGCGCAAATTACTTATTATATTATTGCATAATCAACATACGGATTACAATGCAGCTGCATGTGCCGCGCGTTAAACACGAGGAAGGTGCGAAGAGGTCACAACGTTTGCGTAAAGCATGAGGAATAATCCATATCGAGAGAGAGAGAGAGAGAGAGAGACCTTTCAACACATAACAGAAATTTATGCGCGTACACACAGAAGTGCTCTCTTAACCGTTTGAGTCACGCAATTAAGTGAGTGGTCGAATTCTCATAAAAAATCATGATTCTATACGGTTTTAGAGTCGCTGATTTCGAATCTGCCATCAGAATTTCGAAAAAATGCGATCCAAGATGGAAGACTTGAATATGGCGGCTTGAAAGGATATTTAGTTGACGACGTTGTATTATAACACAATCGTCTGAAGTCATAAAAATTGTGTGTGAAATGAGCATATATTTCCAAAAAAAACATGCTTACTATATACGGATGATTGTTACTTAGGAATAAATACACACTTATTTCACTGAGAAGACTGAATTCCTAGGTGAATTCTAATAGCAAATTCGTGTTTAGCACATCCAAGTTTATATAGAAACATATGTCGCTTCCTTTGCAAAGAAAAATCATCATTTGTCGGAATAATAATAAATAAATTATTTATAGCAAAATATTCGACAAATTTTCGAACTATTTGTGATTAATTCAAGACTATGAATGTAAAGAGAAAAACGTTGACAATTATCGAATTCCAATGCTATTCCACAATTTTTGTGTTTTTTTTTCAATATTTTGATGAGTTCATATCATGAAAAATACTATATAACACTATATATACTATATATACAATATAACAAAAATGTATCAACGGATTCGTAAGCGATTTAAAAAGAATAAATATAATATAGAAAACTGTTTTGTAGAAAAACAATACTTAAAATATCCACTTTTCAGCGTAATTCTACAAATTTCTGAAATTTAGCTTCAATATTTTGTTCATAACAAAAAGAATACTTTATCTTACCAAATTCTGTTAGCGGATTAGTAATCAGCGACCTCAAAAACATAACTTTAGGTGAAAGAAACGGTATGTTTATAGGGGATTCTTTTTCAGAAACGAATTTATTCTAAAAAATAATTTTTTTCATCTTAATTTGTTTATAACAAAGAAAATATAAACAATATTGATGAAATCAATGAACATTTATCACAATTAAATATTCAAATAGTGGATAAGCAAAAAAGAATCATTAAAATTGATGAATTCTATGAATCGAACATGAATGAATATACAATCGAAAAATAAAGAAAATATAACACGAGTCCCTGTGACGCAAAAGGTTAAACGACAGACTACGCAGATCCCCCTCATTACACTTCAACGCTAATCGTGAGCCATGACGTTATTTCCCTCTGGTGTACAGAAAGGTCTGATATATTCGCGCGTCGACTTTTTCAAGCGGCGACTTGAGGAAAGAGAAGGAAATGTCGAGTTGCGAAAATTCAATGTAACGAATTTTTAAACATGCATCGAATCGTATGAGATCTCCGTATATTAAATCAATTAAGCCATTAAATCGGGAATATCAAGAATAAAAATGAGTCACTTCTGATGCGATCGTAAGAATATACTCAAAGTAAACGACTCGACGCTAGAAGCTCTAGCTTCAAAATTGCTCAACGGACGATATAACGAAGCAAGACAACAATCGACTATGTTGCCTTCGAGTTATGTTGCCTCCAACCTGAACGCGAGCGAAAAGATAACTTGAATAGCCTCTGGTAATTTTGCTGTCCTCCGAATGAGCAACTACGGAAACTCCAAACGCAAATCCACATATTTAATACATCACCATGAATTATTTGGCGTCCGAATTATCTTAGGCGATAACGATCTGAAAACCTATGTAAACCTAATGCGAAGTGTCCCTAGAGAGAGAGAAACTAATGACAGTCGAAGAAACGCGTTGCGAGCTTCTTTTCAAATAATACAGTCGAAAATCAACGGCGCGATAGAAGCACGCGGTGCTCATTTGTGCTTTCGTCGTAATGAACCAAAGACAGTCTATCAACATAATACTATATGAGTCTCTTATATCAGACTTCTGGCCTGTACAAAAGTCAATAACTGGCGGAGGTAAATGTAGCGAAGGCGATACATTGCATCTCACCCGAGTCATCTTATTTTGCCGGATTCGCATAAATATAGCTTATTTGTGCACCAGCAGCCAGTGTGACCTTCGTTGACGAAAATGGGCCGTCAAATATTAACGATTAATTAATAGTGTGTGTAACGGTGATCGATAAAAACCGCGACTATAATCAAAAATTATTTCATAATTTCACTCCGTTCTCAGTCATGTTTGGCGATATTTTATGCGATCTAACGATCGTATCGATTGTTTTTAATTCTTCTCTTCCCTCGCACCATACAGTTTGTTACTTTTTGTCTCGCGTAAGACGTGAAATGATGCGCACAATATACTATCCCGTCTCTATCGATTACGCAAACAATTCGTAATAATATCGCTCCCCCTAAGTATGTCTAGCGTAGAAAAACGGGAGGGTTCGAGTCACGAAAGGACACACATTTAATGTGCTCGATCATAGAAAATGTGATAAATCGTGTGACGAGGGAACGTCCCGACTACGAGAGAACGGAAAAGCCCCTGACTGATGTGACGAAAATAAATACGCTTAAAGCTATACAAACGGCTACGTGAAAAGTGAGCTCGATACAAGGTGAGTTTTCGATATACGAAATCATTATAGTCATTTCATGACAAAGATCTCGCGGAGAAGTAAAAAACTCCTCTAATATTATGCGTCGTCCAATAAAAAACGCTCAATTCCATATTATTTTTTTTTCGATGGTAGAAAATTGATGTGTACGCGTGGCTAGAGACGTAGTCTCGATTTGTCATACGAGAGGATGAACAATCAAGGTCTCTAATTCGTTTTCTTCTTTTCTCTATTTCCCCCTCCCCCCCGGACTACCGATCAAATTAATCCAGTCAATCAGACTAAAGAAAGAAATCTCTAATCTCATTCTCGCGCGGTTGTACAGGCGCCGTAACTTTCGCGATTTTCCTTTTTCTCCTCCTGCTTTGCATTGGCACGCCTTCTGCGATGTCTACTTTCCATGTAGATTTTACGTTCGCGAAATACAGAAAAATATATTCCATAGTAGCACTGATCGTGGTACTACCGTGGTAACATGGAACAGAAGGTAAAAAACAGTCATAGATACCTATATATGTACTGGAGAAGAAGAGAATCGTTCTTTCCAAAGGATCTGCCGAAAGTTCAACGCGACGCGACAAGGACGCACTCTCTCAATCTCTCTCTCGAGGAAGTAATAGAGGCGTTGCGCGATTTTGGCTCGGCAACAACGTGGTCCTTGATCTCTGCGCGCGAGTTACACGTACACCTTCCATCCTTCCACGAGACTTACAAAATGTTACATTTTCTCGAGAGCCGTCGTTTCCTTTGATTCTTCTTCAATTCGTTTGGCGGTTGGTTTCTGATAGTGCGAATGACCTGGAAACAGACAGCTCGTGTCAATACAAACGATAGAAACAACGCGTAGCATGGCAGGTCTTGACAAATTCGTTGTTTGTCTTTCCTCACCTCGTGAAATGCGATGTCCACGTTTAATGGTGGATCTTTGGCAGAAGTTTCGATATAAGATATGCCCAGACGATAAGCCAATTCTCTTCCTTGTTCCTCTGTGACCTTCCTTAGATGTACCAGATCGACTTTATTGGCCACCAACAGCATAGGGTACACGTCCCTGTCCTTCACTCGTAGGATTTGAGTATAAAAATTGACGATATTTTGATACGACTGCTTGTCGGTCACAGAGTATACCAAAAGGAATCCGTCGCCTGTCCGCATGTACTGCTCGCGCATGGCACTAAATTCCTCCTGACCAGCTGTATCCAACACTACAAAGAAACACGAATACAGAAAAGTAAGTATTATTTGAAGAAAAGAACTGGCTGATGATAGAAGGATTTTAGTTGCTCTCTAAATTTTGAGATGAAATTTCACTCAGAAAATAAAGAGACATCTGAATCATTTGAATTCAAACAATTCTTCTCTCAAATAGGATAAATCTTCCATTGAATATTTTTATTCGAAATTAAAGAATATATCCAATGTACTTTACTGTTTTATAAGTATATATTTATCTTAATTAATTAAAATATTCATTCATATAGATTAAAAATCCATTCCAAGTTGGAATTAAATATTCGCTCCTCTGATACTAAATAATAATGTTTTCACTATCGCTTTGAGTGAATTCTCACTTGTTTGAGTAAGACTTGTACCCTAGAAATTTAAAGAGCGAGTGAACAAATAGATAATTTGTAGGAAGTAGATTTACCATCCAGAATGCACCACTGTTCGTCCACCTCTGTGTGTTGGATGTAACTATCCTCAATGGTCGGATCATAGTCAGCGACAAACAGTTTCTGAAAGTACTGTATAGTAAGGGCGCTCTTGCCAACCCCTCCATCTCCAACAACGACCAGCTTAAAGGTCATGAGGTTGTCATTGTTAGGAGGACGTGTCATTCCGCCTTTGAATCGCCTGTTCCTTCGCTCGCTATTTTTCCTGCGTCTACCTATCCTGCCAAATGTCTAATGTACCCTTGGCAGTGTAACCGCTACTGAGATAGCAAGTTGTTTCGTCGACACGACAAGTATCCTATGACATTCATGTAATATCCATTAGAATTCGTTGCACAATAAAAATGCGCAAGAGTTATCAATGGGAGCATCGGTATTTGTATAAAAAGAATTACGGACGAAATCACACGACGAAAAGGCATTGTCGACTGCGCGTGTGACAACATAAGAGCAAATTTCCGTTATCCGCTACGTCGATGCACTCATCGTTCCACGATCATTCATTCACGACAATTGACGCGGGACTATAATTAATTGTTCCATATGGCGAACAATCTTTCTAATGAACAGTTAAATCTCACCTTACATGATCCGCCACTCCTGCTTCTCGTGTTGGCAGCTGTCAGTCTGCGTACCGTGCGCACATACACACAAATGTGTGCGTGGGTAGTGTTTCGCACAACTGCGTTGTATAGGTGCGTGTACATGCATGTATATTTTTGCAATTACACGCACACAACGAACGCATACGCAAGTCGATGTAAAATATGCTGTAATACGCTGCAAACGAAGTGATATTAATATCGGGGAAAAAAGATCAGGCACGGAGAGAATAAAATGTTCAATACGTTAAGATGCTAAGAACGGAATTTATTTTAAATGTCTATTTAAAATAATATAGCGGATGCACAATTATTTATTCTCCTGATCAACTGTAGAATTTTATTAGCGAAAATAAAATAGATTGTCCGATCAGTCGTTGTCCGCTCAGTCGTTGAGTCATATCACTTGGAATATGTAAAGCATAGATTTTTCGTTAAAAAAATATTATACATTGTTAAAGAGATATAAGCCCAGACAACATACGGATATCCATTGGACGTCCGTTATATGTCCATTTTTTCTTCAAAATACGTCTATAAGATGTACGTTTGTCATAACTCCGGACATAGGACGTCCTACAGGTCCGATGTCCAAATAAAGGACATCCTTTTGTTACGTCCAATTTATGTCCACGGCCGTAAATTGGACATACGGACATAAATTGGACGTGAAACGTAAATCCATTGGATGTCCGGTGCTGTCTGGGAGTCGACCAATTGTCTATCGAGTTTTTATTTAATAATAATATGTCGGCTCATCCATTGTTCCATCGTATTGCTTAAAAATAAAAATCCGTCTGCCTTGCCGTTGAGTCATACCATATGCTCGTTTTTCTTTTTATTGAACAATAAAGGTCTATATAAAAGACATATAGTGCCGAGCCTATTTGGCACTAATTGTTTGACATATTATATATTATAATTTCATATTTTGTACAATGTGTATGCTTAAAAAATAAGGGGTATGTGCTCAATCCTTCGTTTAGGATGGTGGCGGCTCGTAGCGGAAACTTTGGAACTAATAAAAATAATGAGATAATTATAAAACGTGGTCTACAATGACAGTAAGCAGTAATGGAGGATTCACACTGCGCTCGATGTTCGATGTACGACGTCTGACATCCAATAGGAGAGTAGCTTTTCAATGGAGAATTCAATTCTCCATCGAAAATGCTGTTCTCCTATTGGATGTCGGACGTCGTACGTCGAACATCAGACGCAGTGTGAATCCTCCATAAGAAGTAAGCGTAAAGGCTTGTCTACAATAGCTGTAAAGGTCATTCTACAATACGCGTTGTAAATTGTAAGCCGTAAGAACTGACCAATTATAGCCGATTATTTTTGTAATAATAGACTGTGATTCGTCAATTCTTACGGCTTAGAATTTACGACACGTATTGTGGAATGACCTTAAGAGTTAGGGCCAGAGCACAGACTTCTGCATAACGCATAATACACAACACATAAAGGTCATTCTACAATACGCGTCGTAAGTTGTAAGCTGTAAGAATTGGCGAATCACAGTCGATTATTACAAAAATAATCGGCTATAATTGGTTAGTTCTTACGACTTACAACTTACGACACGTATTGTAGAATGACCTTAAGAGAATCAACCAATCAGAGTTCTTCATTTTTGTTCTGAGGAGGAAAATGAAGAACTCTGATTGGTTGATTCTCTTATGCGTTGTGCATTATGCGTTATGCAGAAGTCTGTGGCCCTAAAGGTCATTCTACAATGAGGTTGTAGTAGTATGCAGTAGAGAGTAGGTTGTAGGACGCAAGGCGTAGCGCGATTTCTTGAGGCCCATCTACAATGGCTGCAAGAATAAGGTTGTAAGCATAAGCAGTAAAGCCAACGGCACACGGTGCTTGTTTTCGTGCTGGATTGCTTGCTGGATGAAAATACTGCGTTCTGATTGGTGCATTTCCATCCATCTTCGAAAAAGTACCAATCAGAACGCAGTATTTTTATACAGCAAGCAATCCAGCACAAAAACAAGCACCGTGTGCCGCTGGATTTAGACAAATTTAGACGCGCATGCGCGCACACGGAGAAGTGTGATTGGTTATCTACTACGCCGTATGACGTATTCAATTCAATAGATGGCTCTGGGTATGTAAGCCACTGCTCCGACTCCACTCTCTGGTCAATGCCCTATGACGTATTTACGAAACCTGATTGTAGATGAGCCTGGTTATAAGAAATCGCGCTACGCCTTGCGTCCTACAACCTACTCTCTACTGCATACTACTACAATCTCATTGTAGAATGACCTTTACAGCTTTACTCTTACAGCTAATGTAGACGAGCCTTAAAAGCGTGGTCTACAAAGGCAATAAGCAGTAAGAAGTAAGCATAAGCGGTAAGAAATAAACCAATCACAGTCGATTATGACAAAAATAATGAACTGTGGTTGGTCCATTTCTTACTGTTCACGCTTTCTTCTTACTGCTTAAGGCCATTGCACGTATAAAAGTTTTAGTCATAACCGTAAGTCCGTAAGCAAATTGACCAATCACAATTCGTATATTTCGAGATGCTGGATTGTGATTGGTCAATTTGCTTACGGTCTTACGGTTACGACTAAAATTTGTTTACGTGCAATGGCCTTAAAGGTGCCAATACATGGGAGCGTCGAGCGTCGAGCGTCAAAGCGTCCAACTAATCAGTTTTTCATTTCTTATTTCACAGATAAAAATAAGGAACTTTGATTGGTTGGACGCTTTGACGCTCGACGCTCGACGTTCCCATGTATTGGCACCTTTACGGTCATTGTAGACCACGCTAAAAACGTGGTCTACAATGACAATAAGCAGTAAGAAGTAAGCGTAAGCGGTAAGAAATAAACCAATCATAGTTGATTATGACAAAAATAATCAACTGCAGTTAGTCCATTTCTTACTGTTCACGCTTACTTCTTACTGCTTGCGGCCATTGTAGACCACGCTAAAGGCCATCACACAAAGAAATTAACGTAAGCAGTAAGCAAATCGACCAATCACAATCGAAATTTAAGGACGCCATTTTAAAACTTACGAGAATAATTGATTGTGATTGGTCAGTTTCTTTATTGCTTACGCTTACTGCTTACGTTCATTTGTGTATGATGGGACAAGAGCACAGGCTTTTGCATAACACATAATACATAACGCATAAGAGAATAAACCAATTAGTTTTTTTCATTTCCCTCCTCAGTGGTACGATTCTGTAACTCGTTATTGGAGTTAACGACAGTTTCGTTATTGTTGCGCAGCTTTTCTACGGTATACAAAAGCTGCGCAACGATAACGAAAGTGTCGTTAACTCCAATAACAGGACAGAAATGAAGAACTCTGATTGATTCTCTTATGCGTTATGCAGAAGTCTGTGCTCTGGCCCTTAAGGCTCGTCTACATTAGCTGTAAAGGCTCATCTACATTAGCTGTAAGAGTAATACCTCGTCTACAATAGAAGTCATAGAGTCGTAAGACGTACAAATTGACCAATCGCGGTCGATTATTTTTCTCTTACCGGACTATGATTGGTCAATTTCTACGATTTACGACTCTACGACTTCTATTGTAGACGAGGTATAAGGCTGTAAGGTTGTAAAACACGAAATGAAATATTTTCATTCGCTGACAGCTTACGTTACAGCCTTACAGCCTTAGGGCCAGAGCACAGACTTCCGCATAACGCATAATACACAACGCATAAAAGACCAATCAACCAATCAGAGTTCTTCATTTCTGTCCTGAGGAGGGAAATGAAGAAAACTAATTGGTTTATTCTCTAAAGCCTGCGGCACACGGTGCTTGTTTTCGTGCTGGATTGCTTGCTGGATGAAAATATTGCGTTGTGATTGGTATATTTCCGAAGATGGATGGAAATGCACCAATCGTAACGCAGTATTTTCATCCAGCAAGCAATCCAGCACGAAAACAAGCACCGTGTGCCGCTGGCTTTATGCGTTATGTATTATGTGTTATGCAAAAGCTCTTGCCTATACTCTTAAGCGTAGTCTACAATGGCCGTAAGCAGTAAGAAGAAAGCGTGAACAGTAAGAAATGGACCAACCACAGTTGATTATTTTTGTCATAATTGACTGTGATTGGTTTATTTCTTACCGCTTTCTTACGCTTACTTTTTACTGCTTGCTGCCATTGTAGACGACGCTTTAGACGAGCCTTCAAAGGTCATTCTATAATACGTGTCATAAGTTGTAAGCTGTAAGAATTGGCGAATCACAGTCAATTATTACAAAAATAATCGGTTATAATTGGTCAGTTCTTACGGTTTACAACTTACGACATGTATTGTAGAATGATCTTCATAGGTCATTTAAGCCTGGTCTACAATACGTGTCGTAAGTTATAAGCTATAAGAATTGGCGAATCACAGTCGATAATTACAAAAATAATCAGCTATAATTGGTTAGTTCTTACGGCTTACAGCTTACAACACATATTGTAGACCAGGCCTTAGCTGAATATTTAGCCGAGACTCGAACCACATTTAGCTGAGCTCGAATTAATAGAGCAGTCAGTTTGTTTTTAAATAACGGATCTAAAAACATTGACCCGTTATTTGCGTGTATGTAGGGTCAAATAACAGTCTTAATTTAGCTGAGACTCAAACCATATTTTAATCGAGACTCGATCTACAGTACAGATTGTTCAAATAAGGCCCAGTTGCACCAACATTATTTTATTTTGGTTTTAAGTGAGACAGAGATATATCTGTATTTATTTAGTAGGAAAGATAAAGATAGCCTAAGAGATATAAGAAACAGACTCCTTATTTTACATTATTTACATTATTTAATATTAAGTGCTATTTAATATTTAATAAATCGGAAATACTATTTGTAACAACTTTAATAATATCAAATAAAAAAGTTATTGTTTAGTAAACAATAATCAATTTTGTAAGATAATAATGGATGAATGGTGTGTGACCTTATCCCTAGTAGTACAAGTCAATGGTTGCGTTCAGAAAACAAAGCGCTCACTGAGCGCTTAGTAACTATTGGTCCTTACTGTTATACCTCTATACAATAGAAGTCAAAGGGTCCGTTCCGTTTCACGCATCGAGCGCATTAACTGCATCGAGAACCGTTCCGTTTCAGCTAATGCGTGCATTGGTGGCGTATAGAATTCCCTGGAATCCCCCCACCTCTATCGCATTAAGCGCACATCAGCTACTACAGCTCGGACTAGAAGCAGTTGATGCGGGCATGCGCAGATTAGTATTTATAATCTTTTATATAACCCTATTTAAATACTGACAACGTGACGTGACGACTGATATATTTAACGTACCGATATTTTTTTATTTTAAACATACAGATAATCACAGATACGTACAATGAACAAAGTCGACAAAGTTGAATTCCCCGTATTAATAGATAACGAAATAATCACTATGTTTCTCGAAAAAGAGATCGCGTTAAGAGCATCGAAAGGTAAAATTGAAATTTTAAAATTTTAGAAACAATTCAATTGTATTTTTAAATTAATGCATGTGTGTGAATATTTTTCTACAGATCAAGATTTCTTGATAAAATATAGACTCACTACTACTACTGCTACTACTGCTGCTATTTCTGTTGTCATCATTCACTAATGAAAATAAGGCTATTGTTGTCAATGTTTCGATGTCCATTGTGACCATGGTAGCATAGAGCGCAGCGAACGATTTTAAGGTAAAACATACGTTATACTCTGAACTAGCGAAGCACATATTGCCCATGGCCGGAGACACAAAAGTAGGATTATCGTTACCCGAATACAACGCTATTAATCCGTTGATTTCTTCGATGATGTGCCGTAGTTTGTAATAGGCGTCCAACGGCGCCTCCTTTTTCCTTTCACATCAAACGCATCAAAAGTCGTTCCGTTTCTAAAAGCACATAGGCGCATTAACGAAAACGGAACAATATCATTGCGCGTAACGCATTGGTTGCGATCGATGCGCTCGATGCGTGAAACGGAACGCAGCCATAGAGTCGTAAGTCGTACAAATTGACCAATCGCTGTCGATTATTTTTCTCTTACCGGACTATGATTAGTCAATTTCTACGACTTACGACTCTACGACTTTTATTGTAGACGAGGTATTAGATCCTTACATTAAAGGTCATTCTACAATACGTGTCATAAGTTGTAAGCCGTAAGAATTGGCGAATCACAGTCGATTATTACAAAAATAATCGGCTATAATTGGTCAGTTCTTACGGCTTACAACTTACGACACGTATTGTAAGGCTCGTCTACATTAGCTGTAAGAATAAGGCTGTAAGGTTGCAAGACACGAAATGAAATATTTTCATTCGCTGACAGCTTACGTTACAGCCTTACAGCCTTACTCTTACAGCTATTGTAGACGAGCCTTTAGAATGACCTTCAGACCAATAAAGGCCATCATAGAAAAATTTTAACCGTAACCGTAAGGTTGTAAGAAAATTGACCAATTACAGTCGATTCATTCTCTTGTGACATTATAATAATCGACTGTGATTGGTCAGTTTTCTTACAACCTTACGGTTACGGTTAAAATTTGTCTACGTGTAATGGCCCTAAAGGCTCGTCTACAATAGCTGTAAGAGTAAGGCTGTAAGGCTGTAACGTAAGCTGTCAGCGAATGAAAATATTTCATTTCGTGCCTTGCAACCTTACAGCCTTACTCTTACAGCTAATGTAGACGAGCCTTAACGTTGACGAATTAAGCTAAGACTCCATGCATGCGGTGAACTGCGGCAAACGGTTGCGGTGACCAATCAGGAGGGAGGCGCAAGTCCGGTTGCGGCAAGCTCCGGCATGCGTCTGTCTCCTGATTGGTCACCGCAGCCGTTTGCCGGAGCTCACCGCATGCATGGAGTCTTAGCTTTAGCTTTATTCAACCGTTGTGTAACCGTTGTGTTTTCTGAACGCAACCATTGGTTGCGTTTAGAAAACAAAGCGCTCACTGAGCGCTTAGTAACTATTGGTCCTTACTGTTAGATCCTTACATTCAGACCAATAACGTTGACGAATTACTCAACCGTTGTGTAACCGTTGTGTAACCGTGTGTTTTCTGAACGCAGCCAATAATTTGGTCTGTTCTTTTTAGCTGCACTACTGAACTGGTGCAATAAGTTAAAGTGAGAAAAAATATAGTTGTCTCATTCTAACTTATCGCACTAGTTCCGCAGTGCAGCTGAAAAGAACAGACCAACTATCAAACGGACGCTCACAGCACGACTCACCGGTAAGACAAATACCGAAATTTGAGATAAATTGTTAGTAAGTAAATAATAATTATGATTTATGTTACTTTATTATTTATTACTGTCTTTCTTTTTTTTTATCGAGGAATAGAGAATTGTTTATACATTAAATAAACATGATTATTGTTCACGAGACAGAATTTTAGGCTATGTTTATGAAGCTCTGAAGCACAATTTCTTGAAATAAATAGTTTTATGTATTTTGAACAAACGTAGTGGTTAAAAGAGGAAAGACATAATATACAAAATTGTTTAATCAGATTGCAGAAAGTACTATTCCTAGAACAAAGTTCGAAAACTAAAGTTTTACAAATATTTTAAAATGGATGCTGATCTGTATGACGAATTTGGAAATTATATTGGTCCTGACTTGGCATCAGAGAGTGAGGATGAAAATGAATATGGCAATGTTGGTGATGACACTGAGGATAGAGAACGGTCAGATGAAGAAATGGAAGAGGACAAAGATGAATCTCGGGAACATGCGGACCAAGGTTCCTCTATGGCAGTTGTATTACATGAAGATAAACGATACTATCCCAGTGCATTAGAAGTTTATGGACCAGAGGTAATAAAGCCACACCATATAATTTCTTTTTTATAGAAACTAGTTTGTTATTCATAATAAGCATATTTTTTATATGAATATTTTTAGGTAGAGACACTGGTACAAGAGGAGGATGCTCAGCCATTAGACAAACCACTGATAGCTCCCACTAGGAAACCAAAGTTTCAAATCAAACAACAACAGCTCCCAGATACAACATACAGCATTGAATTCTTGGCAGACATGATGGATGCGCCACATCTAATTAGAAATGTGGTTCTACTAGGACATCTTCATCATGGCAAGACCACTTTGGTAGACTGTTTAGTGCGACAAACACATCCCTATTTACACAGTGTGACAGATGAGAAGCCACTGAGGTATTGATAGAAGTACACAGCAATATAATATACTGTTATTAAACAAATTATTAGAACAGAATAGTAACAGAATAGTAGATCAAATACAATTATCAAATGAATATTGGGACATGCACTTATCTATATCTACATTGTCAGGTACACAGATACTTTATTTACGGAACAACAGAGAGGTGTCTCCACAAAGGCCACTCCTGTAACATTGTTGTTGCAAGACGTGAAGTCTAAGTCATACCTTTTGAATATATTCGACACACCAGGTCACGTAAATTTCTCTGACGAAGCGACGGCGGCAATCCGGCTGTCGGATGGCGCGATACTAATTGTCGACGCGGCTGAAGGCGTGATGCTCAACACCGAACGCCTTCTGAAACACGCGCTTCAAGAGAGACTTGCTCTGACGGTCTGCATCAACAAGATAGATCGTCTCGTGCTGGAACTGAAGCTGCCGCCGTTGGACGCCTATTACAAACTACGGCACATCATCGAAGAAATCAACGGATTAATAGCGTTGTATTCGGACAACGATAATCCTACTTTTGTGTCTCCAGCCATGGGCAATGTGTGCTTCGCTAGTTCAGAGTATAACGTATGTTTCACCCTAAAATCGTTCGCTGCGCTCTATGCTAGAAGCCATCCTGGACTAAACGCAAACGAGTTCGCCAAACGACTCTGGGGTGATATCTATTTCAATCCTAAGACGCGCAAATTCACCAAGAAACCGCCGCACAACACGGCACAACGAAGCTTCATCGAGTTCATCCTGGAGCCTTTGTACAAAATATTTGCGCAGGTCGTGGGCGATGTAGACACGACCTTACCTGATGGTAAACTCTTCCTCTTTTTTTCCTTATCCTTTCTCTCGTTCGCCATAACTTGCAGTGATCGTAAGAGATCAACGCCTACAGTTCAAATCATGTTCCTACAGTTCTAGACGAGCTGGGTATACGATTAACATCCGAGGAGATGAAGATGAACATACGCCCGCTGTTGAGACTCGTCTGCACGCGGTTCCTGGGAGATATGTGCGGCTTAGTCGACATGTGCATCACTCACGTACCTAGCCCTCAATCGCACGCACCCACCAAGGTGCAGCACGTCTATACTGGCCCGATAGAATCCCCACTCGCGCAGGACATGGTTAATTGCGACCCAGATGTAAGTACTTCGACCAAAGCCTCAATAGTGACAAGTTATTTAAGTAACATAACGTTCGCGTAACTTAACCTTAGCGATCATAATAATAAATTTCACGTGCATAGTAACAAATGTGAAAAGTAACAAATCATTTTGCAGGGAAGATTAATGATCCACAGTACAAAGATGTATCCCACTGAGGACTGCACGCTATTCGTGGTACTCGGCAGAGTGATGTCCGGCACGTTGGAAGCGGGTCAGCGGGTTCGCGTGCTGGGAGAAGCGTACTCTCGCACAGACGAAGAGGACTCGCGCGTCCTTACGGTGGGCAGGTTATGGATTAGCGAAGCACGTTATTCGATCGAACTGAGCCGAGTGCCTGCGGGTAATTGGGTACTGATAGAGGGAATTGATAGGCCGATCGTGAAGACCAGTACTATCACAGACCTTGACAACTCCGAGGAGCTGCACATCTTCCGGCCGCTCAAATTCAATACGCAGAGCGTCATCAAGATCGCCGTTGAACCGGTGAATCCATCTGAATTGCCCAAGATGTTAGATGGACTGAGGAAGGTGAACAAGAGCTATCCTCTATTGGGCACACGCGTGGAGGAGAGTGGCGAGCACGTGGTGCTGGGAACCGGCGAGCTCTATTTGGACTGCGCAATGCACGACCTGCGTCGCATGTACTCTGAGATCGACATCAAAGTAGCTGATCCCGTGGTCGCGTTCGCAGAAACAGTGGTGGAAACCAGCTCTCTCAAGTGCTTCGCCGAGACGCCCAACAAGCGGAATAAGCTGACAATGATAGCGGAGCCATTGGAAAGGGGTCTCGCGGAAGACATAGAAGCCGAGCACGTCCGTATCACGTGGAACAAGTAAGTAGTGTTCAGCTGCTGTTATGCAGCTGTTGCTGCGATGGATTCAGTCAGCATTACATGAACGTCTTGATTTCTTTCAGAAAGCGGCTCGGAGAGTTTTTCCAAACGAAGTACGACTGGGACTTATTAGCGGCCCGTAGTATATGGGCCTTCGGTCCAGATTCTACAGGTCCTAATATTTTAGTCGACGATACTCTACCTTCCGAGGTGGACAAGACGTTGTTGAACAGTGCACGTGACGCCATCATCCAAGGCTTCCAATGGGGAACTCGTGAGGGACCATTATGTGAAGAGCCCATTCGGAATGTGAAATTCAAAATTCTCGATGCGGTGATCGCACAAGAGCCCTTACATCGTGGAGGTAATTACTTCAGCATTAGCACAGTATAGTAGAGAATATAAATAACGGTATAAACATAAAGCGTGCGCGTTGAACTTGGTAAAAGGATCGAAATCGAAACGTCGAAGTGATCAATGATTCGTAGAAAGGAGCAATAAGTTCCGACAATGCAACTTTTATAACGTGCGTATCTTCTCAATCTCGTCCTCAGGTGGCCAGATTATTCCCACTGCTCGGCGAGTAGCGTATTCTGCATTCCTTATGGCTACTCCCCGTTTAATGGAGCCCTATCTATTCGTCGAAGTGCAAGCTCCTGCGGACTGTGTTTCTGCGGTTTACACAGTCCTGGCAAAACGACGTGGTCATGTGACACAAGATGCACCAGTACCAGGCAGTCCTCTGTACACAATCAAGGCATTTATACCAGCAATCGACAGTTTCGGCTTTGAGACAGATTTGCGGACACACACTCAAGGACAAGCGTTTTGCCTATCGGTCTTTCACCATTGGCAGATCGTACCTGGAGACCCTCTGGATAAGAGCATCACTATCAGACCTCTGGAGCCTCAGCCAGCCACCCACTTAGCCAGAGAGTTTATGCTGAAGACACGAAGGCGCAAAGGTCTATCCGAGGACGTCTCCATCAACAAATTCTTTGACGATCCTATGCTGCTAGAATTGGCAAGGCAGGACGTACTCCTGAATTATCCTCTTTAATTTAAATTAATCTAGAATTCATATGTGTAAGTTAATAATTTGTGTATAAATTTTACATAAATCTGTATAGCAAACTCACATGTAAAATATGTGATTAAAAATTAAATTTTTTGTTATCAAGAAAACCACGCATTTCCCACATAATTCCAAAACATTGTTTCCGCACTCCTCACATCAGTAAATGATCGCAACGCCTGTGAAAGAATCATTTTAACATAATACAACTACAATTGCATATGTGTATGTGATCTGAAAATATCTTCCAGAGAATATAAAGTACTCGAGAGTACTTTTAGTATAAATAATTTCACAACTAAAATCCAACTCCAAGATTTGTTTTCAAATATCAGTATTTATTAATGTTTTCTACATCAACTATATCATAACATGAAATTTTTATATTTGCTAGAAAAATATTCCGTATGATTTAGCGATTTTGTAAATTTAATCGAATTAACGTGAAATTAATATTAATCAGTTTATTATAGCTATTCACGAAATTAAGAGAGCACTGTCACAATTTTTCGATTTCATTCTTTAAATATGGAAATCGACCAACACGAGGTTTAACGAGACTTATTTCTCTTTAATAACTCTTTGTTAACAAATTCGAGATTATATCATTGCGATTATCATTTATTTATATATATTTATTTGTACATTGTATTAATTTATGTTGAAAACCGTTATATATACAGGACATTGCATAAAACATCAACATGCATCACCGTTACGAAGGCGATTGCTTATTCGCTCCTTTCGTTTAAATTCGCCCCATAAATCACAAGTGGAGATCGTGTCTTTCCCCATGTACCCTCCCTCCTCCCCCCCCGTTTCTCTCCTCGCAGTCGTCTCATTGTCCACACAAATCCGGCCTACAAACCAGAAGCGACCTTCCCCTCTCATTCCACACACCCTTCCTGACGTCCCTTCTCGTTTTTATGCCCCTTTCACCGCTCCCCCCACTCGTTATCTTTCAAACCGGATTTAACACCGCGGCCAAATCCGCCAATTACGCAAGCCACGATAAAGATCGGAGAAGGACAAAGCCAGCGTTCGCGTGGGTCGAGACGGCGGCCATATGCAGCCTCATGAAGCGTATCGATAATTTTCTCGACAGAGTACAACGTCACGAAAGTCTCCGACGCGAACGTCGGACTTCGTGCCGAGTATTCCAACAGTGGCTACGTTTCACTATTCACTGCCAGTACTGAAAATACATAGTTCGTGTCACGAATACTATAGATTTTTAGTGCTAGCAGTGAATATCGGAACGCAGCCAGTATCGTGTCTACGTCAAGAATTAGAATTTCACGAACGAGACTTGTTCTCATTGGTCGGATGCAAATCAAACCGCATTCCCGATACATAGCCACAGTACCAACAGACCTGTTCTTTTAGCCGAACTAGTTTTTTTTAGCTGAACTTTTAGCTGCACCGGAACTTTGGTCCATCTCCCTTCGACGCTATTACATACCTATATTATCGATTACCGGCTCGTTTCGTTCTAAAAAGATCAAAAGTGCAGACTAGCCGAGCCGTAAAGAATAGGTCCAATCTCGAATCCGCGACCGTTCGATATCGATCGAGTTCGCCTTCACTCTCGACGAGCGTTTCGCAACGCATCCCGATGGAAGAATCTGTTCCTAAATCATCGCCGGGGAGCGCAATCTCAGCGAGCTTTCGAAAGATCGATCGAAGTGAAAGTACTCCCCGGCTTTCCCTCATGAGTGGCCGCAGTGCACGAAGTCGTTGGTGCACGGGAGAAGATGAAACGCGTTCGAGACAGGGCTAGAACGTCGAGATATATCCCGACGGCAGCGGAGCCGGCGCGCAGCCGCGCGCTTGCGCGCGCACGTAGCAGGCGGAGTCGCAGTTGCGCGTCGGCAGAGGGCGGGGACGGTGGCCGGGCTTAGGCGCCATTTTAACGGGCCGGCCGTGGCTACACGTTCGTTCATAGGGCAGAATCGTGCACGCCCGATCGAGGTGGCGCGCGCGCGCGCGTCACGCCGTTTCGCTTCGGCGACGACTTCCAGAGCCGACGCTATCGCGGTGGTGGCGGTGGCGGCGACGAAGTTGCCGATCGATCAACGTCTACGCTCTCACTGTCTCTCTCTTTCCCTTTTGCAGCGTCGTCCCCTTCTGCCTCCACGCTCTATCTCTCTCGTCCGCCTCTTTTTCGCCGCGCGCTGGCCGTGGGCGCGTCGGAAGCATCTCTTGTTTGTCTTTACGTGCACGATTGCGCTGACGACGCGGCTCGCTCATCATCTCCCGCCCGAGGTATACGAATATGATATCTAATTAGCAGTAACTGTTAGTCTTATTCGGCCTCAGATTTGGAGAAGCATCGCCGAACGTCGAACAAGTGAGAAGGAAGCCATGATGGAATTCCTTAGCATGATGCAAACGGATGAGTCGAGAAGCGTACTGCGCTTCGACGAGAATAAATGTATGATTTGATGATTGCGATTTGTAATTTGCATGCAACTTGCGTAAGCGACTCGCTAGGCGCTTATCGTTCAGGCGTGAGTAGGTCGTGATCTCCGCTCACGTTAGGAGCTTGATAGTGAGCCGATTCATTCGGACATATTGTTTCTCACCTTTATTACTGGCCATTAGCGACACACATTGGTGAGAGGTGGAGTTGAGTCAACCTCTAATCCTAGCTCTCGCGTAACCTATCATTATTGTTAAGCGATCGTTCGACGGATAGACCATTCAAATTGCCAGATAGATTTAGAATTTTAAACATTATCGCGATCACCTTGTCGGAAAAGACAATCTATAAAGAAAGTCCGAACTCGTAAATTTCTCTTTCGAGTAACATTTATTCGTGAAATCTCGATATTTCAGTCACAAGGGAGAAGCGGCGGCCATTTTGCGAATATATCGTCCGATTTTAACCGATGAAGTTGTCCCCCTGCTATTCTAGAAACTTCAGAGCGATTCGGCCGATCTAACCTAACCTATACGGCTGCATGAAAATACCAACGCTGTCTGTCCGTAAGTTCGTTAAGTTAACTTGCGCGAACGTTAACAAGCGATGAGCGAAATGAAACGACGTTGGTCCGCTACATCGCATTTCACGAGCTCTTTGTCGAAGATGAACGATAGTCGTGACGTGGCCCAAATGGCGTCGCCAAGGAGTTCGCTCGATACGCCCTAACCTCTAACCCTAGCTCTCGCGTAACCTACTCGGATTTTGGCGGCGATATTTGTCGATATTACTCGTTAATAAAGCGTCATGCAGAAGAAATAGCCACGGTGATGTTCGCGAAGTAGCCGCCGCTTATCCGGATGCTATAATCGTACGAGGGAATTGCGTTACTCCGCCGCTGTGTAATTACACGCACGCGGAGTGTTCCTAGTAATTTCAGATAACAATTAATAATATCGTCTCGCTCCGTTATGCGATAACGATGAAGTGCGAGCAGTGTGCGAGCGAGAGGTTTCAATCAACCTAATACGCTCTCACACTGACCGCTCACGCGCTAATCACTCAACAACTAGAAAAATTCAATCTCGAGGCGACGCGACGTTGGCGCGATGCGACAGAATGCGACGGATATATCGCGAGCATGGCACCATCGGCGCTTTGAATAATAATAACGACTCTGCGGACATTCGTCCTACATTGGTTTGCACGCAACGCGACCGAGTTTCTACTAATTATCGTACGTCGCCCCGATGCGCCGCGTCGTTGTTGCAGCCGCTTCCGATCGCACGAGCGTGGTATTTCTTCCGACCTTAACGACGCGCATTTCGACCGCTGACTTTCGTCAAACTGAGTAACAATGGAGACGCGCTCGCTGTCTCCAGTGTTACATTCAAGCAGACAATTGAATCCCTCTATCTCTCTCTATCGCGCAGGTGGCGTAATTCGACGAGTACCGAATCATCCATCACCGAGCCGTCGTTCCATGTTCTCAACGAACCGATAACGAGTCAACGAGTCTTCACTTTTACGTTCATTAACGCCCGGAAGAATAAGGTAAAGTTGTCGCGGTTGTAAACGAAGCACGTATCTATGCTGATCGATATTATCGCGTAACGTTGTTTTATTAATAACGTCGTCGTCGTCGGTGACGACGACACAACGTCCGCTGATAAGATTTCACCGCTACATTGCCATGAATCAACTATATTGACGGTGTACATGTGTGAAAATAACATAATCGAAAATAATACATCGATTGCCATCGAAGGACCAACGTTGCTTGTGGTTGGTCTTCTTCGAGGCGGCTATTCGAAGCTTTTTAGAGCTCCTCCGTGGGTTTTAGGTCGCTTCCACGGTGTTCATTAGCCTTATCTATTATTGAATCGTTTCCAGTCGTTAAAGCTCTTTCTAGTCTCGCAAACGGGGCTAACTATAGAAAATGTAAATTCTTGAAACGTGACTTGTACAAGCTTGGTGTTGCACGCACATTTGAGGCTACTTCATCCGCATAGAAGCTTTACTTTTAAATTCAACATAATGTTACAATTGATGACATTCATATGAATCTACCGAAGAAGCGACTTATGTAGAATATTCATTCATTGCGCGAAGAATAGGCATATTGATAATAATACTTCGTAAGATACGCATAGATCGCGCATTGACGTATTAAAATATCATAACGATTCTTTATTATAATTTTCAAGTTGTAAGATTGATTGAAGTCAGACGTGGATTCATCAATAGCAATGCTGATGAAACGCGTTAATTAATCAAATTGTATCAAATACTGACGGTGGTTTGTCGTGGCGGCAAGAAACTACGAATGGCTCCTATCGAACATCTTGTCTCACGTCACGACCTGAAATTGTTTCTCGTCGTCTTTCATCGTCGTTGTCACCGGTCTTACAATCTATCGATCCCACAGGTGTGTCGAGAGTGTTCTCGAGCGATTGGATATGACGGACAGTACACTGCGACCTGTGGCAACGACGAAGAGGCTTATCTTCTCCTCAGAGTGAATCTCCCGATCAATCGACAGGACACGGAAAACATAACGTACGATCGGTACGTAGAACAGGAATATAGGCGCAGAACGGTGAGAGCTCCTGCCAGGGACGAAGAGCAGGCAGACAGCGAGAGAGGGAGAGAAAGAGAGGCGAACATCGACAAAGATGTGCAAACTAGATAGAAGCGAGACAGTGATACAGAATCGTCGAAAGGAACACGAAGCGTTCGCCGACGCCCGTCGACGCTCGGCGTCGCTCGTGCAATTCCGTAACAGCGAGGCGGGGTTTAGGCGGGGTCGATACGAGGCAACTTCGCGTTTCCGGCGTCGTCGTCATCGTCGTCGTCGTCGTCGTCGTCGTCGTCGTCCCTTAATCATGCTCTATCGAAACACCACGACGACTATCGCCACCGCCTCCCTCCCTCTCACCGCCTCGTCTCCCCCTCCTCCCCTCTCGCTCTCTGTTCCTTTCTTTTTATCCAACCTGCTCTTCTCTTCATCACTCTCCCAGTAATCATCTCTCAACTCGCTCTCGCGCTGTTTGCGCTCCTATGAACAACTCGACCGTCGGAGCGCAGCAACGTTACATCGCGGCGCGACGGTCTCGCGCGAAAGTCGCGATAATAATAAAGGAGGGAGAGCAGGCGGGGTGGAAACCCGAGAGGGGAAATGGAGAGTGCGCGAGCGCGGTATAGTATCCGCGCGTTCTCTCTTTCTCTTGCTCTCTTACCCTTTCTCTCTCTCTCTCTCTCTCTCTCTCTCTCTCTCTCTCTCTCTCTCTCGTGCGCCCCTCGGTATGGGTCCGTCGGTCGATCGACAGACGACGGTGTACGACTAGAGGACGAAGGGCAAGCGAAACTACGACGAGGAGGAGAACCTGACGGGACACGGTCACGACAACGATAGATCCAAGAGAGACGAGAAGACGTGCACGCGCGCGTGCGTGTCCAAATTGACACAACTGCTAAGATTACTACGACCATTATTACTATTGCTGCTCTACTATCAGTGCGCATCACGACATACGTATGCACGCACGCACGCATGCACGTACGCACGCGTGTCGTACGCACGCTCGCGCGGGCGTCGACGTGTGCCCTGTCGCGTTAGCCATGACGGCCACCGGGACGTGATGCTACGTGGTTATCACCGCGCGCCTATCTAACCGGAGAAGGACTCTGCGCGAGGTCGCGCACGACAACGAACGGGAGAGCGACGCCGAGTGCGACGAGTACGGGCGAACGCTATCGGACGCCTCAGAGCCGGGGCGCCGTCGCACGCCGACAGACAGAGCGGCGTTGCCACCTCCTCGCGGCCGCGGTCGCGGCCACCGCCGCCGCCGCCTCCACCACCACCGCCGCTGCCACCGCCGCCGTCGCACCGTCGTTGCCACGTCCGCTACGTTCCACCGCCGGGAACGACGACGACGACGACGACGGTGGTAACGACGACGACGACGACGACGACGACGACGACGACGACGAAGAGGAAGAAGAAGAAGAAGACAATCATCCTCTCAGCTTAGCCGCTGGTAAGCTGCCTCTGCCGCTTGCTGTTAGCTGGCATGTTACACTGTACAGAGCGGCCTGTATATCCGTGCGAGAGCGAATCGGTGCGATCCGCAGTGGTACGCGACGCGCAGTGGTACAATGTGTGATACGCAGTCGGTGTCGGTGGTGCTGTTACACGCTGCTGTGTAACGGTAGTAGGGGGCCCGTGGTGGCCCGGTCAAATAAAAGGCACGGTCCCCCACCTGAGAAGCCACTCGACCTCGAACCTCAGCCGTCACTTCTGGATCTTTCCGACTGATAAGGCGCCGCGAACGCCGCCTCGAATGAGCAAGTACGAGATATCGGCTACCTCGCAGTCGATCGGGCCTGTATATTTCGGAGTAAGGAAGCAGCATGAGAGAAAGAGAAAACGAGAGAGTTGTGTGTGTGTGTGTGTGTGTGTGTGCGTGCGTGCGTGTGTGTGCGTGTGCGTGTGTGTGTGTGTATAGGTGCGAGAGAGAGAGAGCGTATGTGAGCGAACGTTGGTGCAGTACGCCTCCCATAGTTATCGCGAGTGCTAATTTACAAATGTCGTGTTGCAATGATAAGTCGTGGCTGATGCATGTAGAAAAGAACGGTGTATCCCGTTGAAATCGCGACCGATCGAAATACGTATTGAGATAGAGGTACAGCGCAATCGCCAACTCATAGAAACGTAAACAAACTGCTTCAATCTTACGTGATACACGTGAGAAAAGTCACTACAGGTTGATAATGCTCTTTCATCCCTCTCTTTCTCCCTTTATTATTTATAATCACAGTTGCCTTTATCGTGTTTCGTTTCACTCGGTACCAGCGTTCAATTGAGAAAATCACAAACTGGATTTTCAAGATACTCTGTAGGCAAAATGTTTCGCGTTATACATTTTGTGTATTTTCTCTCTTTCTGTTTCTTTCACTCTTTTACCTCGAAACAAAGATATTACTACATCTCCAATATCTGTGGTGATGTGTGAATCAAGACCGTTTTATTTTTGCCTCGATATTAGGCTATTGGCATCTCGTCGATCGCTACATACGAATACAGAAGTAACATATAAATAGAGTTGCAGCTTTGCATAATTAAAACTTTGTTCTTGGACGGTGTTTCTTACAGACGTTACATTTGACGATGTGCATCCAATCGCGGCGTATCGATTCGAGTTTTTGTAACATCTATAAACCGTTATAAACCTACAGCCGATGATGATTATTTAAAAGTTTGAAACATTGGATAACTTCGAGAGAGCAAGAAAAAAAGAGGAAGGGAGAGAAAGAGAAGCACGATGCATATCCAAAACAGAATTACAACTGCGGAACTATTTGCCATAAGTCTACTGTCGCTAAGGAAAAATCGGCACTGAATTTCTTTGTTTTGTCCTCGAGTCTAAAACGCTCATTTGCAACGTGACCTTGCGCGCAACCAGATTCGCAACTTCCTCGCAAAAATGGACGCTTTCAGATAAGCTTGGCACTCCGTTCATTTATAACCATGATAATGTCACACACAAAACAATATTTAAACGTAAAGATGATAAGGATGATTATTACCTCACTTGCGTGAGGTTATTCTAACGGAACACACGCGATATTATTCTTCTTCTGACGCGTTTTTCTCGTAAATCATATATCATAGCACGACTTAATCCATATTTTCCTTTCAAATCTCGCGTGTCGACAAATTTTTGCGTCCAAACATATTTTCGGATTTTTCCGAGGATACTGGATAAATGTTACACACATTTTACACTTGTAAAATGTTAAAAGGGTTGCTTCATGAGAAATATCAATATTATATAAATTATATATCGTAATCCTTTGCACTCTTGCTCATTTCAAATAATACTCAGTATATCAGTCGATTTGCACTAAATTTTTTATTCGTTCTTTTTATACACAAAGATAAAAATGGCCATAACTTTCAAATTTCGTCAGAACTTGTCACGATTTTTTGTAAACATATGTTTAGATGATACTATGCTATATGATATGCATATATGCTATATGGGATATTTCGAAAATAAATAATCAAAACAGTATTATTTCAGTTCCGACAAGAGAGAGAGAGAGAGAGAGAGCAGACGCACAAGGGCAAAGGGTTAACTCTGAATCAAACGACGCTCGTTTTACATGGAAAATAATTCACCCGTGAAAGCGAGTCCTTCGACAATCGAGGCGGCGATCGATATCTACACGTAGACCGATAGCCATAGAGCCGGGGATGCCGATCGGTCGCTCTTTCGTCACACCGGTCGAAAAATAGACGCGCGTTCCAGCGCGACGTGAGTCACCGAACGCCCGTCACTCGCGAGCGAATCGTTTTCTTCGACCTTTCACGATAGACAGGAGCGAACAGAAGTCGGAATCGATCCGAATCCGTTTAACCTCGCGAGCTCACGGACGGTTTGTTTATCCGACGCGAGCAATGACACGTGACTCGATTTCCGACGAGTCACGGCATGCGAGGAACGTTTTCTGGCTTGGTGGCTGCGTCCTCTCCCTCTCGCCTCTCCGTCTCTCTCTCCCTCCCTCCCTCTCTCTCTCTCTCTCTCTCTCTCTCCCTCTCTCTCTCTCTCTCTCTCTCTCTCTCTCTCTCTCTCTCTCCCTCCCTCTCTCTCTCTCTCTTTCTCATTCTCTCCTGCAAACGAGGGAATAGAGAGGCAGGGCAGAGGTGCTCTCGCCCTCTCTTCCTCTTGCTTCTTCGCTGAGTCTCACGCGGCCGGCCTTGACGGATCATTCACAGACCGGAATCGCTTTCGCACGGATTCGTACGTCGCGCCGTACCGCAGGTACAGGTGGTGGTCGACTTTCGTTTTCGAAGGATCATTAACCTCCTCGCGCGCTCCCCGCGCCATGACAATCGGGTGGATGGCATATTAGCGGTTTGCAGTTCCATCGAGAACTTGCGGCAACGTCCGAGCCGGCCAACTTTCCCAGAACATCCAGCGGTTGGGAACCCAATTGGCGCCGCCACTCGGCGACGACGACGTTGTTGCACTTGCTACGATCTTTCGATATTTTTCATTTTACCAATTGTTTCTTGATGACATTTCCTGTAGTCGTTCCGAGAGTCCTTGGCAACACACTGGCTGGTGAAGCAATTTTTGCCTCGACGATATTCGATTGTTATTCTCGGCATCGAACCGCCTCGGGCGCGTTGCACGAAGCTATCTCTCGATTCCATTTCCCGCGCTAAAAGTAACTAATTATCTCGTTGCCGCGCGCAGCGCACGGCCCCAGACGCGGTAGTTTTCGATGGAACAGGTTCTGCTATTTTTCGAACGAGCCGCCGCTTTTTCCTTCGTCCGGCCGTGCGACGACAACTTTACGAGCACCCGCGATACTCCGCAAGCCTGTCGTCGTCGAGGAAGGACATGCGAGCAACACACACACACACACACACACGCTCACGAACACACATATACATATGCATAGCTGCACACATAGGCGCGTACTTTTCGCCGATCCAAAAGCATCTCCCTGGCTATCTCGCATCGACGCATCGGCAGGCAAAGAGAGGGGGAGACAGGGAGAGTAGAGAAATCATCCCCTTTAAGAGATAGACCTTAAAGCGCCGGCACGCTGACGCGTTTCCCCCTCGAATCTCGCGAGACACTCCTCCACGCTGCTCGCGTGTACGCACGTCGGCATTGTGCAGCGATGCGCGCGTGGAAGACGTGCGTGCCGTCGTTGCGCTCGCTCGCTCGCTCGCTTGCTCGCACGCACGCACGCACGCACGCACGCACGCACGCTCGTTCGTTTGTCCCCGCGAGAGCCGCGTCGTCGAGAGCGCTGCGATAGTGTAGCGACGACGATCGCGAGCCTGCGCCGTCGAGACCGCGCCAGTCTGGCGGCCCGAATTGCCGAGTTCATCCGCGGAGAACTTCGCCGAGCGAACACCGGACTGTCCACGTGTAACTCGCGCCTCGTGTAAAAGAGAGAGTGCACGGCGAGAGGAAGAGAAACCCTCCGATCGACAGAACGCTCAAAGGGACGACGACATTGAGTCTTAAAAGAGCGTCGAACACCTGTTAATACCGGCCGCACGCACGCCGCAATATTTTCGCCGGTGACGGATTAACGATCTGTTGTTCGCACAGCTGTTTCAGAGCCCACCGCTAATAGCATGGAAGTCGCGGGGAGGCCGAAGCCGCTGCTCAAAGACTTGAACGAACATATCATGTGCGGTTTGTGCCGAGGATACCTCATAGATGCCACGACCCTCGTGGAATGCCTGCACTCCTGTTAGTATGACTCTCTTCCTGTCAGCGTGACTGTCGCACACCAGATCAAGTTCACCCGGGGACCATGTGTTTCGTTCATGTATTTATGGCGAGAATAAAGGATCACAATGTGTGTGTGTGTGTGTGATCGTTGTGAATGGGTTGCGAACAACAAAGTAAGTGTCGCAAAACGTTTCTGTTAAAACACACCTATGTCTATGTATCTAGAATAGTTTTCAAATATTTTATAACAACTTAAAAGTTTTTCAGTGCATGAGCCTTCAGCCATGTTCCAGCAAGAAGATCTGACTACTTTCTCTTCATTGTTTCTCACGATAAATACAATAAGCACAAATGAGACACATGGACAACTTGAATCGGTATCTCTCATCTCATGTCGCGATTCAAATAAACACGCGATAAGACGGAATCCTCGCGCGGAGATAACGCGGTAACTCCGAGACATGTGGCGTAGTATTGCACTCGCTCTCGCGGGTCCTACGTTTCATGTCTCGCGGTCGTTCCCCTCATGTCGCGACGTCGTCGTCGTCGCCGCCCATTAGTTTGCAGAGGCTGCATCGTTCGGCTGTACAGCGGCGCCCGTGCGTGTCCAATTTGCGGCGTGAGGACTACGCCGCCGCTCCTGCCGGACACGCGTCTCCAACGACTAGTGTACCTCGTGGTGCCCGGGCTCTTCCGTTCGGAACTCCAACGGCGACGTCAGTTCCGCGTGGTGAACCCATTATGCCCGCCGTTGCCGCCTCCGCTCGGCGCCATCAACCTCACGTTGGACGACTTTGTCAGTCTGAGTCTGGAGCAGCTGGACGAGACTATATGGGAGGTTGGCCAGAACAGAGTGCGGAAGAGACGCAACGTCGTCTCGTCGGCATGTCGCCCGTGGAACGAGGATACCGTGAACGAGACGTCGCAAGGCGACGACAAGATGCGATACCTCAAATGTCCGGCAGCCGTCACGGTGCGTCACCTGGTGCGGCTGCTGATGCTGAAGAGAGGCTGGGAGGAGACTAACTTGTCGGTCGTCCACGGCATCACGAAAATCGAGATCATGTACCATCGCATCGGGACGCGTTCTCGCGAGAAGATACACCGCCTCAACCCCTTTTGGACGCTTCTGGACCTCGCATGTATATTCCGCTGGAAGAGGGTGAGTTTAATGGTTCGGCGGTTTAACGTTCTATATACCTTGCGATCGATCGTCCCGGCAGACGTGTCGGTTACAGAAGTCTACATTAACGATAAGAATATATTTACACGTCTCTAGCGCATTTTAGTATTTTGCGTCGTGGTTTCTTTTTTCAGTTCTTTTTTTTTTTATTATTTAACTGCTCACTGTATTCATAACGTCTGTATTGTATCTGTATCTGGTTAGTCGAAATAGTTATCTCCACCGACGCATATTTTGAGAAGAGAGAACTCATTGAGAAAGGTTTCTGCATGAGAATTCGTTCTCAAGCTCGGCTCGGAAAAGACACGCAACATGCTAAGAATCAAGAATGTAGGTATGGAGGTAATTATGGAGACCTGCGGAGAACAACGTCGGGCCAGGCATGCTTTGCGATTATAAATGAACGAAAGAAGAATAGAGGGTACAGTAGGAAGTCCGCTGGGGCCCGGCCTCCATAGGACTAACTTGGAACCAATTGGACCGTACGCTCCGCAGGCGGTCTATATTAGTCTCCGTAGAGAGAAATGTCCATTTTGAGGTCAGCAGCTGGGTGTTCTTCCTTGCGAGAATTACGGTACTTTGGCTTGGTTTGATAAACTACGAATAACGCAAACTTTAACGCAATAATGTATGACACGTGTATAATGTCCACTTTTTTTCTTCGCCGCATTTGTTGTACCGCCTGCAAATTATTTTTAAGGTACAAATTTTGCAGACGAAGCCGCGTGTAATTCTTAAAGAGCTCTCTCACATTCTCACAAAGTATCGTAAAAATTAAAAATAATAATTTTTTTGTGGAGGGTCATTATTTATTGCCGGTTACTTGTAAAGCACTGTATCTTCGCCGAATGCAAAAACAAAGTCTCGTGGTTTAATTTGTTAGCCGATTATCTCAAGTCTCCACCTCTAAGCGATATCTAAACGACCGGCTCCGGTTACACTTTATACTCGCTAAGGTCGAACTCCAGCTCGACGATGCGCGCACGTTATCAAAGGCGGCGCGGCGGCCGTCTGTTACAGATGGCGCCGATGAAGCTGGTCTACCGATTGGTGCGAAAGGAGGAAATGCTCTCGATATCGGAGATCCCGTCAAACTACGTACAGCCGAAGGAAGCTCAACCGGCGATCGAGAATATACCAAGACCACCGACACCACCGCCCAGTCCGAAACCTAGTCGCGAGCCGGAAGTGGAAGCTCGCCCGACCCCGGAAAGCAACACAAAGCTACCTCGCGCTCTGGAAAGCAGCGTCGATCCAGATAAAGAGACGAAGTCGAAAAAGCCACGCTGTGAGGTGACACCAGTTATGCGAACCCCCGATCCACCCGCCAGTCTTTCAACAAGAAACCATCATCACTCAGAGGGAAGCACGAGGAGCAAAGACATGGGCAGGTTGGAACATCGGAAACGGCGCAAGCGGCGAAACAAACGGGTGATTGCGGAGATCACCACGACGCCGCGCGAAGACCTGTTGAAGCTGAAAGTCAGACTGACACCGTGCCCGCCGAGAATCACTTCCAGCGGGGGTAGCAGCGGTGGAGGCGGCGGTAGCGGTGACAGCGGGCGTTCGAAGGAGAGGTTGCTGCAGTTGCGGGCAGTGAGGCGCGAAAAGCTCAAGGCTATCAGTAAGCAACGGTCAGCTGCTATGCGTTCTTCTCCGTCGGTTTCTCCTCCCTTAATCCATTCTCCAGACTGTGAAGAAACAAGTGCCAAGGATGGATACGCGGTAGAGACAGAGGAAACGATCGAGGATATCATCGACAGCATCCCCGACGAGGTCGTGCGCATCGCGCAGAGTGAAGATAACACTGTCGTTGAACGAGTCGCGATCAAAAACGAAGTAGAGGCGAAGGAAAGGGAAGAGAGGGAGAAGGAGGAAGCGAGGGAGAAAGAATTGAGGGAGAAGGAAGCGAGAGAGAAGGAATTGAGGGAGAAGGAAGCAAGGGAGAAAGAAGCGAGGGAAAAGGAATTGAGAGAAAAAGAAGAAGCGAGGGAGAAGGAAGCGAGAGAAAAAGAAGTGCGAGAAAAGGAAGCGAAAAAATCGAAGAGTAAGAGCGAATCGCCGGAACGAACGAAGAGAATAACGGAGTCTCCGAAGAAAGACGAAGAGATCCTACGGCGGCTGGGTCTGGTCGCAGTGAACGAGGCTATCGTCGGACTACGCGACAAAATGAAGCAGCGCTCGCAGCACAGTATCGACAAAGCGAACAGTCTGGATCGCGAAAGGCTAGAGAAACAGTTGCGCGAGAGCAAGGCTAACCGTGTCCGGAGCCTGCTCGCGGAGAAACAGTTGCGCGACGCGCTCAAGAGCATCATGTCCAAGACAAACGAGGAACGCTCGTCCGTTAGCAGCACGTCCGTCCCTGCAAGTGCTGCTGCAGCGACCGCTTCCGCGACTGTTCCCGCGGCAGCCCCCGCGGTAACAGTCGCGGCAATTCCTGAGGTTACTTCTGCAGCCATCCCCCCGGCAACTACTCCTGCAAATCCCTCGCCCGCACCCGCAACCGCGCCAAAGAAGAAGGGTCCACCACCGTTGGCACCTTTGCGCGTCGCAAAGCCCTCTGGCTTCGCCACGACCAGCGGCATGCTGGTGTCCAATGCTTCCAAGTACGAGACGCCGTTGGACCTCAGTAGCGGAGGTACCGTCAACGACAACGTCCTTGATCTGTCCGCCACATTGACTACCGGCAGTAGTCTGCCAATTTCATCTTCATTTTCATCATCCACGTCCTCCTCCTCCTCCTCCTCCACCTCCTCCTCCTCCTCCTCTTTGTCCTCTTCCTCCTCCTCCTCCTCCTCCTCTTCCTCCTCCTCTCCTTCTTCCTCCTGCTCTTCCTCATCTTTGTCCTCCTCGTCGTCGCCATCATCGAGGCCGCGCCCTGTGATAATCTCTGATACCATAATTCGCAAGGCCAAGGATCCGGATCAACGCAAGGGGCAGGAGTCAAACCTAAAGACCCTCTCGGAAGCTGCGGTGTCCGTCTTGGGCAGCTGCCTGACTGGGAAAGAGCAGACGGAGCCGCTCGCGTTAGCTCCCACGAACATCGCCGCTGCCAACAAGGTCGCTCTGCGCATTCCTCAGCCGCATCAACGTATGTCCAGCTTCCGCGTGAAGGTCATCAAGCCGAACCTCGGCATCCGGCAAATCCCGAATCCCCAGGCAGTGGTAGCCTCCCAGTATCGTAATCAAAGGTCTACTTTCTTCAACACTGTCTCCCAGCAGCCGCCGTAAATGTCTAATTTATTTTTCTCTGTTTTTCTCTCTCTCTCTCTCTCTCTCTCGTCCGTTCTTTCCCTTGCTCCCTCTCGTCTACCTATCACCCTCCCCACCCTGCAGCCGTGTCTTATTTTCGTCGCGTCTCAACGTCGACGAAGAGACTAAACGACGAACGTCACGAGAGACGGAGATTCCTATAGGATATTCCCAAAGGCTGTAAGTTATCCACGCGTTGTATGTTTCCTTCTAGTTTCTGCAACGACGACGACATGCGCGCAGTGACATAATTAGGTCGAAAAACTCAGGACGATCTCAGAGCGGAGGGCACGCTGGCTCATTCGCGACTTCTTTCGCGATCTTATTTAGAAACACAGAAAGTTTGTGTGACCTTGTAGACCCAGTCGTAAGTACCACCTTCTCTCATTATACCTTCTCATTAAATCAAAATATGAACATCACTTTTGGACTTTTTTCGCGCATTAATCGCTTCGCGATTTCCACGAGAAAACGAGATCAGGTCACCGAGCAGAGAAAATGTCTTTTAAAACAGTCACATTTCTCACACATCACGTTTGTAACAATCGGTGACGGTGACGCACGGTCTCTCATGGTCGTCCTAGTGTCACCTTCGACCCGATTACGTCACGGCGCGTCTTACCCTTTACGACACAGTAGGGAATCTGATATTGTGCGTCGGATTATTGTTACCTAGATATATCAAAACTGTACATGTCTGTAATGCATATGCCTGACCTCTTTGTCGGCGGCGATCTATATACTTACGGTTACCGCGGATCGATCTGATAAGACGGGCTATCGCGAAGAATCCGTCGCGTGATCAGTATTCAAGGGAGATGAATTAATCGCGTGTGTGTAGGTCGAGAGAGGGAGCGAAGGAGGGAAAGAGAGAAAATGAGAGATGGAGCGAGAGAGGAGGAGGAAGGGAGAGACAGAGAAGAATTAATAGTTGGGATGGTAGTCGAATGAATGGACGACTATGATAACAGAGAGGAACAGGTGACAGGTAGTAGTCGTCGACGTCTGTTGTTGTCGCGTTAGGACCGTGTGAATGCTCACAATTGACGAGGAGAGACGTGCGAGCAAGGGGTTCGAGTCCGATTCTCGAGTACTTGAAGATTCAATTTGCCGGCGAGATTTCACTGGTATTTAGCCCGACAAAGTGGGTGGGATGGGGGAGGGGGGAGATTGAGGTGGTCACGGATTGGCCTAACAAGCCGAGTCTGCCGAGTTTGTTATGTACATATATATTTATGTATATTTTATTTAAGTATTATGTCGCATCTTAGATAATTTGTCGTTGTCGTTTGATTAAAGCTTCGTTCATCGAGAGTATCGTTGATCGATGCTTACCGCGCAATGTTCGCGCGACGTTACGCGTATCCGTAGTTGTTGAGAATTTTTTACTTATCAATATGTTGTTTCACTCGCGGAATGTTTTCGAAGTACGTTCGCTTTGAGCGAGAACGTCGCAAGTGCGCCGAAACAATTACGAGACGTGATCGGTCTCTGCTCTTTCTCTCTCTCTCTCTCTCTCTCTCTCTCTCTCTCTCTCCCTCTCATTCTTTTGTTTCACGATGGCTCCAACTAATGATTCCAAAGATGTAAATAACATAATTGAGTTCGACCGTACTGCACGGAGAGAGCGAAAGGTTGTTATTGTCCAAGTGTCCACGGCGCGCGATTTGAAATTCGCTTCCACGAAAGCAGCTCGAGTCTCGAGCGAGCTAGACGAGAGCACATTTCGCGCGCGAGTGTTCACACGGGTCTACGTCGGATACTGACCTCCCCTTCATTTTCTCCTCATCCTTTTTACAATTAGCAAAGTATACACATAACTCGTAGAGATGCCAAAGAACACCGGAGAACGTGTGCAATGTATTAGTGCAATTTAGTCGTCATTTAATATAATATATAATCGATCAGTCGCTCGGCGTCACAACGCTGAGCCACAAATTCATGGTAAAAGGTAGGTGGTAGTTAGGTTAGGTAGCTAGATAGTCTCGTGCGGACAGTGCGTGTGTGTGCGTGCGTGTGTGTGTGTATGTGTGTGTGTGTGTGTATGTGTGTGTGCGTGTGTGTGTGCGTGTGTAAGTGTAAGTGTAAGTGTAAATCGAGATCCCCCGCGGCGGAATTCCCTTTGTTGCATGCAATGTGCGGGAGACGAGTTACGGATGTTTTTACTACTACGCAGCGCAGCCTTTTTTTTTTTTTTTTTTACGAAAATTACAAAGAGAACGTACGACCGATTGAACCGATTGCACGCAGCGCAACCGCGCCGAGATCGCAAGGGCGCGCTTTGATACGCGGTGATGACCGGGCAAAAAGAGAGAAAGAAAACAGTACGTTCTCGGATTAACAGCTGTTACCGCTTAGAAACTAAGCTGACCGATTGTGAATCGCAAGAGAATTGCAAATCTCTTGCGTTTGGAAGAACGAAGCGTTCGCGCTTTCTTCCATGAGTCCCGTTTTTACTCTTTCGAAGACCCGTGCGATTTTTATATGTTTAGAGGCGAAACTAGCATTCCCGACTTCATTCTTTTTTATATACATATATACATATATATATATATATACACATACATGTAGGATCGAAGATGTACGGTCTCGTTTCGTCTTTCACTGCATGGCATTTCCAGGTAATGACGCAATGACGAATCCAACGTCACCATGACCAATCGAACTCTCGGATTTCTCAGAGATTTTCAAACGCCTTCAAGTCCGCGTTTTTTCATGAGATCCTTTTGAAAAGTGTTATCGCGAGTTTCGAAGAGCGCCGAGAACGCGAGTTTCGCTTCGAGGTTCCTCGTCTGTCAGAGTTCACGCCGTGAAGAGCGAGTTGTACAATGCCTTGAGCACCACACGGTCATAAGAAGAAATATTTCGATAATCCAACCGCAAAAGATACAGTGATATCGAACGAGCGACATTGATGAGTCGCCAGACGGGAACAACTAGTCGCGCGACGCGCGTCCTCGAGGAGACGCGAGTGCGAAAATGTTCGAAACATCCGTGAAGAGACCAAGTTTCGCGTCCCGTTTTCTCACACGTGTAATATAAATGTAATCGACGTAATCGTTGGGACGACATGTAACGGTAACTGCGCGTTAGAAAGTACGTTATTAGAGTCGCGCGCGCGCGTCAGACGGACACGTTAATTGCGATCTGAAGAATACAAATGCGCGCTCGGTAGCAAGCTGCCCGAAGCGGTTTTAATCTGCTTTCAGGGACCCTTTGTTGAAAATGAATGCATTCGAGTCGAGAGAAACTGACTTAATTTTCAAGCGACGCGAATACGCCGTGCTGTCAAACATTTGACGGAACTTCTGTTTTTCTTTTTTTTTTGTTGGAATTTTGCAGTGAATATTTATTCACGGTAATGACCGTCTTGTTTGATTTTCAGAAGACTAATCGATCGTGTCTGAACGCTCACATGCGTGTCGGTGTCCTTGAAAAAGATTAAATTTCGTCGAACGGTCGCTTCTTCGTCGCGCATAGCGTTATTTCTAAGTCTCCCCCTGCAGAGAAGTAACGATTTTTCACAGTAAAAACGTCCCGGTACGACACACATATCGCAACGAGTCCGCGGCGATAAAGGAAGGTGCACTCGATTTAAAGGAAACTTGAAACGACTGTAAGAAACCGGCCGCTACATACGCCGGAACGAACTCGCCGGCATACGAAGCCACTTTCGATTTCTGCATTAACAGTACCTTCCTAATACACAAGTCTGCCGGCGTTTCGCGACGGACGAGACCGCGTCGAAAAGCGTGATTGCGACCAAATACCAAAACCGAGAGAGGAGTATTAAAAGTGTGTTTAGTATGTCTAATATCCGTAGCTGAGCGTATCGAAGTAAGCAAACAGTCCTAAATGCCAAATATAATTTAAATCCAGCTAGTCACAGTCACAGGATCTACCTGCTCCTGCTGGTTCTTGATAGAGAACGAAGTAATGGAAAATAGTGGATAATATTTTGCGTATTCATATAGATATTCTCCCGAGAGAGATCACGGCGGCGGCGGCGGTGCGAAATAGACGCGGTGCGCGAAACAGGCGTTACCGATGAACTCGTTCGCGAGCGCAACGACAAGATTTATCCTCGGGCGGGAGCTGCCGAATACGGAAGATTGGAAAGCGCACAATGTAATCGCGTGAGCGCAAAACGAATTATGTTCGTTGCTTTGGAAGTTTCATCGCACGGAGCTGAAAAAATAGAGAGAGAGAATGTTCTCCCACTCTTTTCACACATACGTGCGGCATCGAAGCAGAGAAATGACCAGAGAGAAAGAGAAAGAAGAGAGAGGGAGAGAGTGAGAACGAAGAAAAAATAATATGACGTGAATAAATACGGTGGGAAGGAAACGAGAGGAGAGAAGAGGAACACGGTCAACGGATGCGAGATAGATCGAGAAGAAGGGAGAGGGAACAAAAAGGGAAAGCCAGCGCGGTATTATCGTTAACAAACTCGATTTCCCGTAATGAAGGTAATGTCAATTAACCGCCGCGAACACGCATTCGTCGTCGGTGCGATGCGATGACGCGCTTTGGAAAACGCGAGGAAAGAGACTGAGGGAAAAACGAAATCAAAATTGCCACTTCGCGAGCGCAGTCACGGCCGGTCCTCGCTTTCAACTCGCGTCGGACATTCAGAGGGACCCACAGTTAGATATCTCAGGAATATTTTTCTATCACGTTTCTAAGCGAGATCGCGTTATGTGCGCAAATTCCTCATTTCGCGAGAGCGACTCACCGCGTCGAGTCCTGTCGGAAATTGCGAACTTGAACAAAGTCACTGCGAAAGAGTCATGCCGAGATAGAGCCATTAGCGCGCGTATTCAAGAATGTACTAAATACTATCGATCACGGGAAATAGTATCGATCACGCTATATGAATACGCTCATGAAATATCATGACCATACGTTTGATGAGCAAACAATGTCAAAGAATCGAACATCTTCGACACGACCTTCGCGAGTCCGTCTTGCCGAACGCGAGTGTGGCGATACATGAGAGAAAAAGACGAGATAAAGGCTCAAAGATATTCAAGCGGAAGAGAAAAATTAAAATAATACAAGGCTCATAAGAGTCGTACACGGGAAATTGCTTGCGTAAAATCGAGTGGTCGAAAACAAGTGAGTGGTCCATGTTTTTCATTCACGCAATCAACTTTCTGCGTTCGGCCCGCTTAGTCTTTTTAATTTGCCCGCGTCGTTTTAATTTGTTTCAAAAGAATCCGTCTCGACGCGTAGCGGAGAAAATAAAGGCGATTCTGTACGGCTTCTTGTTCCCGGCGTCGTCGTTGTCGTGATCTAACGCGATTGCACTGCGACACGTTCCAATCTCATTCGATGATTACCGCAAGTAGTCAATTTGTCGTACGACAGAGAGAGAGAGAGAGAGAGAGAGAGAGAGAGAGAGAGAGAGAGAGAGATAAAGAACGGATAAAATAGCAGTGTTCGAGCCTAAATTCGCATTTCTTTGAAATTTCGACATAGGAAAACACAAGACTCATCGTTAGTCGGCGCGTTACTTCCTGCCTTCTTCCGCAAATGTTGATTCACCTCACCGAGCGAGGGAGATCTCTCTCTCTCTCTCTCTCTCTCTCTCTCTCTCTCTCTCTCTCTCTCTCTGGAGCGCGCATGTGTGTGCACGGACAATCCTCCGCGAGGATGACGGATCGAGAAGTGGCTTCGTTTGGAAGAACAGCATAACACGATGGGCTCTCCTCACGCGCAACAACTTCTAAGATCTATCCGGACAGATTCGCGCAATGCAACCAACATAATGCAGACCTTGAAAATGAGTATACAAATTTGCACAATGCACACGCGAAAAGAATTTATTCAGTCATAACCCATGCATTGAAAGGACATCTCCTTTGCGTTGGATACACGCGATTTCTTTATGTACACGCATTGTGTGACTGTGTGTAAGTGTTTGTCCGAGTAGATCTCTCGAAACTACCCAGACAGACTTGCATAATTGCATAATCTCATACGCGCGGATCAACCAATTATGATCCGTGCAAAGCGGACACGTCCTTTGTATTAGACACACGGATGGGCCGGGCCGACTTCCTTGTATGCGTATGAATTGTGCGATTACGCGAGTTTGTCTGCGTCTGCGTAAACCCTTACCATTATCGATCCTATTATCGCATATAGTAAACGTGTCATATTATCACAGTATTGCGTTCCGCAGTGGACGCGCTCCGCTCGAGTCGCCCAGTGTTAGCTGTAGATGACTGCTGTCGTGAGCGATCTTCACCGTCGCTGCGCGCCGAATCGCGCGGCGACGGACAATGTACTCGCCGCGTCTTTCCTATCGTCTGCTCTTGCTGCGCGCAGCAATCGATATTAATTAATCGATGAGACATGAGCACGTGTCGGTATGCGCGGCACGTGCGTATCGTGTGGCCGACGCGTGTTGCACGCACCAGAGTTGTGTCCGAACTACTATAGGGTTTACGCGGTAAATTGCGCGAGTTGATTCGTCGCTCGTTATAATCTTGGGAGAATGAGTCAGCGTTCCTTGAGAAAAAAGAAAGAAAAGGGCAAAAAGATTCGAAAACGGTACTAACGGCTCCTAAAATCAAAATCGGTGATAACGAAGGTGATGAACGCACGGAAATCGATTTTGCGATGTGCGTGCGTGTGCGTCTCTCTCTGAGTATGTTCGTCTGTATGTGTGTGTATGTGTGTGTGTGTGTGTGTGCGTGTGTGTGTATGTGTGTGTGTGTGCGCGCGCGCGCGTGCGCGCAGGTGTGTATATATTGCATTATAACGATATATCTTTGACACTGTTGATCGTTTGAATGTTCTAATCGATGGGAGGAATGTCGCAATGCGCGCGCTCTTCGAACGCGCCTTCGAAACGGGATCATCAAATTGAACTGAGCCGCGAAAGGCTTTGAAGGAGCAAAAAGTCTCGCCGGAACGTGAATGGCAGTAAATGTCTATTGCGCATACTCATTAGCTTACTGTGACTCCGTCGTTCCGTTATTCAGCTGCTCCGGAGTCACATCGCATTCTATACTGTAGGAGTATTGCTCGTCAATAAATCATAACGTGTACGACATGCGAGTGTCGAGTAGCTCCTTTTAATCACGCACATCTCTCCTCGTCCTGTACAAGACAAGATATAAACGAGCACGATTTAATTGACAACGGCAGATGTCCCGTGAATTCTTGCCCTCGCACATTCGCCATCCAAGACCGATCTAAAAGTGGCCGATTTTTTTAACAATAATGATAATTAATTAATTTCGAGGCGATTTTCCCCGTGAAATCGTGCTCGAAGATGACGAGACTGTACAAGCATCTGCGTGTACTTACAGTAGTTCCGTGTAAAGTCTCGTGCCCCGTCATCTCCGAAGCCTCCTCGTCCTCTGGAGCGATTGTTCCACCTGTTCGCAAATTACAAGATGCAGGGCTTATAAACGTTTGCATCGAAGCTACAAGCATTTAGCAGAGCCGAGGACGATTAATTGAAGCGTATTAAAATCACCGACGAACATCTCGCTGGCGTTGTTTCTACTGAAATTGATAGCTTGATTGCAGGCGAGAGTGCGAATTGTTTTCAGTTAGCTTGTAACATTGTACTTCTCGGTATCTCGTTTTTTCTCGGCCTTGTCGCGTCTTAACGGTGATTAGCGTTATATGTTCATCAGCGCGCGCGCGAATTCTTAAACTTGTTGTATCTTAACGTTTTCATTTTTGTTACTTTGCATTATTGTGTCGTATGCATGTGCGTGCATGTGTGCGTGTAAACACCATGAGGGCTATGAGACAACCAGCCTGTTCACCACCCCCTTCGCCAGCTGGCTCGTTGGCCAGGGGGCTCCGCCTCCGGGACCCCTGCGCGATGGGGACGATTTACGTATTCGTGCAGTGCGAAGGGAAGATCACGCAAAGTGGTGGTGTCACTCTCCCAGTGTATAACTACGCTGAGATTAAATGACATAATTAAGAAATGAGAAAAGTAAGAAATTTACGTAGGCTAGTACCTAATTATACTATTGAGACTATTCTGCCGGTCGCTCTTAATTTCATGTACACCGTGAAAGGGGGGGGGAGTAACGAAGTTCTTTTATTCTTTCCTTTATGTCGCGGTCCTTGGCCTTGTTACTTTTTTTTAATTAATTTCAACATGTTTCTCCGTTTATGTTTTTACATTATCCATCCTTTTCCTCCGTAGACTCTACGAGGTTTGTAAGCCGTATGGGTGGTAGTGACGAAACTCGGGACGGGAAACCCGGCCGTAAAGTTGGTTCGGGGGTCGAGCGTGAAAATGGCGAATGTAGCGGCGTCTGGTACATAACTGGTACGTATGTCATTGTGGCACAAGCTGCAATTGTGGCCGCGATAATTGGATTGCTTGACCAATTATTAATCAATACCGAGCAGCATGGGCGCCTGCTCCAGTGATTAATATTAATAATTTTCTATTGACTCTTGTTGTCCCTGTTTTGTACGTCACTTCGCGACTTCGTAGGTGGAAACATAAAGTAGGTACGATGTGAATGCAATCGAGAAACTCATCACTAGCTTGTATTTTTGACTGATTCGTCACGGATATCGAGAGCGACGATCGTCATTAAATCTTGCAATTTTCTGAAAGCAACCGGACTCAGTCTCCGCTGATCGCAACTTGAACCTTCACGTTTATTTGTCATTTCGAGCACAATAAAAGATCTTCATCGCGGTAAGTTATTTCTTTTTATATGAACGGCGAATATAAACCCGGTCGCTTTCAGGAAATCGTAGAATATTGATAACAATCGTTTTCCTCGAGCCGCGTGAGATCTTTTGTTTCGGGTAAAAACAATTACGATCTTAAGTTACTTGTACTTTAGGATCCTCCGAAAGGCACCGTAGTAGGTAATTGATGATCTTCATTGTATGATCCTCACTGTGTGACCTTTTGGAATCTTTCCTTGACGGATACCTCAGTCAGGTAACCAAAAGGGATTCTTCTTGCACTCGAAGGTGCAAGGCGAGAGGAGCAAAACAAGAATAGGAAAAGGGTACCGATACCTGCCTTCGACAACCTACATTAGATGCGAGAGAGTCAGCCTGCGGCCACGTACCGCGGCCGCTGATTGGCTGCAGCCTCCACGGGCAAGTGAAGAGGGCTGAGCGCGCTCGAGGGAACGAGGCACGGTTACACAATGCGATAATGCATCCACGCCCTTGGTTCGTAGTACAATGTAACTTCATAGGATTGAAGTTACACATACTTGTTCCAAACTCGACGATGACGATGTCCGGCGACGAGCTTAACAATCCGCAATCTCGCAATTCTACGCAGTTTACGGGTTTATTCTAAGAAAGTCCCAAGGAAAGAGCGAGAGAGCGAGAGAGAGAGAGAGAGAGGGGAGAGGAGAGAAAAGAAGAGGTGGAGAAAAGCGATTTTGTGACGAATAGCGTCTGGATCCTCGTCTTATCACGATTTACTTTCGCCGGAAAATATTACCGGATTCGGTTGAATCGATTGAACAAGCGAAATCTATCGACGTCAAGTCGGGGTAAAAAAGGACAAGTCAAGGCATCATCGTGTGTAAGGGACATCGCGCGCCAACTATCTCCCTCTCCTTCGCTCACGCTCCGTCTCGCTTCTTCCCATTGGCGCTCCTCGGGTTTTCAGTTTTTTCAGTCTTCCCCGCCACGAAACGGGGGCCCGTCGTAATGCCGGCACCCTTTCCGCCACCATTCCGCATATGAGTCGTCGTCGTCGTCGTCGTCGTGCTCGTTTTCTTCTCTTCTTCTTCTTCTTCCTCTTCTTTCTCTTCCGTCTCGTTCGCGCGTGGACGCGATGCGCGCGCGCGCGTACTCACGCACGCACACAGACGTACGTACGTACGCGCGCGCGCGGCACACACGCACGGCGCGCCGCACCCTCGTGCCTGCGAATGTAGTGGAGAATGAATAATGTACCCGCGTCAGGAGGGGCTCCGGGGAATGCGAGAGCCTGTTCGCTTTCCCCGTCCCCCTCCCGCCGCCCCACCCGAAGACGCACAAGCCGCCTCGCTCTTATCGAAGCGACGACCGCCAGCAGCGGCAGCGGCAGCGGCAGCGACGGCGACGACGACGGCGGTGGCGGCGGATTACGCGTAGGCGAGTTGGATTTTGATACGAATTACGAATGGATCCGTCGCCCGACGTCGTGCGTGATGTATGCGCGCGCTGCTAGCAGCATGTACCTCACGACCGTGCGCGCGCTCGGCGAATAATTCTGTAATATTGCGCAAAGAGAGATAGGAACGAGTCATCGGGGAAATTGAAATGGAAATCGATCGGGCGCGCCGTTAATTAATCAATCGCGATAAGGCGTCTCGTCCGATAACGCGAGTGTTTGCCGAGCCTTCGAGCGTCAATTGATAAGTTCCCGCTGCGCCAATTAGTCGATCGTATGGACGCTTGAGAGAAAAATAGGATCGTTAGCGGTGATAACGGCAAAGTCGACGAGGCATTCCACGAGTCAGCGAGTTGGTCGCGTTAATCAGCCAAACCGCTCTGCGAGCTGCCGGTCAGCAGCGGAGATTGAGTGTAGATATACACTCGTCATACGTCGGGCGGGTTTTGCGCTGAAACAGCGAGAAATCGATTCCTCCGCGATGTCGATATATACGAAAAGCATCGCGCTCAGGGGTAAACGTCCACGAAGCACTCGGCGAGCGTCATTCCTCAAGCACGCGTCTAATATCCACCCTTCTGCACCCCCTCTTAGCCGAGCGGCAGAAGGAGAGTCGAGCGAGGCGGAGTCGCGAATGTCCTAAAATCGGTGCGGGACGTTCGAATCGATACGCTCTACGTATCGTCGCTACCGCCTTCGGGCATATTCGCCCACCACGTCGTCATCGTGGTCACATGCAAGAGCAGCCGGCCGTGCGACGGATAACGAACGACATATCCGAACGTGACATATCCAGGCGTGAGGAAGCCGTCGTCCTCGCAGGGGACGCGACAGCCTCGGCCTCGCGGTGTGCGAGGCAAAGAGGTCGGAAAAAGCGAGAGAAACCGCCGGTATATTTATACGCAAGACGTGCGTGCTGCTCGACTCCCCCGCGAAACACGTGGAGCGTTTCCCAAAAGCGTCCTATCGACCGATATCGCGGCGCAGGCTCACTGCGGATCCCGACGCGCACACACACACACACACGTACGCGCGTACGGCACGTCGTGTATGCACGCGTACGCACACAAGTACGCGGAGGAGTGCGCTCGTGAGCGCGCACTCCCACGAACGCACACGTGCACGTACACGCCGGCCGGATGGAGCCGCCCACGCATCATCACCTATACAGGTTAGGTACGCACGCACGGACGGGGAACGGGAACGATTCGCGGAACAGAGCGCACTCGGAGAAAGGGCCAAGGAAGTGAAGAAGAGGTCGCTATACGTGGGGCCCCCAATCGAGGTATAGCAGCGTCTCATTCGTCGTGCTCCTCGCGCCGAGCAGCCGACTGGAACCGTACAGATCTTCCTAGCTGATCGTCACAATGGGGGGTGAGACGGCGCTCTTTAAGAGGGTTTTCATCAAAAGAGAAAGCCTCTCGAATGGATGAACGAACGGTTGGGTAGAGTCCCTGGTTGGGACAAGAGAGCAGAAAGAAGAAGAGGAGGTGCACGCGGGGCACGAGACTATTTTGGTCGGCATCCTCTGGTGACGACGACGACGACGACGACGACGACGACGACGACGACGACGAGGAGTCAAGTCAGATGAATAGAGACAGTCTCGAAAATCGTCCTAAAACTCACAGTTATCGGATTGGGAAAGTGACGCCATTTGGTGGGGCAGGAGAGAAAAAAGAGAGGGGGGTAGAGACTATTTGCAATTTTCATCTATTGCGGGTAGCCACCTGATGTTAAAAGAGAGGATGCTTTTAATTTCTCGCTTGCGAAACACGAGCGTCTTCAATTGTAATCACATAAGATGCGGAAATGCCACCTCGCAGGTCAAAAAATACGATTCTCGAGGAAATGATATTCCCACTTTCTTCTCTGTATAAGCTCAATTTTCATCAAGCTATCCCATTTCCGAAATATTCGTAACATCTCGGGGAAAATGTGACAATAGACGCACGCTCGGTCGAATTATCGTCCATTGAGAACTATTAACGACGTCTATCAGCTTCGAATAATTAACAATCGAGAATAGTTTGTTATTTTATGTCGACGTTATGTTGATAAAATCTTAAGCATATTACAAAAGCATATATTTTGCATATTTCTCACAAAATTTTGCGCTTACATCACAGCCGATAAATATTTGCAACTTTCAAAGGAGGAATATCGGCGGAATAATGAGAGAGTGTGTATGTGTGTGTGTGATAGAGAGAAAGGGAATGAAGAGAGGGAAAAGGGAGGAGCAGGGTGTGCGATTGTTGCGGAAAATTGGATAGATGGTTGTTTAATAATACATTGTTAACGTATATTAATTGATTTCGCTTAAACGAATCGGTCTCTCACTGACCTAAAAATGAACACGCCGTCGAGATACGATTTAATGCAATAGATATCGGAATTTATTCGTTGGACTGGTGACACGCGACGACGCCTCGGTATCTCCATTATGTCGGTCATAATACTTGCTCGGTCACAAAGTCCATTTTATAAAGTTTGCTGTTAATCATATCGCAAAAAGTCGATGTAGTATCAAACATATCGATATCTTAGTCGAAGGAAGCTTATTTCATACGCAACCGCCATTTTGTCCCTTCGGTTTTCTTTTGAGGTTCCCTTTTGTTGCTGTTGCACATATCTATCAGTGAAAGATCAGAGGTTAATGAGATTCCTCTTGTAAATTTGATATTTCATGTATTACGTATCATGATCGCAAACTATATCACAGTTGCCGCTAATTTAATCGTAAAAATTTGAAATGTTTCGAGACATCAATCGCGCGTGAGCGCATTTCAAGATGTAACTTTCTAACCTATCACATCGATAGTTCGGATGAAACAAATCTAGATTATTTGTCATTCTTTTGCAGTCGCATTGTCTGTAACAGATTCACACATGGAGGTAATAATTTAGTCAACTAACGTTTTCTCTCCACCTCTTTCGTTTATCCTTCCTTCCTTCTCTCTCTCTTTCTCTCTCTCTCTCTCTCTCTCTCTCTCTCTCTCTCTCTCTCTCCTCTTTCTCTCTCTCTCACACACTTACTCATGCTTACTTACTCACTGACTCATTCACTCATTCACTTATTCTTTCTGTTCTACCTGAACGACCTTTCCTCCTTTTTCTTCTTTCTTAAAATAGGCGATCCTTCTAAAATGGAGGGCCTATATTTTCTAGAATATGATACTACTGCTTGGCTCTCTTATACCTGTTTTTTGTCACTTTGCCTTTTCCATTTTTATCTTTATCCATATAGCAACTTGAGATTCTGATCTTGTTTGAAAAAAATGCTTAGTCACATTGCCCTTTTTATTCTACGAAAATTCATGTTACACATCGGTCTAATATCCGGCGTATATCGAGAGTATTCGGTATCTAATCAGACCTTGCGTGTGTTATTTAGGTGTGATGATACGTGAGATCCTAGAGGAGGAAGAGGACACGTCGACGAAACGCGAGGGAATACATTCGGACAGCGCAGGCGCGCCGTACGCGCAAATAGCGTACGTCGTGGAGATCTCTACAGTTCACTTGCACACGAAGACTCGCACGAGGATCTTAGATGTCGGATTAGGTACGGAATGCACCGGTCCGCCGTCAAAATGACTGTTAGTTTCATGTTTTACGCATGCATTCATGTTTCGATTCGTTCTCTCCCGAGGTGTGATTCACGCGAAATTATTCGAATTTAAAATCTGCTCGTCGAACACGAGCAAGGATCTGCACGGTCCTTCGCGCCGAAGACTGCAGGGAATGAACTTTTTTCCAACGGTCATGTATAGACAATGTAGAACTTAGCACTAATTTACGTTTAATCTGATTGATTAAACATACATTAAGCAATAAATTGTTCTGGTCCATTCCTAAAATAAAAAAAAATATATGGCAGAGTAATTTTGGAGGATTAATTATCTCAATATGATGACATCTCTTTTTTTCATTCATTTTTCCTCTCAGTTGTGAATTTGTCATTTTTTAAACAATTTAATCCAAGAATAATATTTAATGTTGCTGTCTTTAATTCTTACATTAGTAACTTTTGGTATCAAGATAAATTTTGTATTTAAATTATGTGTGATATCCTTTATCACATATTTCATACACACACGAAAGCATCTTGCTTTTAATTTACTCTTTACTATTTGCAACAGAGAAGTTAGCCAATAATGGTCAGTTCAGGAAAATATGGACCATCCCGAATTAAATATAGAACATTTGAAGATTATAAGGATTGTAAGGATTGAAGATTGTAAGGATGGAATCATCTATACTGGAAGAAAGGGAAGTCTTTCTGTTTTTCATAGACTGGGCTTAGGTAACTACAACAATTCCTCTTTTCACAACAAATATTCGAAACATTTCATAATCTCATGAGCTATCACAAACTTACTTTCTTACATTACATGTCTACTGTGATTTTCTTTTCTGAACTATCCTAGAGAGAGAGGGAGAGAGAGAGAGAGAAAATATAGCTTATAGCTTTTTCCATTCGTCTACATAGTGAGACCCGCGACTCGCAACTTTAATCTTAATGATATGAAAGTAGGATGACTTGTGCGCGCACACTTTTTATCGTGCGGTTTTCCTGCCATATGTAAATACTTCACTTGCTGGCTTCTAGTTTTACATTGTTGTAGATACGCCTTTCGCTCGATCACGATGCAACATTCACGAGTACATATACATAGCTATAAATAATAACTTGCGCAATCATCATTATAAATTAATTACTACAGTTGTGTGCAAATATATTGCACGAATCACGATTCTTGCCTTACTCATTATATCATTATTTAAAATACAAACGATTCCTTCATTTGTCTGAAAGCCCTGATTTACAATCGCTCTTGTATTTCAATAGGAGAGACTACGTTTTCTCTCTCAGCCATATGCTTTATGGTCAGAGAGAGGGAGGGAGGGAGGGAGGGAGGGAAAGAGAGAAAGAGAGAGAGAGAGAGGGGGGGGAGAGAAAGATTGCGGGAAACGATGATCGAAAGAGGAATCGTATACATCGTGGAGCCTGATTCGAAGCTCCTCGCTACATCTACGAAGAAAGCGAAGAGGGGACAGACGGGAAAAGAAGGGGAAAAGGCGATATCACGATGGGGGGAAAGGGAAACGAACGGAGGGAAGGAAACGAGCGAGCGAAGAAGCGATTACAGACCAGGCAGAGAAGCAGACGAGCGTGTAGTGAAGAGAGAAGAGAAGAAGAAAGAGTGAAACTCCAAGGGAGAGAAGGCAGAAGGGCGAGCCAGCAGGGAAAAAGAAGAAGGAACGAAGAGAGCTCGGCGTGCAAAAGGAAGAGAGAGAAAGAGAGGTAAAGAACGAGACAGAGAAAGAGAGGGAGAGTGTGTGTGTGTGTCTATATGTGTGTGGTGGAAGGGTCGCTCAGCGCAAAGGGAAAACGTAGAACAAAATGGGGAGAAAAGGGCGGCCAGAGTCACGGAGAAAGGATGATTGAGCGACGGGGGGATTGAGAGAATCGTCCGTAGAGAGGAAGAGGGAGAAGGCACAGGGCTAGAGAGGGTCGCGTGCGTAAGGGAAAAGGGTAGAAAGAAAGAAGAGACAAGGGCCGCCAATCCGTCTCTCTCTCTCTCTCTCTCTCTCTCTCTCTCTCTCTCTCTCTCTCTCTCTCTCTCTCTCTCTCTCTCGCTCTTTCATTCTCTCTCGCTCTCTCCCTCTCCCTTTCTTTCTCTCTATTTCCTCCCTGCTCTCCCTCGCCCCTGTAACAGCGGTGTGGGCAGGAGAGATGGTAAAGCCTGGATGTTGGGAGGAAGCCACGAGGGGGTAAACGCAAGACGGGTGAGACGCGCGGGAATGGGGGATAGGAGGGAGCTTGTAGTCGTAATCCCTGCTAGTAACGACGCGCGGGAAGGGAACATACAGCACTGCTGTGAGAGGGGCAATTCCGTGCCGCTATGCCAGCTCGAAGTACGTACACTATCCGGTTACGTAGAAAGAGAGAGCTCATGAGAGATGGAGAAAGAGGAGTGAGTGAGCAAGAGAAAGAGTGATATAGCGTGTGAGCGGAGGGGTCTGAGGAGAGCAGGGAGTAGCGAGGAGGTACGACCGGAGCGGTGGGAGAAAAATGAGAGAAGGGAGGAGAGAGAGACGAGCGACACGTTTGTCGAGCGGGGAGAGACGCGAGAGGCGAGACGAAGAGAGTGAGAGAGACGAGAACGAACAGGACTGTGCTAGTAGTCGCATCAGAGACCGAAGGACAGGAGAGAAAGAGAGGAGAGAGAGGGAGAGAGATAACGATGAACGAGTGGAGGGGTGGCCACTCTGCGAGGGTGCGATGCGGCACGAAGGTAGGGGAGGGGGGAGGGTAAGGGGACCGTGAGCGAGTTCGAAGGGCGGAAAGGGCGGGCGGGCGGGAGAGAGGAAGGGAAGAGTACCCGGAGGGGAAAGGGCATTCCCACTCCGCTGTTCGTTGCGTTTAGTTCAGCACGAGACGTCGTGGTCGTTGGTTCTAGTAGTGTGTTTCATGCGCGCGCGCTCTCTCTCTCTCCCTTCTCTCTCTCTCTCTCTCTCTCTCTCTCTCTCTCTCTCTCTCTCTCTCTCTCTCTCTCTCTCTCTCTCTCACACACACCTATCTTGGCCACCGTCCTTCGTTAGTAGGCCGTCACGCGTGTAGTTCCGCGCAGCTCCGTGCGGCGCTGTCCTCCGGCCCCCATGATTTCGTGACCACCCGTCACACTGTGTAGTTTCGCCATCGTATCGCCGACAGCGGGGAAACAGTTTTCCCTCGGGCTTTCGGCGTGTCGCTGAGGCAACCGGTGCACGACGACGCATCCGCGCGACGGACGCGAGAAGATGCTCGCGGCCGATCGCGACCGTAACGTGACGCGCACGTCGAGCGGTGAGATCGCGCCGTACCACGCGACATTATCATAGGCTGGCCACCCTGCACAAAGAGAGCCGGGAAGGGGAAGGAAAGAAGAAAGAGGGAGAGAGAGAGGACGTGTTGTAGGACCCCGAGAGAGAGACGTTCCTCTAAGGCCGTCCACATAGCGCTTCCTCCGTCACCGTGGTGTGTCGCCGTTGTGAAACGCGCGTCGTGATACACATGCGCGCGCGCGCGCGCGCGCGTGTGGGGATACACTTCTCGTACACGTTTAGAATAATAGCACCGTGAGGACGTCGTGCGTGTAGTGTACATCGTTATCTCGCTATTTCGCGCTCATCGTCGCGCATCGGCCATCAGACTCGCATGCTCGCACGTAAGTACGCGTGTATACCTTGCAATTGTGCACGCACACAACGATACAGTAGAATCGCACACACGCACACGTACATATACATGGCGCGTACACACCGTCGACGCACAGAGCCGCCGGTTGACGGTGCATACAGAGAGAACGGTAAGCGTTTGCGTTTGTGTGCGAAAGATGGAGCGACGAGACGGACGCTTCTCTCTCTCTCTTTCTCTCTTTCGTCTGTTCTCTGGTCCCCCATGTATTCCCTTCCCTTCTCTTCCCTACACCCCCCTCTGTATCACTCTCTCCCTTCTGCCCATATCTCTCTCTCTCTCTCTCTCTTTCTCTCTCTCTCTCTCTCTCTCTCTCGTTTTCTCTTCGCCGTGTATACTTGTATTTATGCGTTTTCTCATTCTGCGCCGCTCCATCCTCAACGAAATCGTAAGATTTTTCGACAAACACGTTGCTCCAAGTGAATATCGCTGGTCGAATATTAGCGCATGTTATTAACGTACGACTGTCAATCGTGGCATTGAGATACGGAGGATTCGTTCACGTTATTTAACACGACATAAATGTCTCCTGTAACGACGAATATATTTCATTATCTCGCTATTATAATTACGTTGCCAACTGTAAAATAAGCACTAGACTATTTTCAGAAAAGAAACATTCATGGAAGTACATTTAGCATTATAGTAATTAATATATATATATATATATATATATGTATATATCCTAAAATAATATAATTGACATTGTTCCAAATTTTAGCCGTTTTTTTTTAATGTTGATATAAATTATAAAGTAGTTCAAGTATTTAAAAAATGTTGAAAGTATGAAATGGACAGAAAAATTGATTATTTGCGAGTAGCCAAACACATGGAATTGTACAGAGCGCCGTACATACATAATGACGGCGCTTTTGTCACAGCGCAAGAATGAAAAGTTGGAAAGTGACAAGAAATTTAGGATCCTTCGTTTTTAAATCGGTACCTGGACACAGACTTCACAGGACAGAAAACATTAAGGACCTAAAACTAATAAATCTATGTCATCCCGCAAAACAAGATCCATTCCACATTGTGCACATTCGCTCGCACGAACTTCAAGGAAATAGACGATCCCCAAAATGGATTCCGAGAGTTTGCTCGCCAGTAGAGATCTCCCCCGATAACGTTTATTTTTCAGCCCGAATAAAAGTCCCGAATCCCCGTCGGAGAATCTGATTTCAGATATTTGCAGAATGTAATATCACGTTAACAACAAACGACAGCGAAGCACCTAATTACGCCGTACGATTTTATCTCGGCGCAAACGAGACTCGCAGCATCTACTTGATCAGATGATCCGATTTATTTTCTCTTTCTCTCTCTCTCTCTCTTTCCCCCTCCTCTCTTATGTCGAAAACGAGGATCGATCCAAACATCGATCGATCTCCCGTTCGTTATCGCCAATCGAGCGATCCCAACATGCGTAACGCCAGCTTCCTTCCTTTTCCTTTCGCATCGGAGACGCGCGAAAGAAAAGCTTGCTCGCTCGCTCCCTTGGTATGTCCGCTTTTCGCGGTCTGTGTCTTTCTGGTCGCTAGGTGACTGCGAACGGTGGCCTGACGCGTCTGCGAGGGTCGTCGGACGCCCTCCTGTTTCTAAGCGCCACCGCCGCCTCATACCGAAACGGTATCTCGCGCGAGCGATTCTTCTTCCGATCGCCTCCTCTCCGCCGCGGAGATCGAAACGCGGGATATACTCTCACGGAGAGTAATCTCAGGAAATAAGGAGGAAGACGAAGTAGAACAACGTAGTAATAGTAGCAGCACAGACGTCGATTCGTAGGGCAGCGCGATGCTCGCTCGCACGACCGAGGAGCGGCAGGAAGAAAAAACGCGAGCGCGCGCACCGTTACTTTGAGCATTATTCAATGCTCCGAGAAGAGGTCTCCGTCACAAAGGCCGTCTTCGTCGTCCGCTTTTGCTCGGTTTTTTTGCGCAACGCGCTGACACGGAGGCGTCGCGTCGCGTCGCGTCGCGCGACGCGACGCGACGCGATGCATCGCGGTGCGAGGCAAGGAAGCGAGACTTCCCCGCAGCACGTGCTAATTTCCGAAGCACGTGTGCGCCTTTTTGCTCGTGCCGGCGGACTCTCCCGGTTGATCACGTTACGCGGACGCGCCGGATCTCAGGACGACTTGGTGGTCCTGCTTGATCGATAAAGGTCGTTCTACAATACGTGTCGTAAGTTGTAAGCCGTAAGAATTGGCGAATCATCACGGTCGATTATTACAAAAATAATCGGCTATAATTCTGGTCAGTTCTTACGGCTTACAATTTACGACACGTATTGTAAAATGACCTTAAGCTTTTATACGGTGGCGGATCGCATCGGCGACGCTTCGTTGTGTGTCCTCGAGGCTTGTGACACGATTAAAGGTATGATCGACAGGATCGAGAGAAAAGTCCCCGAAAGAAGTGTACACGGAGAGCGCATTCCGGCCTTTTTCGTGTGAAATACTTTCCAAGTTCGTCATGTTTTATAAATGTACAAGTATAAAGTGTCAGTCTTTTTATCTACCGGACTGTGGATGTTTATCCTTTTAGCCAAGAGACATAAGGAATATTTTAGTGGCAGACATCAGGTCGTAGAATATAAATAGCGCACATGAGACGGACGGATAATATAAATTAAAGCAGAATGTCGATGTGTCACAAAATTCTATAATAATCTTTCGTGGAGAATTCTCTCCGTGCGTAATTAGCTTATCGTTATTGCCATGCGTATATTCTCTGTATATTCGAGATACGATCGTAAAACGAAAAATGTTTGTACGTACAAATTTTCTGTTATATCTGAAAAGCATGCCTACACCCGGTATATCTATATATCTATATAATAGTGTAACTGAAAAAAAAATATATATATATACATAGATCTACATATGTTTCTCAGATATATATTTACTAGCAGTTACTCTCAGTGCGTAGAAGAATTTCTCGTTCAATAAGTATCAAAGGCCGATAAGACCTAAGTGCGGCAACTAGTGCGCGCAAATTATTTATACAATACTTTCCGTAGCGTGCATCCCGTGCATATGTAAGCGATATTTGCGAGTGACTTTTGCGATATCCTGCGACATTCTCAGAAACCACATGTGTAGTTCGAGGGAGATCCGCGTGGTGTACAGCACGGAGCGATGCAACATCGAGATCGAGGCGAAGGTGCGCGAGGTTCCTTGATTCTCCGGCGTGCCCGTTTGACGTCGGCAGAGCTGTCGCGTTAACTTCTTCGCGCATCTTCCGCTTGCTTACAACTCCGCGCGTATTAATCAATGCCGCGGGAGACGCGTCCTCCGCGACATTACGCGGGGACACTCCGCACGGCCTCCTCGCGAAATCCACGCAAACGCGAGATCTCGTTCGCCGTGGTGCGCTGCGCGCCGAGAATTTCGCTCCTTCGTCCCGAGAAGTAGCTCGATATAAATAGACGTGTAGGTATACTAGACATCGCAGAACGCCGCGGTGAACAGCGCGGTGCACCTTGGGCGCGCCTCGGGGGCGAAATAATCCGAGCAACTAACCGGCGGGATAAAGCGGGGGTATAAAGGGGGGGAGGAGATCGACGGTCGAGCGAAATATTCCGCTTGTCGTCGTTCGAATTTTCGATTAATAAACGGGCCGACCGAACATACAAAACGAAATACACATTTCGCCGGCGTGCGAAGTCGTCCCTCTCGTCCTCTCGTCCCGTCTTATCTATCATAAATTTTCCACGAAAAACGAAACACAAATGTCCCGGCGAAGCTCACTCGTCCGCATTACTAACGTCGTCTCTCTCTCTCTCTCTCTCTCTCTCTCTCTCTCTCTCTCTCTCTCTCTCTCTCTCTCTCTCTCTCCTCTCTCTCCTCTCTCCTCTCTCTCTCCTCTCTCTCTCTCTCTCTCTCTCTCTCTCTCTCTCTCTCTCTCTCTCTCTCTCTCTCTCTCTCTCCTCTCTCTCTCCTCTCCTCTCTCTCTCTCTCTCTCTCTCTCTCTCTCTCTCTCTCTCTCTCTCTCTCTCTCTCTCTCTCTCTCTCTCTCTCTCTCTCTCTCTCTCTCTCTCTCTCTCTCTCTCTCTCTCTCTCTCTCTCTCTCTTTCCCCTCCTCTCCGTATATTTAAATCTCGATTTTACGAGATTTAAGATCATGTCTCTCGCCCGAAAGTCGCTTAAAAAAGGGAGGAAAGGAGTAAAAGTGAAATACGCCGGACTGATCGCGATACAAAGAAATCTGCCTCCATATGACAGCTGAGGTCTCCTCTGTCCGTAATATACGCTCATGGCGACACGTTTGTGAGTTCTGCCACTGCTCAAGTGTGAGAACAAAAAGGAGAAGGATAAAACGGAAGAGAGAGAGAGAGAGAGAGAGAGAGAGAGAGAGAGAGAGAGAGAGAGAGAGAGAGAGAGAGAGAGAGAGAGCGAGCAGCGCCGCTCGCGAAATTTGTCTCGCTTGATGCAATAAAACTAGGTGAGACGAAGAGACTTATCGTCAGGCCGCAAAATACTGCGATATTCGATCAATACCGCCAGGTATTCGACGGGCGTGCACACACGCGAATACGTGTATACGTTGCAAGGGACGTTTGGCGGTTTAACCGCATCGAGCGAGCGGAAAAACGGAAAGGACGTTTCGAAACAGAGACAGGGATAGAGAGGACGCATCCTATCCCTGTTGTAGCCTACAGGCGGACGGTCGGATCGGAAAGGGATGGCGGGAAGCAGCGGGGGCAACGAGGCCGTAGCTACCTGAGCGCCTGAGAGCGAGCAGCCTTCGGAAAAATATTCGACTATACACGTCGATGACACGACACTACCGGTTCTACATGAACCATTGTCGGCTGCTAGTCTGTGACAAGCTCAAAGCTCGCCGAATTCAAACAAAACGAGAGCTGCAAAATTGCGGCTCTCGCGAACGGGTCTCCAGCGTGACAAGGAGCTATCTTCTTTTTTTATCTCGACATTAATTAACGTGTCGCCGATAGATGTCCGTAAAATATGCGAGCGACCTTACACTGTTGGAAAATTATGTTACAGTTGTACCGTCGCAACGCGTTGCGACGGTACAACTGTAACATTCATTGATGAGATGTCTGTATTATTGTGTCACTGTTGTTACATACAGGGTGGCCCGAAAGTTCATTCGAATTTTTATATGGTTCTAACATAGTCCGCAAGAAAGATTTTGGACGTATATTAGCTGTAAAAAATGTTATATTTTTCAAATCAATAACCGATCTCTGAACCACCCGTATACCTAGTAGGAGAAGTTTGAGATATATAATCCGAGTATCGTTGTGGCGTTCAAATGCACCGTGACGTTTTTTATCGTTTTCAATGAGGTCGATACCAGTGATCAATTGAATCTTGCGTTTGAGTCTCAGGCGAACGATGAAAATGTTTGCGTTTCTCTTTGCAGATCTCACGTTTTGCAACTCATTCCTACGGAGAGATGGCTGGTGTTGGCAAAAGAGCGCTTTTACATGAGGTCAATCCTCATCTAATTTGTCCTCTGTGCCGGGGCTATCTTATAGACGCCACAACCGTGGTGGAGTGCCTACACTCCTGTGAGTGAAGTTTAGCTTTCAGTTGATTCTGGATTTTTATCGATTACCACTTACGGTGACTAATGCGCTGCGTTTTTATTATTTAGTTTGCAGAAGCTGCATCTTGAAGCATCTCAGCAAATCAGCGCACTGTCCATCGTGCAAACATGCGCTCAACAAGGCTAAACCAAATATCAAGTAAAACCACGTTCATTAATCGTTTGTTCGTACAAGTCTGCGATATGATTTGCGATAAAATTATTATAAACGAAGAAATATAAATGTAGATATGACAAATTACTGCAAATAGGAGAAGATTGGAAAATAGCCAAGATGTGGTATTCTTAGATCCCATATTCCGGATCGATTTAATTTCATTCCACGATGCAGCTAATGGAACAGTCCTTACAGCACCTTAAGATTAACTTACTTACTGACTGCTTTAAATATAAGAACTGACTATAAATATTGCCCAAAGTCTCATGTATTCCGGGAGTTATGTCACTATCGAGTTATTCATGAATACGACTTCTTTCAGAGCCGACAAGGCTTTACAAGATATCGTGTACAAACTGGTACCCGGGCTGTATCACAAGGAGATGCGGAAAAGGAGAGAGTTTTATAAAAAGCATCCCGAGCACGGTATATATTTGCTATTCTCAAACTTTTTAACATCTTGCACACCTTTCATGATGCAAGTGACGATATTCCGGGTATATCTAATATATCAATTTCCCAACAGCGGACTCCGCTACACCGGAGCAACGTGGCGAAGACGTGAGCGGAAGATTGATCTTCGCCCCGGAGGACGCGGTGAGTTTGAGCCTGGAGTACCTACCGCCGGGAGTAGATCCGTTGGCCATATTGAGCACCACGGACACGGATACGAGCAACTCGAATGGCAACGATACTGACGACAGTTATACTAATACTAACAATAACAACAACAACAACAACAACAACAACAACAATAATAACAACAACAACAATCATAATAACGGGAACAACAGAAGGTATCTGCAGTGCCCGGCTCTGGTGACCATCGCGCACCTGAAGAAGTTCTTGGCGCTCAAGTACAGTGTCGATATGACGAGATACACCATCGAGATCTGCCACCGGCGTGCGCCACTCCCGGAGCACTGGACTCTCATGGACGTTGCTTACATTTACGCTTGGAAAAGAGTAATTGAAAAAACTTGATGTGTTTACAATTTTTAATTCAAGATCATTAAATGACTTGAGATATCGTGAAATAAATTAGAATTCTTGCAAACGTACAATTGTAAGTTGACTTCGGTTATTGGCAAGCAACTGTCTCATTTACCTTGTCTCTCCTCTCTTACAGATTGCTCCGATGAGATTTTTCTACCGAGTGGCGCAAGAAGAGCAACGACTCGAGGCTCCGTTGCACCAAAGGCCGTCGACTCCAGGACTCGGAGCATGTTTACCACCGAACGATGCTGTTGTTATCAATGCGAAGGATGACAGTAATTCAGACGCTTCCATTGATCGATCAGCGACTCCGGAATCGGACGCAAAACTGGCGGACGATGAGGCGTCTATGGCGAAAGAGTTGAGTAAAGTTACGAGTGACAAAGCGGATTCACCCACGGACAACAGGCAGATTGATGACAAGTTAACCGTGAAAACCGGGGCGAATAAAACCATAACGACGACGACGATGACGACGATAACGACGACGTCGGCGTCGCCGTTGGCGTCGGCGTCGGCGTCGGCGTCAACGACAGCCACGGAAGATGGAGTAACCAAGACTACGTTATCATCAGGGTTAACAATGACGAATGCAAAAACAATATTGACTACATCGGCATCGACCGTGATAAGTACGACAACGACGATGGCAGTAACGACGACAATGACAACTACAATGACAACAACGATGGCGACGTCGACGACGATGGCAACGTCAACAACGATGGCGGCGACGAAGACGACGATGGCGACGTCGACGACGATGGCAACGTCAACAACGATGGCGGCGACGAAGACGACGATGGCAACGAAGACGACGACGATGGCGACGTCGACGTCGACGACGACGACAACGGCGATGTCGACGTCGACGTCGACGTCGACGACGACGGCGATGACGACGACGACGACGACGACAACAGCGACAACGAGCAACGATACGAACAATAAGCAGATGAAGAGCCCGATTAAAATAATGAAGAATCCAGACGGCAGATACGAAGTGCTGAGGAGTACATCGACTAGTTGGAACGGAAAAGAGCAAGCAAACGCGACCGCCACTACCGGAGCTCTGCCGGACGTGAAACCTGCAAATCCTGAATTCAGTGTTGTGAGTATAGGGAACGGGCAGAATTCCAACGGCGTGAAAATTACACTGAAACAATGTTCGCCGGCAAGCAGCACGAACACGAAGAAACCGAAAGTCATAAGTAATGTTATGGTGCGTTGCGGTCAACAATTAGAAAAAGAGACATCAGATGCGTTAGTAATTCAACCGTTGCAAAAGGACTTACAAAAGGACGTTGGAAAAGAGCTCTTCTTGTCGCCTCCGGGACAAGGTAAGCAGCAACAGCAGCAGGAGAAACACCGACGCAAAGTGACATTTGTAGATCGGCCGATGCCCGAGAAGACATCTCCCAGCAGTGGTGTTGCTGGCATGCCAAAAACCGCACTGAAGAAGCCGGTTGAGCAGCAGGACAAGAAGCAGTTCCTACAGGGTTTTCAGTTGACCGCCAGGGAATCCTTGGCGGAGAACGTCAAGCTGAAGTCTTCTATCCGAAACCTCAGTACAGCCGGTGAAAACAGTTACTCTCAGAGAAAAGATAACGCTATGCCGAAGATAGAGGGACCTCCCAAGAAGGATACCACGATGCACAGTGTGGTCGACGAGGTCAAAAGTAAAATCATTGTCGAGAACAGCGGCCCGAGCGTGAATAACAGCAATAGCTCGGCAAGCACGGTCGTGAAACGTGTCAGTGGGATGCCAGCAAGTAATCAGCGTACTTATGCGACTAAACTTTTGGACGATTTCGACACGCATATGTCATCCAGCTCGGGTACCAGCAGCTCAGCAAGTGCGAGCGTCAAGGCGAACGCGAACGGTGGTCATTCGGCGGCTAAGATGGACGTGTATACTTTCCATTCTAGCGATCCGCCGATTGTCCCGGCCGGAGCTGTGAAAAGAAAATGTCCACCGGGTGTCCCTATCAATGACTTGAAGCGCAGGCGGCAGTACACCCAGCCGCAAAATCAAGGGCCTAAGAAACAGCTCGAAGCCCCTCCGAATGCATCACCGCCAAAGGTACCGCGCGCTTTGTCGGAACACATGGTTCCCGCGAGCAAAACGAGCAGCAGTATATCCGACTACCACAATGTTCCAAGTCGTTCAGTGCCCAACGTGAACGCAAAAACCCCCAGCGGTCCGTTACTTTCCAGCGACACCAGGAATCTCTTAGACGGCTGCGGCTTGAACATTCCGTCGAGTCTGAGCATAACGCTGACCTCGCCGAAGTCTCCAGGAACTTCTGGGCAGTATGCCGAGACAAGCGACAGCAACGACGGTCGCAAGGCAGTAGCGCTGGGAAAGATGAATCCAACTATCACGTTGAATGACCGGTCAGTCGATCCGCGTGTGTTGAAGGCACTAAAAACTGGCCAGATCAAAATGCCAGCACCGACAAAAACGAAATTGCCGCTCACTAAGCAGACCGATCAAAGCGACCAGCATCAGCAGCAAGTACGAGGTACAACGCCGGCGAAGCGTTCCAGAAGAGATCAGGAGTCCATTCTGGATCTCAGTGGTGGCGGCAAGAAAATGGACATGCACACTCTCAGGATCCCTCAACCTGTGACGAAGCACAAAGCTAACAACAAAATGACCAACAGGGACAGTTTGCCGGACGGTATTTCCGATCAAGGTCAAGTGGTGACGCTCATGGGTGGTCACAGGTATTACCGTGCTCCACCGGGTTCTCTCACGCCTGCCGCTCACCGTGTCAACGAGTGTCCGCCGCTCCCGACGCCGTCGCGTGCACCTGTCTATGCGCCGACTCTCGGCGACCTCAACCGCGGCGGCACGAATCTCACGTCCGTCTTCCCGAGTTTGAGTCTCTACGTGCTAAGCCAGTCGCCGAATCTACAACAGTACCAGATGGACGGACGGCTGAGACTACCGTCATCGCCGCGCGCCGCCGCAGAAAGCATTGCGTCCGCCGTGGTCGGCGGCAGCGACAGCGACGTGAACTCCAGCGGGTTGAGTAGCGGCACCCCAAATAAGACTCACTTGGCTGCTCAGTGTGCGCCGGTGAAGCCCGCCAGGTCGTCCATGGCGTCTTTAGCAGTTCCTATCAACAAGCAGCAGCAGCAGCAGCAGCAGTCTGTCGATAAGTCCATCAGCAGCAGAAGCTTGCCGAGTGACACGAGCAAGCCGGCGACGTTGCAACGCAGCAACGAAACTCCTGTGGATGAGAGTTGCGTTCCTCCGCGTTTGAGCGTGCAAACGAGATATTCGTCGAATGCCGAGAACGCGAACAAATTCTCCTCGCGTAGCAACGCCGACGCTGCAAAGAGCAATGACCAGAATATCGATCATTCCAAAGACTCAGTCGCGGGAACCAGAAACGAGTCGATGGACAATTCGAAGCAGCAGCATCATGATACCGCAAGCCCAAGGGTATCGTCGACGGCTTCGCCGTCGCCACCTCCTGGCAATAACAGCGTGAGCTCGCGGAACGACGGTACCGCCGTTAGTCACTGCGATAGCAATGGTAACAACACTTCTAATAGCGGAGCAGTCAGCACTGTTGCGAAGGCAACTTTGTCAAGTCCGCCGAAAAGCAAGGTTGACACAAGAAGCTGCAAATCTCCAGCGAGCCCGGATTCCAGTTCAGTCACAGTGGAGAGTCTAACAGGCAAGGGTTGCGCGACTTCGACGGACTCGGCAACGCCGACTGACAGCCACACGACGACGGACACAACGAAATCTTCTGAACCGGTTGTGAAGCCGAGCGACGGTAACATTATCGAAGGCACGACCACGACTGCCGACGACAAGAGCAAGACCGCCAATCAATCGGTTGATGCCAAACAACAATTGACCACCGAGATAGTCCAGAAGAGACTGCTCGCGGTCTTCCCATCGAATGAATGGGCGAACAATCCCGAGGCCGCCGAGCACTTAGGGAACTTTCTCAAGAGCCTGAATGCTACGATCAAGAGCGATGGACACATCGAGGAGTCCAAAGCGGACAAGATCGAGCGAAAGACTCCCGTCGTAAGTGACGCCGCCATAGTGGCCCACGACGTCGCCGTGAAGACCAAAAAGGATGTCGTTGAGCGTTCGTAATGGTTCCTTCGCCGTCGACGGGATGAGTTTCACATAGAACCTTCTTCGAGACATCGGTGACCGCGAACTTCCAACTTGCTTCCTCTGCAGCGATAGTGATCGCGTCTCAGCCGGAGATCATGCCGCTATCATACACACGGTTGTCACGCAGAAAATCTATATTTTTACTCGACTACTGAGAGACTCCAAGGTTGACTAACAGCTCGACTAACAGGACTGGCACGAGCAGAAGCAAGAGGAAGCACGCGATGTTGTTTAATGGGCTGTCAGGCGAAACACTGCCATAATGAATCAAAGGATGCATGCGACTCTCATCGTTCCCGATTGCAGACGCACACAGCGTTACTATGTACGATTTCTTACGCAATGCGAAGTCGAGCAATCTCCCAACCAGGGAGAGCGAACGTATATCATAAGGTTTATACGGCGTATATAGGGTGAGAGAAAGTGAGTGTGTGTGTGTATGTGAGAGAGAGAGAGAGAGAGAGAGCGAGTTTTATTTTTTCAAATTTATCAAAGATGCGCATCTTTCACACGTACACTTGAGATGTTAGTGAATTTGGTATGCATGAAACCGCGTTACCAATTCGAGGCTATATTGTTTCATAACATTCCGGAAGTGAGAATTTGAAAATCGACTTGTGTCAGAGAAAAGAACATGCGATTTTTTTCTTTTTCTATCGTGGCTTACGACTTACATAAATTGTTGGCAGTGTGTTGGCAGATTGGCAACAGATCAGACCAGAATATCGTAGCAGATGTATAGCAACTATCTATGTTTGCATTGAACTTGTGTTGACAGAGCTTGCTTATATATCTTGACAGGATCTGCAATGTTCCATTTAAACACATTGAAAATAAAAACATGTACAAATTAAACAAATGGAGATAAATCGAAACGATATGCTTCGTTGAAACTATTGTAGAACGACAACTTTTGATCGGTTGTGCCGTCAATTTAACGTCATGCAATGTCTCTGTTAGCAGATTCTGTTGAATCTCCTCTGTTAACAAACTGCCGACAAAAATGTGTGCCAGACCTCGCGCACAGGTTGTCTTTTTTTTTTTACGTTTTTAGCTATCCGAGTGTATCTCTGCTTTACAAGCAGGCTGATTCCTCCGGATAGAATGTATACATTCACGAAGGATCAATGCTCCGTTTAAAAAAGTGTCTGACTCGTTTAATATTGATGATATTAATTTGATGTTGTTAATATCAAGGTATATGATGCGAAAACAGTTTGGTGCGTACAAACAGATCTTTATTACGAAGTGGAAATTGAACGTGCATGACGCATTCTTGGAAAGTATGAGAGGAATTTTTCCAACGAATGTTGAATCCGAATGGCATTGTTAGTAACCTACTTTATGTTATGTTTTACTTATTTACTTATTAGTTACATGCGTTACGCTATATAATTGTACAATAATTGTTATGTTATACGCAGTTTCGCGGTATGTCGCATGTATCATATTAATTGTATTATTTTGTGATTGTATATATTTATAATTATTGATTACGATAAAGAAACGTACGTGAAAGCATCTGTTAATTTGTAAGGCAGAGATCGAATTGATCAAGAGTGCATTTCTTGTGTTTTACATATATTGACTTCGAAGAACCAAGGTATGTATGTCAGTAAACGGAAAATACATCATTATACACTCGACATACACATTAATAGGTACAATTTTTGTGCTGTGTGTGTGTGTGTGTGTGCGCGCGCACGCGCGCGCGCGTATTTCCTTTAATAAATTTTTCTTATGTAGCAACGATTTAACCCCTTCCGAGTACTTACGCATAATATTTTAACGTTACTCGCTGCAAATTACTTTCAGTTATTACATGCGGCAATATTACATATTTAATTATTTAAGAGTAAAAGTGCTTCTGTTTTTACTGATTAAAAATAACAGAGGGATTTTGTGAAATAAAACTAGTACATAATTAGATATTAACCTCACTACATGGCAGTGCAATCGGTTTTACAGTCTGTAATGTGATACGAGCTTTAGGACCATCGCACACAAAATACAGATACATATGAGTCTTTTGTTCGCATCCGCGGCGGTTGAATGTGGTTCCCGTAACTACGCATATTTTTGATCTTGGGGACTGCGTACATACGCGTTGTCCCTGTTTCTCTTTTATTTCCAAAATCGTAGTGATTGGCGTAAGAGAAGGAGTGTAATAGTTCTGCTCAGAGCCATATATTGAATGAATGAATGAAAATACAGATACATATGTATAGCATATGCCAGCCTCGACCAATAAATATCTAGGAAAATGTCATATTGATTTACAGCATAACATAATTTTTTTAGACGCTCATTGGTTGAAACGAGAGGCTACGCATATGCATCTATTGGTCTGTTCTGTTTAGCTGCACTACTGAACTGGTGCAATAAAGCCAGCGGCACACGGTGCTTGTTTTCGTGCTGGATTGCTTGCTGGATGAAAATACTGCGTTACGATTGGTGCATTTCCATCCATCTTCGGAAATATACCAATCACAACGCAATATTTTCATCCAGCAAGCAATCCAGCACGAAAACAAGCACCGTGTGCCGCTGGCTTAAGTTAAAGTGAAAAAAAATATATGGTCTGTTCTTTTTAGCTGCACTACTGAACTGGTGCAATAAGTTAAAATGAGAAAAAATATAGTTGTCTCGTTCTAACTTATTGCACTAGTTCCGCAGTGCAGCTGAAAAGAACAGACCAATAGTCTCATTCTAACTTATTACACTAATTCCGCAGTGCAGCTAAAAAGAACAGACCAATTATTATTTTGTGCGCGATGGCCTTTATGACCGTTGTTGCTTCGCTCTAGGTTCGCGAGAGGTCGCCACTGTATTTCCTGCCGACCCGTTTCACGTTATTAACCGTAAAGCTCGGCCAATTTTGTATACGCAACGCGGAATTTTACATCGTCTATCCGTTGGTGTATAAATCACATTTTTCGTGATGAGTATGAAGGAGAATTCCACGACGCCGGCGAAGAGCACAAACACGCTGAACGCGAAACCCTACGGTAAGATCGTGCTAACGTTGAAGAATTGCCTTCTTTCCGATAAGAAGCTCAACTCCACACCATCGTATTTGGACGGCTTGGACGCAGAGACCGAGACGGATTTGCGGATATTAGGATGCGAGCTCATACAAACGGCCGGTATACTATTGAAATTGCCACAGGTGAGTTTTCCTTTTTAGCGTCTAATATCAGAGATGAATCAACCTAACCTTCATAATTCCTATATAATAACAAATTTCTTGTTTTGTGTGTGAACACACACGTGTTCGCTGTATATACAATATGTAACACATTAATAACGTGTTAAACACGTATTAATCGTTACGAAACTCATACTTTGGCGATGTTTCATTAAGCAATCGCATTGATTTGAGCATTATTGTCTACTTTTAGCAGAGAGAGAGAGAGAGAAAGGGAGAGAGAGAGAAAAAGAGAAAAAGAGAAAGGAAATTAATATTACTCTTATTTGATTCATTGTTTTAAATTTGTCAGATATTTAAAAGAATGTTTCATAGACTGAATGGTTGCATTTAGAAAACAGGTTTGGTAAAAAATATCTGTATTTGATGTATACTTTTAAATCTATCAGTAACAATTATCTACAATATGATTGCTCAACTATTGTGTAAATATATTTTGTAAATATATTTTGTACACACTACTGAGAGTTTGTCAATAGATTAAAAGAGAGATGTTTATATCAATGTGATCACTAAATGGAGCAAAGCTTTAGAAGTGTTATGATGTGTAATAACATCTGTAACTATGCAAGTTATTTTTAATACTTATAGATATAATGTTAAATGTAAGTCAGATTTGAAGTAGAAGAATTTAAATTTTAAGTAATAATTAAAGTTAAAATTTTATATAAACTGATATCTGTGATACTGCTTTTGATCACGTTTAAATCACATGATGAAAAATTATAATGGCTAAGATTGAAAGCATATTAATTTTCTAAGTTGGTCTCTTTTACTTTAACTTGTTTAGTATAGTGTAGAAATGTGTTCTTATTTTAACCCTTTGTGGACAGAACTGTACTACAATATATATTGTTCATTTGATGCGAAAGCAGCTGAAAATATATGTACTTTGCAGACTGGATGACTAAATATAATCACATAAGTGGCTGTAAACAAATGAGTGGCTACATATGCACTGGAAGTAAGTCAACGCGTGTCCAAAGCAATATAGACGTATGGACATCGGAAATATCTCTGCTAACGTCCCTGAAGGGTTAAAACAGAGCCTATTTATTATAAGTTATGACACAAGACAGTGATTTAATCTCTCGAATCTCTTTATTTTGTGTAGGTCGCAATGGCCACAGGACAAGTGATTTTCCAACGATTTTATTACAGCAAATCGTTAGTTAGGCACAATATGGAGACAACTGCAATGGGTTGCATCTGTTTAGCTAGCAAAATCGAGGAGGCACCCAGACGCATCAGGGACGTGATCAATGTTTTCAATCATATCAAGCAGGTTTCCAGTCAAAAGTAAGTAGTCTTGTGTATCTCGTGCGATAATTGACATGTGTTTAATTATTGCAATAATATTTTAGTAATTATTACAATAATAATTGAATTGAATTGACAATAATTAAACTATAATTTACAATGTACGAATGAAGGGAAATGAAAGAAAAATTTATCTTTTGATTTCAGACCAATACAACCTGTAATTCTTGATCAGAATTATGTAGCTTTGAAGAATCAAGTGATCAAGTCTGAGAGGAGAGTGCTGAAAGAACTGGGCTTTTGCGTTCACGTGAAGCATCCTCACAAGATCATAGTCATGTATTTGCAAGTTCTCGGATACGAAAAGAATCGCACTCTGATGCAACACAGCTGGAACTACATGAACGATTCGCTACGTTCTGACGTGTTCCTGCGTTATCAGCCAGAGACGGTGGCATGTGCCTGCATTTATTTGGCTGCTCGTCAGCTGCAGATACCGCTTCCTGCATTGCCCTCCTGGTTCTCGCTGTTCAGAGTCGACGAGTCGGCCATCAGGGACGTGTGTCGGCGTATACTGCGCCTCTATTGTCGGCCGCGCGTAAAACCTGAACAACTAGAGAAGCGCGTAGAAGAGTTGCGACGTCAATACGAAGAAGCCAGGACCAAAGCTCGTGGTGGAGACGTCGACGGGCATACACCGAGTCCACCATTGCCGAAACATCACAATGCCTGGGGTGGATTCATCAGTCGCAGCGGTACGCACGCTGCTCCCGAAAGAACCAAGTCACCCAGGTAATGAAAATATTAATATTGATCATAACTTCCCTCAATAAATCGCCTGCAACAATATCTGTTATTGTTAGTATTATGTTACAATATTTACTACTGATATTAATCTTGATATATTTAGTCAAATGTTGCCTAGTATTCTTTTTTTTTTTTTTTTCCCCTTATAAATTTTGTCGTACAAAAGGGATTGTTTTCTCTTGTTAACAAAGTGAAATTATAAATTAATAATTATAACTTTATTGGACACTATCAAATAATTGTATATTTAATATGTATTGTTTACAAACAATATGCAATCAAAAAGTGAGCTTATTACAACAATATAAAGAAGAACGATGATGTTCTTTTTCATATCGGTAAAATCGATTTTCAGTAAAATTTGTCGACGTCGTTCAGTGTTTTAATATTTTTGTCCAGACGCTCGAAATCACCAAGCACTTCTCCCTCTCGAGGTGAAGGGACCAAACATTCCAAGCGGAAGAAGCATAGTAGAAGTAGGTCTCGGAGTCACAGTCGCGGCAGATCCTGCAAGCCTAAGAAAACACAACGGAGGCGATCAGGAAGCCACAAATCATCACGCAGCCGTTACAGGTCACGAAGTCGATCTCGTGAGAGGGAGCTGGAGAAATCGAGCAAACATCGCAGCAAACACAGGCGACATTGAATTTATATGCTCGACGTGTATCGTAAGATATTATGATCGAGCACACATTGAACAATTAATTTGTAATATATATATATATATATATAATAAAACTTAACATAGGCCTTGTGTAATTATATTTTATTCGGAAAACGTTTCAGATCAATCGTAGCCCCAGTGAATCCCATTGCAAAATTTAATCAATCGTTGATATATTACGTATCCTACTTTAAAAGCCGGTTATTTATATTTTTATATAAAAACATGATTTAATATTAAAAATAACAAAAAGCTACTCAATGTTTCGTTTCTTTCGTAAATGAATGCAATGTTATATCTTTGTAAATATTTTGTATTAATCACAAATCTATGAACGTAACAAGGTGCTGCGTACTTCACATCATTTGCAACTTTAAAAATTAAGTTGGGGATTTTCACAAACAGATGTTCATTGTATTTTTAAGAGAAAAGTTAACTCGTCGAATGTTTCAGTTTTGCGAAATCGACTTATATCTCAAGAGACGTGGTACAATGTTACAATAAAAATACAAAAACAAAATGAAAAAAGATCAAGAAGTGTATGTCACAAAAGTATGCAACATGAGAATAAAATTTTATATTCGTAACTCAGGTCGTATCATTTTAGCAAATCCGACAGGTAATGCCTTCTTCTTCTCAGTGGCGATCACTGGTGAAAAATTGAAGACTTGCAGCTGTGGCAAAAGATGTACGACGTAATTTCTGTAGCAAGGAATATCTTCGACTGGATTACCATGTAATGTCAAGGATCTAAGATTCAACAGCTTCTTCAGTCTCAAAACATCCGTGATATTTGAGATCTTATTGCCATGTAAGTAGAGAATCTTCAAGTTTGGAAACTGCTCGATATCCTTGCCGATTTCGTCTATCTCATTGAAAGATAAATCCAGCCAGCTGAGGTGCTTAGGATAGTCGAGAACTTTGTTTGCAAGAAGCTGTAAACCTTCCATAGAGTTAAGCAAATTGTTGCTCAACCACAATGTGCTGGTTACATAACGGTCCTTCATGGTTTTTGTTGGTGCTTTTCTGGTGCGTACTGTTTGTGCATATTGTTTCTCCATCAGGTCTATATAAAAAAAAACAAATGTGCAAAACTACACCAGTATAATAAAAATATCAGTTTTCATATGGCAACATAATATATACATATGTATATCCTGCGATACTTATTCAGTATCAGACTATTCTACTACTTATTCAGTATTAGATTATTTATTTCTCTGATTAAGTCTTCTTTTAGTTTTATACACATAAAAAATTTAATCATGAACTTTATATATAACTGAATGCCTCTAAAAAATAACTGTGATGATTTTTATGCAAGATCAAAGTATAAACTTGTAAATAGTTATGACAAATAAACATTTCTTAGAAGTTTGCATAAACAATGCAAACTTTTGAAAAATATTCAAAAGACTTCCTACTTAGGAGAATACATCTTCGTTTACGTGCCATTCATAGTAGTAGCTTTCCTATACGATAAATCCAACGGTGGCGCGACCAGCATCTCTTGTTGCTCATCTCGTTTATAATCGGATCTGCGACTTTTCGGAGGATAATTGACACTTCTCATTGTCGCAGACATCTAAGCTTCGTCGACGAATGTTGTCAGATTCCGAAAACATTCGAAGTTCGCGTCTCGTGTCTGCTTCATGGCAAATTTTAGGTCGACGTAACGGGTAAGAAAAGTAATAGCGCAGTCTCGTCTCAGATCTTAATACACAAAAAATATATATATCTATAGAATACATTGCTGAAATACATATATTTATCCTGTTGAAATGACCTTACATATTATTGACGATTTTATTCAAGCTGTATCGCGCGAATTTTTCAACAAGCAAGATATATATATATATGTATAAGGTATTAATTAAAATATACTGTTACTTACCTCATTAGATTTGAAACTTATGCAGATTTAAAATTTATCCAGGGTCATTTTGAAGTTTCCCAACAATAATATCTTCATTATGTGTCATTGCGTAATTATAACACATATTATATACCTGCGTAACGACATATCGTCATTGAAAATTACAAAATAAACACACGAGATCCGAGATAGGGCGAATACTATTTCATTTCCGAATACGAGGGTTGCCTTTTATATTTCGGGAATAGAGAACAAAAAAAGGAAATTAATTATCGTACATGGGTTTATTGTTTTTCAAAATATTCTCCATGAAGATCAATACACTTTTGCATGCGCTTGAACCAATTTTCGAAGCACTTTTTCCACTCCAATTGAGGTACCTCCAAAACATGCATTTTGAACGCATCAACCGCTTCTTCAGGCGTCGAAAAACGTTGACCTCGTAATTTATTTTTGATTTGCGGAAATAAAAAGAAGTCATTGGGTGCCAAATCAGGGCTGTACGGCGGATGACCCATCAATTCGACTTTTTCAGTTCTCAAAAAGTCTCTTGTTTGAGCCGATGTGTGATTGTCCTGGTGGAGAATGATGCATCTTCGGCGGTTGGTTTCCCTTATTTTTCCGAAAACTTCTGACAAACAAATGGTTGTGTAGCATTCAGAATTGACCGTCCGACATTGCACTAATGGTACAGTTGCCACATGTCCGGTTTTTCCGAAAAAACAGGCGACCATTTGCTTCGAAGTGCTTCGTGCACGAACAACTTTTGTTGGATTTGGCTCATCTTGAAAGACCCATACAGTCGACTGCTGTTTACTTTCGGGCTCATGCATAGATCCATGATTCGTCACCTGTTACGATATCATAGACGTGTTTTGAAGCACCGCAATCGTATTTCTTGAGCATTTCTTTCGACCAATCGACACGAGCCTTTTTTTGAGCGATTGTTAAATTATGTGGGATCCAACGCGAACAAATTTTTTGACAGCGAAATGTTCATGCAATATTGAATGTACGCTGGTCCCACTAATGACCAAGGATGCCTCAATCTCACGATAAGTCACATGACGATCTTGCAATATCAGTTCACGCACAGCATCAATGTTTTCTGGAACAACAACCGATTTTGGACGACCTTCACGAAATTCATCACTAAGCGAACTACGGCCACGATTGAATTCCGTATACCATCGATATACAGTGGTTTTTGATGGTGCTTCATCGCCAAAAGTCGAATTAAGTTCATCGATGCACTGTTGTTGAGATAATCCACGTCGAAAGTTGTAAAAAATAATCGCACGGAAATGTTCACGACTTAATTCCATTTCTTGGCCGACATCAATTTTTCATGTCAACAACACAAATATAAACAACACAAATGGCGCATGGACATCAAAACGTTCTGAGTAAGTATACTGACAAAAAGTCGAACTTTACGTTAGGGACGTCAGTTGTCAGATGGCAGTACCTGGATCGTCCATTCCCGAAACATAAAAGGCAACCCTCGTAGTATAACTCAACTACTAGTTAGACGATTATTTCCCGCCATGCAATCAGTGGAAGAAAGTCGTAACACTTTAAATTCGATGGACTTCAGAACACATCCGTCAGCCAATACAGAAGTGTATTTCGTGAAAATTACTAGAAAACAAGTTCTCCTATTGGTTACTGGATGAGCGAAGTAAAACGTTACAAGCTTTCTCCACTAACTATACGCACATATAAGATCATTGCGCATGCGTCACTGGTTCACGGCTGCGTTCCGAAATTTACTGCCAGTATTGAAAATATATAGTTTATGTGACATATATTGTAAATTTTCAGCGCTGGCAGTGAATATTGGAACGCAACCCACGTTTGAACAATCAGAGAGAAGAAGAAATGTCATGGGCTGCTTTTAGCCGAACCAAGCGCGAGGCGTTCTCTGTATAACCGTACACATAAATTAACAACACCAGTGTCCACAGTTCTTTACTGATTTACCTTACCACGCACGCACCATAGCCAGCTCGGTCTATCCGTGTCATACGAATAGAGTCTGGACATCAGAGCTTTGGCGTAATTGGTTCACGGACCGGTGGCCTGAAAATGGCGGCACCAATAGAAAACCTTGCTTACTTAGCGCGAACGGGTAGATAATTTGGATGTCAAGTAATGTGTCTTCTGGATAGCGTCATATATTATTTTATTTAGCATCAACACATGAAAAGTAAAGAATTTCATAAACGAATATTTCGAAATTCAATATTTATAAAAAAAATGTAATATATTTCATGAATTTATGCAGAGAAACATATATGGGTCCATACCCTAAACTTAATTTTATTGACAAAAGTACCTGTAAAGTGACTTATAAAACTTCTAATTGGTTATATAACTAATTTTTAGAGACACTTTGATAAAAAGAAGGTTAAAGAATGGACTTTAAAATCAATATTTCTATTAATAGAATATAAATGAAATGCATTGTAAGTGGGAATAAGAGAAATAATAACATAATGAAATATAAAATATATAATATATTTAATGCAGAATATTTATAACAATATTTATTACAATTTTTCACAATAAGTATTACTTATTTTTTCATTCGTGTAATATATAAAGTTAGAAAGGAAATATTCACAACGTTGTAATTCTATTAATAAGCACAAACAAATATTTTCCTCATTTTTAATGTTACATGTCGTTATTTATCATTGATTAATATATAAATGACATAAATAAAACTTCCTCGTAGCAGATAAATTGAACTGATGACGTTTTCTCTCACCTTTGGCCTAAGGCTGTTCTTTTCAACTGCTGAACTGATACTTTTTGCACCATTGTGCAGCTAAAAAGAACACACTGAGTCGGCCATTTTCAGGTCGTGTCCAGACTCTCTATTAAGGTCATTCTATAATACGTGTCGTAAGTTGTAAGCCGTAAGAATTGGCGAATCACAGTCGATTATTACAAAAATAATCGGCTATAATTGGTCAGTTTTTACGGCTTACGACTTACGACACGTATTGTAGAATGAACTTTAGTTTGGCTAAAAACGGCTCATGACACTTCTTCTCTCTGGTTCAATAGTGACGAGCATGATATAAACAGTTGGGAACGAATCAAACCGTTAACGGTTTTTGCCATCGTGACGTTACCGAGGAAACACTTGAACGAGATCCCGCCGGATGCGTGCGGTCGGGTTCGATACGACTCTTCGTTCTTGCGACACGATTCACGACAACTGGTTGTACATTTCGCGTATTGAGTGAACTCGCAAAATTTGTGGTTACCGGCGTCGGTCGGCGCCACGGACGAAATGCCGCGCACTAAGTACACACGCAAGCCCAAAGCCGCGAATGATTCGCTGGATGAGTGCGATATAAAGCTAAAGACTTTTGATCGACACGTACAGAATAGCATCTTGAAATTACAGCAAGATGCAGAGGTGGACATCCGAACGTTCAAAACTTTTGTCGACGTGATGATCTCGCGCTTGCCGTTGGAGATACGCCAAATGACATTGAAGGAGATATTTGCTCTCGAAAGCAATAGTCAGGAAAACTACAACGAGATCACCTTGTCGGAAATGCAACTGCCTACAGGGATGGCTCCAGGTACTGAAAACGTGACTAAGACAGGTGTCAAGCGTGCCACTGCCATATCTGACGACGGTTACGCGACCGAAGGAGGCACCAGCGTTGGTAGTACGTCACGAGTCACCAAAGTACAAGCACCAGGGTCTGCAATGAAGAGAATGCGCAGCTCCACTAGGATAAACAAACTGAAAACCATCGAAACTATTCAGAAGACTGTAAAGAAGACTAGAGCAAAGAGTAAGGATCTGAGTGTGTCTACTGCGAAAACTGATGTTTTCAAGACACCAGCAATACCAAAGTCTTCTGCAAATACTTATGATCTTGTCACACCCAAGATCAAGCCAAACACACCGTTGAATGTATTAAGACGTCCACGTCAAGGCGAGATGGTACTTAGCATGCAAGGCAGTCCTTTGTTAGTTTCTGCTGTCATCGAGGAGAAGACTGCCAATGTTAATGTACCTCTATCCGATGGTAATATGATGTCCTTATTGCCACAGGAAGGATTACGTATCTCACATATTCCACCATTAGATGATGAAACGATGCATCAGTTGGAGACGCTTAAGAAACATATTGAGAAAGTTATTGCATTAAAGTAATAGCGAATGTTGATTATATTGTAACATTATTATAGTGTAGGTAACTGTAGGTCACTTAAGCTATTTTTATACTTTTACATTTATATATATTTGTATTTACTCAAGATATAGAATGACAGAATGTTTCCTTGTTGCGATACCGTCAATAAATCTCTATAATGAAAATTTCAAATAATTGCTTTACATCTGATCGAGTTGGGATTGTAAGCCCTTTAATTGAGTGGTGAAACTAGCTATTTAGCTGAGGATTGAATCAATTTATTGGCTTCCATAAAATTTAGCCGAGACTCGAACCGCATTTAATGAACCTATACCTAAATAAGGGATATAAAAGATATTGACACATTATTTTAGCAGGTTTTAATGGCATATTAGAGCGAATGGATTTTAACTCGCCTCTGAGGTCGATTAAATCCAGAATCGAACATGCACGGATAAAGGCCTTTGCATGTAGAAAATCTGTAACTGCACAGTCGATTATTCTCCTTGCACTAGAGGAATAATCGACTGTGATTGGTCAGTTTTCTTACGACCTTACGTTTACAGTTAAATTCTCTACGTGCAATGACCTTTACCTTTGTGATTGGCTAGGCTGTGTTCTGATATTCACTGCCAGTACTGAAAATACATAGTTTATGTCACGTATACTATAGATTTTCAGTGCTGGCAGTGAATATCGGAACGCGGCCCTTATAGATCTTTATGACGTCATTAATCGACCCAGGCGGGTTAAAACTCATGTCGCTTGAGTACGTCATTATTCTCGTTGTTTCACCGTGTCATTCATATTACTTTCGTCATTCAAAAACGCTATCAAGATAGCTGCATTCAGAAAATACATTTAAAAACTATTTAGAAGAAAAAATTATCTATCGGCTGCGTTGTATTTACTGAACGTAGTCAATAACATAGGGTTTTCCCTTATTATTATTCCTTTGTCCAGAAAGGGTGCGCACCGATTGACTATAGTACAATTGGACACAATACATAAAAGTGTGTAGTTATGTATATGTGTTTTGTGTCACAAATAAAGCAACCTGCATACTGACTGCAAGCAGCTTAATGTTTTGAAGTGGTGCGATAAGTTTATATAAGTTTATAGAAGTTACATTATATCAACATGGAACAAAGAGATCGTGAAAAGATAGACATGTGCTGTAACGAGGTTGTGCCGAAAATAAAGATGTATCGACTGTTTCCAAAGCTTCTAGAACACAAGGTTTACAATCAAGATGACGTAAACATTCCAAAATGGACTGTGAGTGTTACTTATTCACTATTTATTTATCGCGTAATCGATTATCGGTCTGTTATTTATCACTGTATGTTACATCAGCTTTCTTCTTTATTAGCTTAATTAGATTAGATTTTAATGATATTATTTAAGTTAATTTAATGATAAAATAATAATATATTGCAGCAATCTCTTACTGATCCAAGTACATCCAAGGATATATTTTTAAAAATAAAAACACGTGGACCAAAAGCATTTCAACGTTTATTATTATGTTTGAAACAAATAGGTCAAGAAGATATAGCTGATACATTGGAAGGAAAAGTCAAGCAAAAATGCAATGATAATATAAGCAAAGAAAATATAAGCAACAAAAAGTATTTATTATTAATTCATTTTTAATTTAGCATTAGTTATAAAAATAAATATTAATATTAAATATTGTGTTTAAATATGGGGAATTATTTATTTTAACATACATAATGACTGATGCTTACTTCAACATACATGCTGACTTGAACCTTTGAATATATGTTAAAACAATTAAACAAGAACTAATAGTAAAAATTCTATGAAAGTGATTCAGGAAAATGTTTTTGACATATCAAGCTCATCAGATCTCTGTCTGTTAAAATATATAATTACCTAAATGTATTGAAAGTTTCAATTTTAGATTTATAATATTGATTAATGATATTAACAAGTATTATATTCTGATAATGAATATTCCATTTTGACATTATTATGTATGTGATTATTGAAAAATATTTAACTTTGACGTCATATTGATATAAAAAGTAAACATATAAGATAATTTCTTCTTAATAGAATTTTCTTATAATTACTATAATTAATAACTAGTAATTAGTATGTAAATACTTAAAATTATTTATAAACATAATAAATGATAAAAAATTCTCATATACTCAATAAGTTTAATATACTATTTGCAGTGTTTTACTCTTGAAAGAAGACATTTCTTTTCTCCGTGAATGTTCTTTTTATCGTGATATTCAAAAATCTAATGAACCCTTAAAAATTGACTTACACAAAGCTACAGAGTTTTTGGATGATGGGGGCAATGATATAATTTCACGATATCCCATGAGAAGTAATCCTCGAGGATTAGTGTTGTTAATTACTAATATAGATTATAATTTATCAAAAGAAAAACCTAGACTTTCAGCACAACATGATGAAACCAATTTAAAAGAATTATTTGAACAAATGGGTTTTAAAGTTATTGCAAAACGGGATTTGACAGGAAAAGTAAGTATAAAATAGTACTTTACTTCAAACATATCTTTCTCCAGAGTAAAAATAAATGTTTTATAAATTGCTTTTTTCAAGGATATAAAAGAGGCAGTGAAAGAATTTTCAAGAAGCAGTGACCTAGTGAAGGTTGATTCATGTTTTGTGATCATTAGTAGTCATGGAACGGAAGATGAGAAACATCATACAGAGATACAAGGAGTAGATTCTGGACGAGGGGATTATGAAAAAGTTTTGTGCACTGAAATTTTAGATTATTTCAGTGTGGATGCATGTCCGCAACTTTCAGGAAAACCAAAAATATTTGTCTTCCAACTTTGTAGGTATGTAACTACAATTCTTTACAGTTGCCTTATTGATATTATCTCCTTTTCTGACTCTATCCAATTTATAAGTTGCTACAGCTACTGTTTCTCCTTACCGCGTCCGTGTGTATGTCTTGAATTATGATGTCAGAAGTTGCGTGGCGAGAAAAGACAAGAACTTTGATATTATTATAAATTATAAATATCATGTCATATATATATACATATATATAATCTATAAATATCATACAAGATAATATATTTACCTACTATATTACAATATATTATTTATCTTGTATTTTTTCAATGGTTTTTAGAGGACCGAGAAAACAGAATGCTGTTAGTAATGAAAGATTGGTTACGGATACATGTGCTGTCTTTCCTAAAGACGTAGATGAGGAGCTCAAATCTGATAATACAATTTTGATTGATAAAGACTCTATGAGAAATTACGCAGATATGCTTGTAGTTTACTCTACACTACCTGGACACGTTGCTTATAGAGACTCAAAGACTGGCAGCTGGTTTATACAGATTCTTTGCTACGTATTCATGATTCTTGCCTGTAAAATTCATGTTCGAGATTTATTCAGTATTGTAAATATTAAAATATATTAATATGAAATAATCGTAATTGCAATTAAACTTTATTAACTAATATAATTTACAGATTGATTCGGAACTGCAACATTTGAGAACAGGGGACAATAATTGTCAGACGTCATCTGTGAAATCGATCGGATTTAACAGATACTGTTATCTCAATCCCGGTTATTTTCCAGATCAAATGTGATGAGCATAAAATGTGATCATGTTAAAAGTAGGTGAATGACATTAGAAGTCAAAACAATTTGTATAAAAAACATATATATATATAAAATACACATATATATAAAAATATACATATATATATATATTTTTTCATACCTTCTAACTTTAATATTTTTAATAAGATTTTTAAAAATTTTGATAATTTTATATACAGAATTTAAACAGAAGAAGTATTTGAACACATATTTCTTCAAAGACCGTGTTTTGTCATCACCGTTATTTTAAATATTTTTCCAGATAATACAAATATGCTTAACATTCGTGTAAAATATGTCAAGATAACAAAATGTGTCTGAATTTTTCAAATTTATCTTAATGAATAAAACAAAATCAATAAATAACTTACGGTATAAGAAATAATATACGTATTTACGTACTTGCTGATTCCAAGTATGTTAATGCATTTTTATGTATTTTTCAATTTTATGCATATTTCGACAATTATACACTTATCTTGACTTTATTCCTTAATACAATTATATTGGTAATGAACGTAAAGAATCCTTGAATGTGTATATGCATGTTAGTGTAAACACATATTTAATAAAGACGTTTGGTATAAAAGAAAAGGATGCGTTGTTCATTATTGTACTCTTTTCTTTCCTTTTTTAAAAGTTTAAATTTCTTAAGCATCGCGCGCGCGGATAACGTTGCATTTCATATGACATTCTCAGTAAACATATGTTAACACACACATGTACGTTTAACTTACATTTAGAGTTTTTCGTAGCACAATGCATGTAAGACTTACATGAAAAAAGGGGTACTAGGCTAGCTTACAAGGATATTTAGTTCATACTATTTAATATCTTGATTCACGCCCCAATCTTCTTACAGATATAAATTACAAATGATCCACTTAACTATACTAAATTCGAGCTATGACCATCAATTACTTCTTTTACACGTGCCCCAATTATGTGATCGGCGAAAATACATGTACGCATTATGCTACATCACATCGCTTCGTAATGAAACTTATCATATACAGTAAAACATCTGTAAGTATATCAGGTTGATGTTAAAATCGCTAAGCGTGAAATGAATCTCACGAGATAAATTTCAACGATCCCGAAGGGAACCTAGCGATATTTACCATTAAAAACCTGGAAGGATTCCTCAAGAATCGTTCTCGATGTATTAATGCGCAACGAAAGAAGCCGGTTACGTGAATATAAACGTATCAATAATTTAAGTATATATTCTAGGTAATATAATTTCAAAGAGTGTAATGTGTAGCTATCGGTTTTATTTCATAGTGCCATATTCGGTTCGAACAGATGATGGACTAATGCCTAGGCAATTGAATCATATCGTGAGAGAAAGATGGAGCTTTATTTTTTTTCTTCTATTTCTGTCACGAAACGTTCATGCCTGAACATTCGTGTGGCGTTCCGTGCGTACGTGAATGCAAATTCGTACGACTACGCTTAGTACAAAGACTGCGCATTGGAGGAACGTGGCCGTTTGATCTTCTCCAAGTTTTTCATTACGAGATCATGTAGAGAACAGTAACGATTGCGGACCTCACATATAACGAGCCATAAGCTCACGTACTCCTTCTCATCCAGTTCCTGAACTGCCCTTCTGTAGTCAATGATGTGTGGATACTTGGCGACTTTACTAACGATCTTACCTCTGGAAATGAAGTACCTGTGAAGGAAATGGGAGATGTAATATTGTTTGTCTCATCATACCAAGAATATCCGACATATAAACACAAATATATCAAAACTGCTCATTTTTATTTTACCTAGAAATTTGATCAAAGAATGCGGCAGCTTCGCTCTCAACCGATTGAATCTCAGCTAATGTATCCTCTTGAATTGACACACCAAAATTATTTCCATCCTCGATTTTTGGGATAAGGAAAGAAATCCACATTTTTAGCTACAATAATAACATCAATAATCATTTGAACAGTCCATTCACAATATGACAAATAAAAGTTATTTCAAGGGTCATGATATCAACAAAGAAATGACAGTAAAAGTGTTACTAATAAATCTTAGCACACTCATTACTCACTAAATTAGAGTCCTCTAAAAGTTGTCTAATATAGGGTTTAACTATGTGAATCAAGTCACACAATGGTTTGTTGCAAGGTACTGGACCATTTGGAAGTACCAGTACTTTGGTTCCACTAGTATCCTCCACATTATTTTCCAATTTAATTTTCTTCGAAGCAGGGCCATCTTCGGAATGATTGAGAATTATGGGGTCTGGAATGGGTACATTTAAGTCCTGATGTACATCTGACAGCTTCCGATTACAGAATCCAGGTGTTTCCAGCAATTCATTTAATTTGACTATCTTCTCTGGGAATCCTTTTATTAGGAGTTGCTCTGCCTGAATGACATGTAGATAATAGTGTATATTGCATGTATAACCTCCTGATAATAAAAATAAGAATAATATTTAAGAAACCAAATTACCTTAGACTTAAGAGAGTCTTTGTATTCCTGAACCTGTAAAATAAACTCATAACATGTATTACTTTGATAAGATACTTGTACAAAATATGTTAAGTAATAAATAATTTAAGATCAAATAAAAATATGTTATAATATATGTATAAATCTTTTTGTTAGATATAATTTATAATAAATTAAAAATAACAGTATACAAATAAGAATAATGTCAATATCGAGATAATATAATTGAAACATTAAAGATATTATTCCAATACAAATCATGTTTATTACATTTGTAAATTCCTCATTTTCTGTGTAACTATTTGGCAATATATTACTTGAGTTACTGCGCGGATTACTAGGAAATGCAGGAAACATTTATACAAATATTGATAAACACTTTAAACAGAAATATTTATAGAAAATTATATTTAAAACTTGCTTGAAATTTCGAAGTTTCAAGCAAGAATTTAGTTCCGAAAATTTTAATTTGTACTTGCACATGACAGACTGTAATTTTCAGAGGTTATGACAGAGTACTCAATTGTTTACTGAATCACACTGTGATACAAATTTTTGGTATAATTTTGGTATAATTTGAGATATTTTACTTTTTAAAAGATAAACATGAAAGAAACAATTCATCCCAATAAAATTTGGTTCTATCTCTCTATTTTGAATATGTATCATGTTTTTATTTGTACAACCTAAGGAAAACAAGAATATAATTTAAAATTTAATACATGGAATTCTCTCTGAACTTATATTACACCTAATACTTCTAATAATGCTCTAAAGTAGAAACATTGCTTTGTCTAAATTCCTTTTGGCCATTGTGTCTATTTAACATTCAGTGAGAAACAAGGATACGATGTTTGCAATAAATACAATTGCCAAGTAGAACTTGGCCTTTGTTATTAAAAAGTTTATTACTTTTAAGGATCTGTATAACAATTTCAGATAGTTTTACTATTGGACACAAAGACCATGATAAGCAGTAGCTATATATAGCAACAATATATATATATATAAAAAAAAGACAAGACAAAGGCACATGTATAGCATGGACAATTGTGCAACCAATAACAATGATACCACCCTCTTTTCCAATGATGAACCTGCGAAAAAGGATTTAAGTTAAGCTATAAAGCTATAAGATATCTACATAAGGTGGTTACTTTTGGTAAGCTATCAAAGCTTATCAAAAGTAGTACCACATTATCACTCTATTAGTAACATTCCTATCTATTTCGTTAGCTGTTAACGCCTCAGCTCGTTAATGGTGCGAAATCGACGCTAAGACTCGACTGAAAAGGACCATCAGACGAAGCATTACAGCGAACGCATGCGGAGAAAGAGGTTAAAATCGTTAATGTGTGCCACGAACGTTCTTTTTCATGGCACCCGAGCACGCGCCTAAGCGTTGGCGATGTACAAAGAAGAACGGAAGGAGTCGAGAGGATCTCGTTGACAAGCTCGTTCTCCTGTGCGATCGCAATAGTGATGGTAAACTCGAAACTTTTCCTGAACGGACAGGCGAGTAACACAAGTATTAACAAACATGCTCGGACGAATACCGGTGCTTAACCTAACCATCATGATTGCTGTTCCGTCGACGCACACTCGTCGCAGTTAGATCGGTCCTCCTTAAGCAGCGCTAACGAGCTCGATTACGCCACAAAATTGCGATATTTTACCTTTTGTGCCGTAGCATCCGCCATTATACGTCCTGTAGAAAAACTTTACTAAACTACACTGTGTGTTATGTCCCTTTGTTGAAACGTGCACTTTAAGCAGGAAGTGGCGCTACGGTATGTTTGCAGTAAGTACTTTGCTACTACCGCCGTCAAACTACGATCTCGCGAAGCATTATGGGGAATTGCGCTGCCATCCGATGTCCGGTATGCATTTCTCAATGGGGGAGTTCGTTCTCTAGAGACGGGAGACGCCGTCGACCGTAAACCTAGAGGATGAACTTTCTTATTGGATGCGCGAGTCTGTCGTATCATGCGACAGCGAACGCAGCGCGCGATTTTTCAAATGTAAATTATGATATACGCTATTGTATCGATTGTATCCAATTTCGCAAAAATGCAAATTAAATTTGTTTCGAAGGCAAGTAAACAGATGAATGATTCTTTTAGTCTTGTTATATTTCATGTTTTTCGACATTATGACATCTTCACTTCACTTCACTTCGCTCGTTCTTCTTTCTCTCTGAGGAATATTTACGAAAAATAACTCCTAAAAGCTAGATCAAGAGGACTTATTCGTTAAATCTCAGGCGAATTGATCATTTCGTACTTGTAACAGTCGTTCTCAAACAATTTCTATTATCGATAAAGGCAACTCTATACGAACATATCGGATAAATGAGCACTTCTTTGCAATAAAAGTGTCGTCATTGTTAATTACGGAAAAACACAGTTAATCAACCATGTTTAATGAAAGTAACTAATTATTAATGGTTATAATTATTGTGATAAATTCTTTCTCATATAAATACATATTAAATAAGGCTAGGTGAGTTTCTTCGCTTTCTGATAAAGTGTATCGACGACCTTTCCCATGCTGTGTATCGTGTCCAGCGCAATTTCGTAAGTCTTGTCGCGGGGTGTATCTTCGAAAACAATTAAGACGCCTTCTCCCTGATCGAGAACGCCACGGAGCTTTTTGTCCAATATCATCTGCGATAGTTTCTTTTCTACTTGTGCCAATGGTAGAGATATACACGAGGCGATGTGGCTCACCTGTGGAAAGAAGAAATTAATCCCATTTATCTTTATCGAAAGAATTCAAGCTCGCCGTAGAATTTTCGATTGAAAAGAAACACATGACCTCCAATGCACGCCAATATATCTTTATAAATACCTGAACTCGCGAATAAGGTTCAACTAAACGACACAAATTTTGCTCCAGCATAGCATCATAGAGAGAACCGAGGTGTGCGCGTACAATCACGTCGTCCTCCAATTGTTGTCGGTATTGCTTTACTGCCTTCTGAAAGTCTGCCAATGATCGTCGATGGCTAGCTTCAGCGACTGCTCGCATCGCATCCAAGTCCAATCCTGCATATTTCACTGCCAGTTTGCCAGACATGATGGCCTGGACGTCTTCTGGTGTACGCAACATGATCTTAGACAATAACATGTACTTGAGCGCCGTCAATGCCTTGGGACTTTCAACACTGTCATACCTAAGAAAAGAATATATAGATATGGTACTATTGCAAGATATAAAATTGTGCTTTCTAGAATAAGATGTATTGATTACTGTACCCTTCGAAGGCTTCATAGAAGTAAGAGTAGGCAGTCTTGAAATCTCGCTCATCCGCAGCATGCAATATTCCCGATTGTAGATCCAGAGCTGCTTGCATCTTGGGTGGACAGTAAATCGCGTTGGCAGTTGTCCTAGCGCTGGTAAGCGCTGCTCTCGCCTTTGCTAAATTGCTCAAAGCATGATATGTCTTGCTCTCTAACAATTGAACCTCTACTAGTAGCTGTTTGTCATCGAGTTTCTTGAGCTCTTTCAAGAGAGCAGAACCCAGCTGCAAGGCTTCGCTGAACATACCAGTGTCGAAGTAAAGGGCTATTAAGCGTGCTTCCAATGATTGCCTTAAAAATGTTCTGCGTTCTTCCTTTGCCCATTCTATGCATTCTTTACACAACTGCACCTAAACACAGAATATATATAAACTTTGTAGACAAATATCAATAGATTGTGTAAAGGAGGCTTGAATTTTAAAGTTATCAAGCTCCACAATTAAAAAAATTCCATTCTAAATTTAACCTTCAAATTTTGTCAATTACATATTCCTTCTTTTAATTTTGCAATCAAAGTACCATAGCTTGTCAATGCAATTAGTTGACATTTATCATTAGTTGAAGAACTGACCTAGCATAACCTAATTGATTCTGTATCTTGTATTGATGTTTTATATTCCTCCACACAATACAAGCATGAGCACAACATCAATTACCTCGATACCAATGCCAGCTTCTAGATCTAGGAAGAAGTCCACCAAAGAACGCACAAGCTTGGCGGCTTTTGCTTTGCTGATAAGGCTGAGGAACGGCCTAGTAGCTTTGATGAGTTCTGCCAGCTCTTTCGCCTTGCCCTCTTTCTTGTAGAGTTCGCCCAAGTGCAGGATACCCTGCTCCTTGACGCGAATGTTATCCTCGTCATCCTCGGCGACACCGATACTCGGGTCCGACACGATTTCGTTGAGCAAAGTGATGCCCTCACTGCGATCCGTCACCGAAACCGCCTGGGCCCGCTCGAACAACATTGCACCGGCCATCTCGGAGTTGCGGAGTCTTCGTTACCCCGTAAATGCGCTAATCGTCGGAGACGTTGTTTGACGGCCGGAGCGTGTCTGTGAGCGACTCACACACTATGTCCCGTCACGTTCGCACGCTGTTATTACCAGTAATAGCCACCGCGAAGGACAAAAAAAATGTCGCGAATGCAGAGCGCACACGTATGTACGTACAAAACGTGCCAGACAGCGCGGATGATGTCTGCGTAGCAGTGCTGGCGAGCCAATCACACTTATCGAACGTAACTATTCTTGTTCGCTTGCGAGGTATACACAACAATGCACTCACTCGTCTGTCTGTTCATTCGTTCGTTCGTTCCTTCCTTCCTATACTCGCTCTTACCGCCGCTTTCTTTCCCGTATCTGTTTTGTCACTCCTCACCGCTCTTCTCGCCAAATTCTCGAGGCCGCAAAACTCGTGTCATGGTGCTACGTGAGTCAAACGAATCATTGTGTCATCGACGCTGTGATTTTGTCGCGCGCCTCCCTCATTGTACGCCATCTCTCGTTCGTGGACTGGAACTAAGAGGGTTTAAAGCAAGTTTATTATTGAAAAGCCACATTTATGCCAAACTTCCGCGCGAACCGTCGACCATTTTGAACGGAAAGTAGTGTGCCAGTCTAGAAAATTTAAATACAGGCAAATAAATACTATATTTTAAAATTAATCAGTTATATCTATGACAAGAGAAATGCAGCAAAACAATATTCTACAGTACATTTTTACTAGTTTTGTGATTTTGGAAAATCTTTGGAATATTTTATTAGAATATTTATTATAAATAATATATCTAATACTATTTATATGCAAAAGTATAAAATAATTTATTTAAATTTAATGAGTATTTATTTTGTAAGTATATATATATAGTATATTTTACAGAATCACTTATTGATTTCCATTCTGCATTAATAAAGAAGCATTTTTCAGCATTTGTACTTGCAAATTACATAAAGTTTCTAGTAATTTTTGCTGAATATGTTCAATTGCACTAAATGTCTCCATAAAGTTTCTCAATTCATCATTAACAGTACAATACTGATTGGCTTTAGGTCCAATTAGATTCATAATGTCCTCCAAGATTTTTGAACACTTTTTTAATGCTTCCTCAGTCTCTTTCCATTGTTGTGGAGTTTCAGGTAGAATTATATCATTACAACACAATACATCTAAAGGTGCTAAAAGATACTCCAATCTAGACAGCTTATCTTTTACTACATGAAACATTTCGTCTTCTGTAAAGAGATAAATGTATATGTATATAAATATATATTAAATCAGTGTTAATTCATATTAATTCAACAGGTTTGAATCTTACTAGTGCACTTTGTTATTGCAGCTAGTTGCGCATCAGTTTCTGCTTGTGCTGAACTCAAGTTTTTTATGTCTTGTTCCCTAGTTTTAATTTTTATCAACTTCTTCATATCTTGGTCATGTTCTTGTGTTACTGTAGCTAACTGGGTAATCATGCAATTTTTCTTTTCTTCAGTTTTCTTTTGTACTATGATATTTATCAAAAGAGAACGCAAGTATTCATCATATAGCAGTGAAAGTTCTAAATCTTTATTCTCTACATCTATACTTTTTTGTATATCTAATAAAGATTGTGATGGCATGATTGACTGTCTGCTTGTAGCAATTCCTTTTTTCTGTAACTCTACAAGGAACAATATAGATATGTAGAGTTATATTAGTATACAATGAAAATAAATAGTATACAATGAAATTAGCATAGTTCAAATAGAATTTCCACAAAACTCACTCTGTGTCCGCATTATGTCACTTGGTATCATTGTCGTTCTATTAAATTTGGATTCATTTCTAGATGTTATTGTACGACTATTGTGTACAACAGTATCTAACAGAGTTTTCTTCGTAACATCTGACGTGGCTAGTCTATAGGCTCTATACAGAAAAAGACAGTGTTAAATTAAACAGACACAGATTTCGCGATAAAATGAAATGCTTCTTCACCTTTGTGTACGTTCAGATTTTGAAGTATCCCTACTGGAATCCTGCATTTTTACAATCACACTTTTTACAAATACACCAATATCCTTATTTTGTAATTTTTAACAAATAATATCGCTATCAATAAGTATCGTCGTATAGCTATTGTCAGTTATTATGTGACATGTTATAACTGGTTATATAGTCAAAGGTTATAATCTAATAACAATTACTTCAATGGTAATAACCACTGAAATATATCCTTCCTTCCTTCAATATATGGCTCTGGACTTGTGGAAGTAGGCCCCTATGCCATTCTTCTCGATAAAAAAGGTAAAAGAAAAACAGGGACAACGTGTACGTTGTTTCCACGATCAAAAAATATGCGCAGTTACAAGAACCACATCCAACCAGTGCTGGGAGATCCAGAGAATTTCCGGGCGTGCGCATTGAGCAAACGCTGTGGGAGCCTCAGTACCGTATTAATTTAAAGGTATTTTATCGCCCGTAAGATACTATGGATTGAAAATTGCAATCGCATAAATTAGGTAATCTAAATCTTGGTTATTTAAATTGGTTCAGCTGTAATTTTCAATCTATAGTCTAATACGGGCGTAAGATCCCTCGTTTGAAAGAAAATATGAAGGAATTGTAGGGAAAATAGAAAAGTCTGTGAAAGAAACAGAATGTTTTTCATAATTAATAATAAACATATAATTTTATTTTTTAATAACTGCAGAAAAATAATATATGAATACCAACATTTGTTGTAATAGCAAGGGAAATTGCAGAAAAACCTTACTAATATTCTTACAATAAAATTGTACAAAACAAATAAACGTTAAAAAGAATACTTATGTTAATGTTGAACACAATATTTAATACTATCATTAATGATATGTAAATGTTTAATATTACACACTTTCACTGTTATTGAACGTACCTGATGCCATGTCAACCAATCTTTAAAAATGTTCATACATAACGCTGTTCTAAATTTTTGTGCTCCAACTTTCCTCTTCTCGATGCCACTGGTTAAAGGTTGGTCATCCATTTTCACAGCACTTAATATTTTATTTAACAAAAAATGAACACTATGATTGCACTATCACTATTCTTATACACTACATATAAACACTAAGTAGTACTTACATTACATTAATTAATGATATTAAGAAAATATAATGTTGATGTAACATAACATAAATATAACATATTTAATGTTTACTGGGTAACCTAACCCTAAACCACGCACTCGCGGAAGAAACGCGAGAAAACAACTACGGAAAACAGATATTTTGCGCAGGCCCCTCCATGCCTCCTCTGTCATGCGTTTTAAATCGTCAGTGGTTTTTGACATATATGTAGCTTACGTCACTTCAGGCATGCGCTGTAAGCGTGGTTTCCCAGTAAGCAAAAATTGAATCACATCCTCACGTCAAATATCAGAGTAAGATGTGTTACTAGCAGTGTGATAACAAATAAATGCATCAAACTAAGAATAGGTTCGTAACATTGATGTTTACTGTCATATCATCAATGCTTTTGACAGCTGTACTCGAAATTTTTTTATCACTTTATCATGTAGCATACTGACTGATATATTCTTATCTTTTAGGAAACAGGATGTTTTGCCTATGTTTGCCTCTGCAAATAAGGTTATTGTGATTTACGGTCAAGAATGATGAACTTTTTCCCAAAAATTTAGGATCGGTCCTTAAAGAAGACAACTACAGTAAACTGAAAAATAAAAATCATATAAATGGAAGATGCAAGAGTCACGAGAAGTCAAGGATCACAAAGAAAATAGAAAGTAAGAACATGTTATGTTATGCGTTTATTTCCTCTTTTCCTATTAATTTTGATAGTTCGTACAAAATTAATAGTAAATTTAAATCTTTGCTTTCATCAATTTTGGCCCAAATGTCTTGTAATATTTCTTCTTTTCTTTTTAAGGAGGAATTAAAATCGGATTTTGCCCAAAATGTTGGATTCTTCATCATGTTATGAACGTTTCTTTGATGTTGTGTTAAATTTTCTGTAATACATAATATTAAATTGTAAGAATGCTAAAAATATTCTGGCAATAAATGCAATAGAATGCTTAATAATATACCTAAAAATGTAATGATTGTTGAATGTTTACAAAGACTTTCCTTCAGTTCTCTATTATGTTGCTCACTTATATTATTTGTTTTATGTAATTAATATTAATATTCTGCAAGAACTTGGATAGCTGGGAAGCTGAAACAAAAAATTAATCAAAAGAAAGAATCGGTTCAACATCTATCATTACTGACTATACATAGATGCTTAATCTTTTATTTTATGTGAATATTAATTACTTATCTGATATGTATTTCTTTATTGTAACAGTGGGAAATTTATGCCAATGCGAAGAACCAAGTCACAACCATGACCGATAATTTACTGAAGCATGCCAAAACACTGAAAAACTTAAATTATTTATTTACATTTAATAATTATATATCTAGTTACACATATACATATATATGCATGTATACACACACATATATATATATAATACATATATATTTATTTATTTATTGTTTTTTACCTTATTGACTTTATGTTCTCACTCGTCTCATTTATTTTGTTATACGCACTTTATGTTTTCACTTATGTCATTTTTATTTAATATTATAAAGTATTTTACATTTATAATTTGACGATACATGATATTTGTGACACACGTGCGTACATCTGTCAAAAAGTTTGTGCAAACTAACAGCTTACCACTTAAACAATATTACTAACCTTTAGGAATTAAAACTATGTCGTCTAGAAATTTTCGTTGATACCAACCTTGTGTCCGCCATTTTTCGGGAAACTGTCGCGTTACCCAGCACTGTCATCCAACCGCCACGGAAGCGAACAAAAGACTTTTTCACTTCTTCTTCTTTCAACTATGGGCCCGAGATTTCAATCTCTCTGTCCATTTCAAGTTAATACAATAGTTAAATAACGCAGCCAACCTTGCGTACAAAACTCTCCAGAAGGTAAAACCTGGGTATTGCTGGAAAAAACTAAATCGGCAATTTTCTCAGCAGTGCTGCGATTCTGTGACTCGTTATTGAAGTTAACGACAGTTTCGTTATTGTTGCGCAGCTTTTCTACGGTATACAAAAGCTGCGCAACGATAACGAAAGTGTCGTTAACTCCAATAACGAGTTACAGAATCGCACCACAGGGCCGACACCCGCTTTGTGTAGTTCTTTTATAAGCCGATAAGATTCCTTCGAATTTCGGCAACATTCAAAAAATACATGATCAATGGTTTGGATACAATTGTCAAACGGACACAATGGAAAGTCCGCTATGCCTTTATCAAATAAATGAGCATTGACAGCCACGTGATGCATTCGAAGTCTTCCTATAAGGGTCAATGTACTTCTTGATAAGTAATCATATTCTCTGAACCATGGATTTTCGAGTTTCTTTCTGACTCTGTTAAAATAACGGTAACCCTTCATCAATGCGGACATCTTCAAAAATTTGAATGATTCCTCTTTAATTTCTGAACTTATCGATTTGAACAAGCTGAAATAAGGGTAAATTTGCTGATAAGGATCACTAGGCGATTCTCTCAAAGCCGCTTCCTTGGCCAGTGCATCAGCTCTTTTATTGCCCAAGATATCACAATGACTTGGGATCCAGAGCAATTTCACAACTGTACCATTACGGTGGAGCTGATACAAAATATCTTTTATTAAAATGATCCATGGATGCGTATATTTTGAATCTGAGACTTTTAGAATCGATGAGACCGCGCTTCTAGAATCCGTGGCAATTATTGCTTTTTTGATATTACATTCATCGATAATTCTGAGTGCGTGTAACAAGGCCGTGAGTTCAGCCTCAAAGATAGAAATCAAGCTAGAGAGACTTAATCTCTTTTCAATCAAAGGGTTAAAAGAGAACACGGCACAACCTGTTTCACCAGAGCCAAGTTTGCTACCATCTATATATAAGATTGTGTGTTCATGACATCCATGATTTTTTAGATATGATTGAAACAGGTGTTTCGCAGAGGGTGTTATGGCAATAGTGGAAACAATGCTGGTATATAGTAAAGGAAATATTATCTTTATTGCATTTAATCTGAAAATTGAAACCCGAACAAGAGTCCCTTTCCGGCTGAAAACTCCCAACTTCCAGGGAAAAATCCAAAGAATTAGATAGAGAAGTACGATACATATTAGCCCCGAATTACTCCCATAAGCTCATGAGGGTGGATAAAAAAAGATCCTCCATACCATGAAGTCTCCTCCTGCCAATATCTGAAAAGAGTCATACGACTAGTTTAGACAAGAAATGCGATTTCACAGAGAAGGCTTTTAGAAGTATCTGGAGGTCAATAAAGATCTACGGAACTGAAGAGGAAGTTCATTAGCAAAATCCAGCACAACATTAGTAGGTGTTGTAGACATTAAGCTCATAGCGATACTAAGCGCAGAAAATTGCACTCTGTCCAAAATAAGGGCATCCCGAGGAACAATATCCAGGAAGGAAGACGAACCATAATCTAAAAGACCTGATCCAGCCTTTATAGACAGCAATCAAGTTGTGAAGGTGAAAACCCCAAGAAACCCCAGCAATAGCCTTCATAACATTCAGTTTAAGCATATATTTGTCTAATATCTTTGACGTGAGCTGTCCAGGACAGAACTCTGGAAAGCGTAAAGCCCAAAAATATTACGCTTTTAAATAAGGGAACTACAATGTTCCCAAGACTCACTCTCAGTCTCCTCTTTTCTATATAGCTCCATACCTTTTTATGTCCACGGGGGAGAGAAAATGCATAATTTTGATTTCTCCGGGGCCACCTGCAAACCCAGAAATCTTAAGGCTATATATAAAATAATAAGTTAAAGCTATATATAAAATAATAAGTTAAGGCTTTCTCAAAAAAGGATATGGCTAAATTTAAATGATTGAAAATAACTTTAATACTTTGGCTTGAAGAATAAAAACATATATCGTCAGCATACAGGAGGACCTTAACGTCATCGGAAAGTTCTTTAAATAAGAAAGAAGTATATATATTGTACAAAATAGAGCTAAGCACAGAACCTTGAGGAAGTCCTATAGTCGCTGTTCTGGATTCGATCTTTTCCCCGTTATCCATCTATGTATCTAACAGAGACTATAAACTTTATGAATTTGACAAATTTCTCCGGGAGTTGAGCTTGTCTTAAAATTTGAATTAATATATTCGGTCGTACGTTATCAAATGCACCTTTAATACCTAACATGACCGAGCCTGTATGTGCAGATCTGGCAATACCAAGTCTGATGTCAGTGGTTAAATAAGTTAAGCTGTCCGACGTAGATCTACCCCGACGAAAACCAAACTAAGGATGGGGAAAATTGACTATTTTCTGCCCAGTATTCCAATCTCGGATGGATCAGCCTCTCAAAAATCTTGAGGAGAGAATTTGCAAGCGTTATCGGTCTCAAGGATCGTGAACCTAGCTTTGGAATAAAGATCATAAAAAATTGACGCCAACAATCTGGGTAAATTCTCAAGTGAAAAATACGATTGAATAATTTCAAGAAAAAAGAAAGAATCGATTCTGGAAGCAGCTTAATAACACGGTTAAAAATAAGGTCAGGGCCATGAGCTGATTTAATCTTCAAAGATGAAATAATAAAGCAAAGTTCTTCCTTAGTAAACAGTCTTACCAAAGAGTCAATATCAAAGCCGGGAAATAAGCCATTCGAAAAAGAAAAATCAGCGGGAGAAGCGCCTTCCCATTCACAGGTGAGACGAAGTCTTCCCCTATTCACATAATCCCCGTCCAGTAAAGGTGTCAGGGGGCTTAACTCTGAAATTTCTCCAGTCAGAACCTCCTCAGGACAAACAAAATGCCGAGGAGGAGCCAACTCTGAAGAGGGACGACCTTATCGAAGGCCAGTACAGCAGCATCTACAGTTTCCGAGCTACTTAAGGATCTGGAAACTTCCATTTTCCTATTTTTGAAGGATCTGAGAGTGCTCCAAACCGAGGCCACAGGTGTCTGAGAGTCTAGGCTCCCACAAAAATCTCTGAAAGATAAAGATTTAATTCTACATAACTCCTTCTTAACCCTTCTGGAAGTATCTTCAAAAGCGTTAAAATTATCTTTAGACGGGTTATTACAAAACCTTCTAAACGCACATCTCTTATCATTAACAAGCTCTTCGCATTTCTTATTCCACCAAACCACGGGCTGTCTGCAGCGAGCTTTATTGTAAGTCTTTTTATAAGCACCATTTGAAATCAGAGAATCTTTAATCGATTCTAGAGCATTATTATAAATCTCATTGATCGCACCGACATGAGCCGGGAACTCCTTAAAGCATTCTACAAGGCAAGATCGTCAAGATCAGCCAAAGATAAGGAGGGCCTGTATGGGGGAAAAATGGTATTAAAACAATTTATCTTTATCTCGATAATAAAATGATCACTGCCGTATCTGTCATCGGAAGTGTTGACAACCACATTAGTGGCAAAACTCGAGGAGACCAAAGTCAAATCGATAACACTATGGGTCGATAAGTCCGATGAGGCGAATTTCCCGTCGTTAAGACAAAACAGATTAGAGGATTCGATAGCTAATTCAAGAGAAGCCCCTTCTCTTGAATTAGCTCTATCAACTTTATTATTAACGCCACCCCACAGACAACTGTGAGCATTAAAATCACCCATCAGAATAAAATCTCCAAGAGAATTGCAGAAGTCAAACAGTTTGACCCAGAAATTAACGTCTTTGCACCCAGACGCAGTCGTATCTGGTCTGATGCCTGGAGGATTATATAATCCAATCAAAAACAAATTCTTACCTTTAAGATTACTAATGCAAACAAAAAGGATCTCAACCCCATGGTCCTCACACATTTTTTCCACATCGGGGAAGGATGCATGGTTAAAATTGATGTTGTTCTGAACCAAGAAACCAAAACCACCGCCATGATTAGAGCGGTCTTATGAATTTATAATTATTGAATTTACATGGAACATCGTCAGAAATCTTTATTGCAATTAAGCACATAATATCCAGCTTTAAATTGTCAAGGACATAACAAATGTCGGCGTATCTTGATCTGACAGAATTCACATTCCATTGTGATATGTGGAGATTACTAGAAGAAGAGTTGCAATTAGATATAGAATGTTTATAATTATTCATTGTTTAAGGGAGAAGAGGTGGTGAAAGAGGTTTCTACCTTTTCTTGATTACAAAGAAATACAATGAAATCTGTTAGATTGGAATGTGAAATACACTTCATATCAAAGCTGATAAAAGCACTATCAGAGAAAGTAAGCGGCTCAATTGATTCCTGAGAATCATGTCTCTTTTTGACAAAAAAACCCCTAATCAACAAGTAAAAAGGGTTATCCGTATCGTTTGCACAATCGGCAAGTAAACTTGTAGCTTTTTCAAATGACATTCTTTAACCGGACGGCCAGTTCCGCCATCGTACGCGGCGCAACCGTAGCGCCAGAAACATCCGAAGACACCGAGGGAGAAGGGTTCGCCAACCCAACCCCCGTACCGAAAGGAACCAAAGAGGCGGAACGAGCGGAACCCCCAGCCCCAAGACTCTCCGGGCCCAGCTCGGACAGCGAAACCTTTTTAATATTTCTATAATTATTGATAAGAATATCACTTATGATTTTAGGACCCTCTTGCCTTTTCAATGAAGACTTTCCTGAAGACACTTAACCACGATAGAACCAGCGATGCTTGGAACAGGATCCCCGGTCCCGGACGTATCCGCTCTTTTTGGAGAAGACAAACGAAAAAATTCGTTTTCCCCAGATAAAAGATCCTTATGAATTTTAATAGCAGAGACTCTATTTTTTGCCTTGGAAATGGGGCCACTAGTGATGAGATTGCGAGCCTTCTTTGTAGCTAATAGAGAATCCTCTCTAGGATGAGGCTTGTTTTCCAGGACCCTGTGAATAGGGGAATCATTAGCAACTTCCAACCTAACATCATGAGAAGAAATCCTTGCTTTAACCTTATCCTTATCCTTAAATTTCGCATTCTTTTGAACTACATTGGCATATGACCTTCTAATAATAAAGTCGTCAAGAGTTGGGAGAAGTAAAGATCCTCCCCCAACATATTCATTACCTAAAGGGATAGGTCCCTTATGTCTCAGGAACATGTCCGCCTCCCTTGGGGAGAGACAAAAAATGGCCATGACTTTTTTTTAATTTTTGTTCCAAGAATACGAGACATCTAACATCTGATGCTTTATGCATCATGTCCTTATCCTCCCGTTTCAAGTAGAGACAATTGATGTATTTAACCTTATCAGAGGAACATTCGTTGTCTGAATGTCCAGAGCCCGCGCATCTCGCGCAAGTTATTGGGGACCAACGTCCTCTGCAGACTCTGATGGAATGGCCAAATCGTTCTGATGACCTTCTGAATAAAAGGAATCATATAAATTCTTTTACCAATTAAAAGAGAATAATTCGGTAATGTTATATTAGGGAAGATTGCCACAACGGTATTTGAGTCGACATATCTAAAACCTCCCTGAGCCATGGGGTCAGCAACCTTCTTTTTTAAAGCATAAACATTCAAAGGTTGTGCCCAATTATCTTTCCATCCTGGAGGAGGACTCAGAAGTTCTGTTATATTATCGAAACCAAAATCCATATCATCGATGCCTCTTAAGATGACCTTCTTTGTCACCTTATAATCTGGCACAAAAGCCACTCAAGTTTCCCCTTTAAAAAGGTTTTTTTTTCCTTCCAAATGAGTTAACTAACTCATTTGCTAAATCAAATGTGGACAAAGCGACATAAAATCTATTTTTCCCCGATTTTCTGAAATTATAAGCTACAGTAAGGATATGTTTTAAATTATAAACGTTAAGTAGAGCTCTTCCTAATTTCAGGACTCCGATCTCCTCTTCTTTTGAATCAATAACAAGTTTTTCTATGAAAACAACAAATGGACCTTGACTAGTCCTATCATAACGGTTTTTTAGTATGCCAGCAACGACCGGAAAATCATGTGTAATATCAATACCGGCACTGACACTACCAACCTTCAACTTCATGACGGAGTCGCTACATCCCTTATCGATAAGAGGCACAGAAGTAGAAGAAGCAGAAGTAGTAGGATCAACATTGACCTTGCGGATGTTAACTGAATTGTCCTTATTAGGAGTTAGCCGTCGGCCTTCAATGCTCCCAGTGGACTTCAAAGACTCTGAGGAACTCTGAGATCTCAAAAATCGCTTGTATAACTTGTTTGTTATTGGAAAGGTCGACGAATCCAAACACTGATCACGCACTGTCCTCGCTAGGCATCACGTGGTCCAGCTCTTCTTTTAGATCGTCTGGACAGAGAGCCCTTTGTTTCTCAGGCATAGCACTAGACTTAATTCTCATACTATTCCTATTGCGTGACATATTTGTGTCAGATAAACTCTCCTCTGCACCAATATCCGGAGTAACATCCATAAGATCGATCTCCATCTCGACAGATAAATCACTTGTATATGAGTGATCACGTGTACACCACGTGCCACCAGAATAATCAAGCCTGATTGCTTGCAAGCAAAAGCTTTCGATACGAAAAGCCCAAAAAAGAAAAACTCAAATTAAAATTCGCAATAAACCAAAACAGAAAACCAATCCGAAAAATTAAATAAGAAAGCCGGTAGCACCTATAGGAAATATGTGATAACACGACCGTCCAAAAATAGGTGTGTGTAGGATGTCACACACAATAAAATAAGATTCATTTATATATAAAACATTGTGCAGATGTTTTTATTAGTGAATAGCTACGAGAAAAAATGATTTTTTTTTTTAGAAATAATGTTAACATAATAATGAAATGAAACATACCTGTGGAGAACATTTTAAATTTATCGTCAACATTTGGAAGAAAGTCTTCTGTATATTTGACATGTCTTTCGTGATGTCATCCCATGTATTCCCACGTCGCAGTCTGTCGATCCTCTGATACTAGTGATAAATAATCCTCTTCTTATTGTGTAACATCTTCCGTTGTGTCCTCAAGTTTCTTTTTAAAACATAGATTCCTTCTTCTTCTTCATTTTTTCTTGCTGCCTCTTCACCCATATTCATGGGCAGTGGCATAAAAGCAGAATCGTTCGGAACATTTTCTACTACACTAACATGCTCACAAATATTATCGTTAACGTTAATATCAACATGCTGTTCAAAATTGAAAGGCAAATGTAATATTGGTACAGCATTGTTGGTTAGGCGTCGTCTAGACCCATAAGACTGTACTATATTCTTCGGAAAATGTTCCATACAGATTCTCAATTTGGCCAATGTTTCTTTAGGCGCACCTATAATATCACAAATTACATAAAATATAAGAAATTACTTGATATGAAACAATTATGAAATATTAAAAATTACATTAGAAAAACGAGAGCATTACAATGTTAAGGCAGGATACTACCTTTGACTGCGATTTTGGAGGCGTTTTTCATGAATTATTTTTTGCATACAAAGAGTGCGCAGAAATAAAATCGGTTTTAGTCATTCATTAATGTAACTTTTATCTGTAATTACACATTTTTTGAAACTGAAAAAGTCAAAAATAATCTCTTGTAGGTGGCGCCAAAATATATTCCTTTGGAGGAACACCGTTAGACGGCGTGTCAAATTCCGCTCTGTACGTGGCTCCTAGAAAAAAAACCAAAGAATGTTCCTATTAATAACAATATTTTTTAATGCTGTACGTAGGAATTTTACGAAATTTCGATTTTTAAGAAAATGGCGGTCATTTTAACAAAAAGGTCAATTTTTTTAGAGTAAAAAAGTTTATAAAATTGTGCACCAAAAAAAATAACAACGCTACAGCAAAAGTCCTACGTACATCATTAGACTATACCACAGGGAAGAATTGTGCAAAGTTTCAAGTCAATCCGCTGAAAATTGTAAGAGTAATCTGACACGCCGATTTGAAAAACATCGTTTCAAGAAAAACGCGTTTAAAGTTTTATATAGATACAACTAGTAAATATTTTCAACTAACCGTCAATCTGCAATGCCTGCGCCATACAATACTCCTTCAACATCTATATCCTCTTCATTGGTAAGCTTGCGAGCAGAAATACCACTTCTTCTAGCCTCTCGAACAGCTTCAGTCATCGAATCTTCCGCTCTCTGAATGCGATAATTATCGGCTTGTACACAAAAAGTATGGCAACTTTGACTTATAGGCAGGTTCAAAGTTTGCATAATGTCCATAATGCTGTGTAACCTATCGTTAAAATTACATACTGCAATATCAGCATCAATGTCAACGATTTTTTTGCCACTGGACATAGATTTAGGAGCGAGAGCCCACAGAACAGAATTGAAGCACTCGTTGCTGTTCTGCGTAAACCCACCCAAGCACCGAGATAATAGTTCATCGCGGCTCAATTATTCATAAATGGGTTTAACAGCATTGAAAACTTCATCTTTCATTGCTGGTTTGTGTTGATAATTATCGAGTTCGTTGCGAGCTTTAGTCTGTTTCCATGAGCACCAGAAATTTTCGCCATCTGGATATCTATCGTGCTGCGGGTTGTCCGTAGAAATCTTATGATAAAGCGTGGCCCATATTTCTTTCTTCATGTTTACAATTGAATCATGATTCCTGCGTATTGCTAGACCAAAATATAGTGATAGATCGTCAATTAATTTTCCAGTTAGCTTGCCTCTGCCACCAATACCTCGTACATTTTATTTTAAATTCCAAAGTCGCATTCCCATTCTTTTTTGAACGTGGTCGATACATTCTTTTTCTTTAACGTCCAAATTTTCATATGGTTTCGAGTCTAAAATACCTTTATATGTTTTACTGTCTCCATCCCCTATGTAGTGACTATATTTCAAACTATGGAGTTCGTCTGATCGTTGAAACATTTCAATAATTGCGTCAACCTCCATTTTTCCAGCCGATCCCTCCTGATTTTTTTGACAGCTATCTTCGTGTGTCGCAGCCCATTCTTCGTATTCTGTCGTTCCTTCTTTTCCTTTCCAGTAATTGCATTGATTACATATTTTCGACTTTACATTAACATCAATGACCGGTGCACCATCCTATCAATGACGTAATGCCTAATAAAGACGAGAATCCCCTCTTCTTTCACGTACCGTCGCCTGAAACTACTATCCTTTCTGTAAGTCCCTTCTGTACTGACAATTCTTTCTCTTTAGCAGCTGCGTTCTTCATTGATTTTTCTCGTACGGCTGCGGTAGCAATAGAAATAGTCGAAACGATTTTGTCATAAAATGACTGGAATACTGGATATGGTAGACATATGAATGAACTTTTTAAGAGAATTTTTTAATTCCATTTACACCAACACCGAGCAATCGCATAACAAAAACTATACGACGATTTATATCATATGCATGATTATTTATGACGGGACACGATTTATATATTTCGGTGAGCATTGTTCACAAAGAATTGCAATTTTGAAACCCAGTCCTCGAATACTTGCTTCTTGAAACTTTACGGGAGATTTACACACTTTGTATACTAGAAATTCAGACATTGCTGCAAAAACAGTCACAAAATCGATGAAACGATAACCAATAGTTGCGTCTACATTGATATGATATTCATCTTCACTCTGTTTCAGTTTCTTTGCCGATATACTGACACTCTCACTTTCTCCTTCTAACACATATCGATTCTGCGGCTTCCTTTTGCTGTTTCTCGGTTTCGAGGCACGCCTATTTTCTGCTTTTGTCCCTTTTCTCTCCTCTACTTTTATCTTCCCCATGATGAACAATGCATAAACATTCGAAAGAAACACGTGAAAGATGTTACACAACCAAGCAACACGTGAATGATGTTTACACGACCAATTCGTTATGAACTATATAAAATATAGAAGTATCTATGTTATATTATAGTGAAAATCCTAACTAGCGACATCTACTACTATCACTATTTCACTATTTGGAACTAAAAGGGCCCGTAATGTGGTCGGTAAATTGTATATGCGACAGACAGTGTGCGCGCCCTCGGCAGCCCGAGAAACGCGCCGAGAGCGCTCTGCTCCAAACCGGTTTTTACACAAGAAAAAGGTTTCGGCCACCTTTCTAATAAATGAATTTCGATTCTATACACTTGAAAGAGTACTTTAAGAACAAAAAAAATTTTCAATTTTTTTAAAGTGTAAAGGTGGTATCCTGCCTTAAAGATAAATATGGATATCTATATATAAGATAAAGAAAATGTGTTTACATTAATTAAAATATATTTAATAAATTTTAAATCAAAATATTTACTATTAAAAAATTGTCATTGCATCTGTTTAATACTTACCGATCAAATCAGTTTTGCCTATAGCTATTAGCCAATGTTCCCTTTTCGATGCATCCTCTGGGAAGCGATGTACTGGTATTTGAGATGTGGACTTACATTGCAGAACACAACACTTCCACACCATCTTGAAGAAATGTACCTAGAAAATTAACATTGTTACTTATATATAAAGTAAGATATTAATACAAAATAAAATATTAATAAAAAGACAAAATAAATCATAAGGTAAGAAGCACATTCTCTCTCTTTTCTTTATTTTCTCTAAGAAATATTAATTGTTATATTAACATGTAATATTAAGAGAGGTAGAAAACTGACCAACTCAGTAAATAATTTGTTAACAGTGTGACCAACGATTGGCAATAAATTTGAGCAGAATATGTTAATAAATTGATATATTTACAACATCTATAATTTGCTATTATTCTTTTTACCGAACCTGCTGAGAGACTGACAACACAACAACAGATAGACAATAGGAAGCAAACAGGATTTGCAATATGTTCCATTTAAATATATTGAAATGACAGATCTTGCTCGATTTCTGACATTAATTTGTCATATTCAGTCATTAGATCCTGTGATATTTCTGCCATTAAACTGCTGATAGAATTTGTAGTTTACTAGCAGAAATATAATCTGATAGCAAAATTTGATAGAGTGACGGCATAGAAATCAAGTCTGTCGTTCTAATATACTTAAATACTAAATAACATATAGCAGATTCTGCTCGTTTTTCACCAATCTGCTGTTACAATGTGTGAGCAGACTCAAAAATAACAGCAGATTAGGGCCGTAGATAATTTTATATCTGTCGACACGTCACATTTGAATCTGTTGCCAATTTATAAGATTAATTTTATCTACACATATATATACATAAATACTTACGTAAATGTCAATATTATGACGCCACACGCTCTTTGTCTTTCGTTGGTCCTTCTTTCTTCCTATAACATTGAAATGCTCTTTTTTGGGCACTTAAGTATACGAAACACCTTCTCAAGTCACTGATAAACAGAAACTGCTCAATATGGCGACTAACAGATGATAGTGCCGGGTCGACTGCGCTGCCTCCTGCCTTTGTACCCAATCCGAGACGAACTAAAGTCACTTCTGTCAGTGCTGTCAGGTGCAATATATTGCGACGCTACAGCGCATGCGTGAGATGACGTAGCTCCCTGTTTGAGTGAAAGTCTCAGTATCGTATCTTTTTTAAGGTATTATAGCGCCCATATTATACTATGCATTGAGAATTGCAATCGAGTAAATTAGATAATCTAAATCGTGGTTATTTTTATTGATCTGATAGTAATTCTCAATCTATAGTCTAATATGAATCTAATACAAATATTATGTAACAGTTACATAGTTGAGTGAAAAATTATAATGTTAATGTAACGTAATTGTTACTTAGTATCCACTGGAATTATAATGTTAATATAATTGATATTTAGTATCCACTGAACAATATAATCTAAGATAAGGCACTCGCGCAAGAAGCACGGGAAAATTACACTGGAGCCTGGAAAACAGCTGATCGGATAGCGCGGGCCCCTTCATGGACCCTGCGATGCGCTTTATTGCCGTCATTGGCATAGAGCTCCTACGTCATCTCACGCATGTGCTATAGCGTCGCAATATATTGCACCTGACAGCACTGACTTCTGTCACCAGTAAAATACAGGGAGTTAGGAGCCTCTGGAATAGAGAGAGAGGTTCCCTGGTTCCTCTCTTATCCTTGTCTGACTCACAGTACCGTCAAGAATGGGATAATGAGGTACAGTCAATGAAAAAGTTAGTCGCTGAAAGTAAAGAGTGAAAGAGTGAAAGAAGAGCAAGAAATTATAAAAGTTATAACAAGATTGTAGATAGAAAATTAAAAAGAAATAGCATTTGCAACGTCAAACGGACCCTGCTCATAGATATGTATATATAGAAACCATAGACATAGTATATCTAGACTGCGTGTGCGAGGAGTGGGGCTATAGCTCACGTAGAAAAGGATATACTCTGTTTTTATTGTCCGTTCTCTCTCACACAGTCCCGATGGAAGGGGTATAGGAGAGGCAATAGCTGTACAGTGCTGTACAGTAACCATCGCCCCTATTCCCCTTCCATCGAGACTGTGCGAGAGAGAACGAACAGTAAAAACAGAGTGCTTCCTTTTCTACGAGAGTTTATACCCCCACTCTTGAAATTTGGGAAAACGCGCAGTCTAGATATACTATATCTATGATAGAAACCAATTTAGCTTTTGATTCGGATTGTACTAGATAAAGACACAGTGCTATTTTAGAGACCCAGTGACGCTCTCTCTCTCTCTATTCGCGCCTCAGGCCTAGCGCTCGTTCCAGTTAAGCTAAGACTCCATGCATGCGGTGAGCTCCGGCAAACGGCTGCGGTGACCAATCAGGAGACAGACGCATGCCGGAGCTTGCCGCAACCGGACTTGCGCCTCCCTCCTGATTGGTCACCGCAGCATTTGCCGCAGTTCACCGCATGCATGGAGTCTTAGCTTTAGTATATATTTCAATGGTAACAATATGTATTTTTCCGTTACACTATATACGACCGTTAAGGGAGATTCACACTGTACATTAAAGCTGCGTTCCGATATTTACTGCCAGCACTGAAAATCCATAGTATACGTGACATAAACTATGTATTTTCAGTACTGGCAGTGAATATCGGAACGCAGCTATTATACGAGACACGTGTATTTAATAAACAAGTATGCTTCTAGGAACTTGACTCAATTTATTCTCTAGAAAATCGATATTCCTTTAGAACATAACAAATGTTTTCTTACTTTTATATAATCTCAATTTTAATTTATATTCTACGATTAAAATATGTATAAAATATGTTCAAAAATAAAAGAATCTTTTACTTTGTAGCATTAAAAAAATTATACCAAACAAGTAAAAGAAGGTCCCACCGAGATTTGAACTCGGATCGCTGGATTCAGAGTCCAGAGTGCTAACCATTACACCATGGGACCTTGTCGCGATTTCTACTTTATTTCTTGGATTAATTGGAAACTGGAAATACTAGAATATATAAATAAATATTTTTTATCATCTATCATTAATTTTAATGATTAAAAAATTTTAAGCTCTGAATTATAAATTTTAAATATAATTATTACATTTTAAATTTAATTACTATATTTTGTTTTATTTACTCTTAAATATTAAGTTTTATAACTTCTTAAAATTATACCATTGATAATTCTAACGTAAGTATTTATTATATGAATATACGAAAATTACTTTAATACTATGACACTTTTATTTATACATTTTTGTAAAATATAAAATAAATATTTTACACATATATTATACAAATAATATATTTTATATATATTATGCAAATAAGTAGATTTAAGCATTAAACTAAATCCATTTCTTCCATTTGTATATGGAAGTTTTTATTTTAATTAATAAACTTTTTTTTATTTCTCGCATACTTAATGTAATTGTACTTGATCTCTTTGAAAATTTTTGTATTTGTTAGTTTATTACCTTCTTCTCTTGAATATTTCAAGGTATTCTAAGGATCTTTAATTTTATCTTCCTTTGTTTCATCACTTTTCATTTCCTTATAAACATAAAAAAATTGCATATATTAAAGCATTTTGTATAAAATAAAATTTTCATTTTAATACGTGTCAAATATTAAATATAATAGTTTACTTCATCTTAAAAATATAGTGAAATCTTACCTTATTTTTTGTACTGCTGCATATTTCAATCAGATTATATTTTTTAAATTTATAATAATTAGGAGCAATAGATAGTAAACAAAGTCCTCGTATCACTTCAACAACCACAGCTATCTCTGGATTCTTCAAGTCAGCTTTATTTCCTGGATTTTTCTTTGAAATTATTTCTGCTAAGTCTTCAATAATTTCATTTCTTTTAATGCTATTATTACTATGACGGCTAAAACATTATTAAAAATTAAAATTTTTAAAGTAGAGTTACTTATTTCTCGTTAATATATTATACTAACTTACTTAAACACAATGCTAAATGTCTTAGGCTCCTGAGAAAAGTACTTTTCAAATAATATACTAGCTTTTGTCCTTATATCATCCATATATGCTTTGCATACTACTTCAATTGGGAGTAATCTCAATAAATATCTTGTGCATTGTTTCTTACTTGTGTCCAATTCTGTGACAATATTGGTTACTAGTTCTAATGGTTTTGATAAAGTACTTCTTACAAAAATCATGTTTTTAACACCTGTATCTACTACCTATAAAATACAATATGTGACATTAATAAATATACAATAGAATTTTCTATAGTAGTGTTATCAATAATGTTGTACAATAACTATATACAGCAACAAACCTGAAATCTTCGAGAAGACAGTGGCATGTCATATTTTGTTTTAAGTTCATCAATTTCTTTTTCAAGAGCTGTTGATATATCTTCTTCTTCGTCAAGATCTGAGGAAGATTTATCAGCTTCTTTTTTATTGAATGTACTTGATGTATCTGATATTTCAGATTCCTTAAAATAACAAGAAAAAGTAGAAACTAGTATTGTTGTGTATGTGAATACTCTTACAAGACTTGTATTCTTTAATCATTATATAGTACCTTTATCATCTCTGACGTGGTATTCTCATCTGCAAACTGATTAAGCAATTTGTAGGCATCAGTTATACAGCCTTTCTCGTTAAAATTGCACGTGCATAAAAATCCTGTCATACCTGGTTCTATCGTAAATAACTTACGTTTCTTATGATTCTTGTAATGATTCGCGAAGTGTTTATTTCTTTTACGTGCATTTGTCGTAACGTCAGTCTGCATCTTGGTTTATCTTATTTATTTCTTTATTATTACTCTTATTTTGTGCCGGGTAAAGCCAGCAAATACAAGAGAGAAGCATTAAATGTACAGCATGTAGTTGATATACTTGCACATATTTATTCGATTGTCAAAATGGCGCTAACAATATGGCGTAACCAATCAGATCCGTTGTTCCGCCTCCTTTGCTATGAAAAGTTTATCCAACTACTAATCATTTTTGAATGCGGTCCAGCAACCGCTACAAATGCTTTGAAACGTTTCTCTTTCTCGTTAATTTCTCGGATGCAAACGAAGAAAGAGAAAGAAGTAAAAACGCTTCGAAGCATTTGTAGCGATTGATGGACCGCACCCTATATCATGCTTGAATCACATATAGAAAGGCGGAAATTTTCAATTTGTATAGTTTAAGATACAGATAAAGGATAATAGAATGTTCGACTCAGATTCCAAATTGGTGTCGCGTCCTTCGTGGGTTCGTTTCCCATGTTTTGTGAGTATTTCAATTCATTTCTTCAGGAGAGATACAACCTGCAGAGAAAGAATGAGAGATAACTGAAACAGTTTTAAGTATAAAGTATCAAAATATTAAAAAAAAAAAATTATATATTTGCAAATTTAATATATACGAGTTAAGAACCCATTGATTTTTGCATGATTTGTAACAGTAATAACTGGAAAGGACTTCAAAATACATTTCCTTTTATGCAACATTGATTTATATGTGTGAACCAAGTTCTCATATATAATATCATATAGTTTCTTTAATATTATGATGAAAACAATTACATTTAAGGTGGTAGGAGGATATCAGAATATTTTGCATAAGAACACGACGATTAAAGTATATAGCTTCGATACAATAAAAGAGCATGTCCTTAATTATATTGTGTATGTAATATTATATCTAACACTTATTACTCTAAACTGTATAAAAACTGATTTTTACATAAAAATGTACTGTGAGAAATAAGCAGACAAGCTTTTGCTTCTGTGAACAAAAATATTTTCACATAGGTATACACATACGTGTATATAATTGCATAAATTCATTCACAAAAAACAACTATGCTGTGTTTATATGATGTATCTCTAATAAATAGTGTGCAATGTTTATTAAAACACATTAAGTTGTTTAAATATAGAATTGTTTCTATGCAGGGAGAAATATACTATTGATGATGCAAATAGTAACATTAATCATATGAATTACAATTGCCGTGTTTTATGAAGTAACCATGGATATTGTTTGTTTTAAATTTATCATTTTACACGAGCAATATACAACGTACTAAAATATTATTTATTATATATACCTTGTATTATATATACTACCTTGAAATTTTTTCTTGTCGACAACAAGTTTTTCATAATTGTATTCTTAATGCCAAATAAAATCAGAAAGATATAAAGTACTCTAAGGATTAAAAAGTTTCCGATGCAATAAAATATGCAGTGCAATTAAAATCTGCCGATGTTGGAGAAAGCTGCGAACAACGGTGCTGTGGTCGTGGATGGTTGCTGATCACCGATGTTTTTCAACAGATTTCCTTGCAACAGACTGTCAAGAGCTTTCTGAACTGTTGGATCATTTAGAAGAGGCGACGGTGAAACTCCAGTGGTAGTGGTAGTTGTGGATGACGTAGTGGCAGTGATCGATGCTGCTGATATAATACGATGCACGTATGAGGTTTACAATTCTAACGCTGACTCAATGGATTTTCTACAGTTTATATTGCGTTAAATACCGCAAGGATCGATAGTTGTACACTTTATTCCAATTTTATCAACAATCCCATGGTTTACCTGTTCCCCAGTTAGCTGGAGGCACCGGAGTCGGTACCGAAGTTGGTGCTGGTACCGGAGTAGGATCAGTCGCTGATGTGTTGGTTTTACTGCTGTTCAAGATGTTTAATATTCTTGTCTGCAATTCCGCCTGTTTCGGATCGTTGACCGCGAGTGTCGTTGTAACCGGCAAATCCTTTGCATCACCTAATTCCACTTGCACTTGTTCCTCACGTTTCATATCGAGATACTTTATGACACGATCATACTGCAGAACTGTCAGCTGATGATTATCAGCTAGCATGTTCAGAAGAAGTTTTATAGCGTCCGGATGACGTTCGCTCGCCAAAGGTGTGTTCAACGGCACTGAACGTCCACCGGCCTTATAATTTGCGAAATCTCTCGAGATCAAGCTTATTGCATCATCAAGCGGCATGTTCCTATGTTCTAGAATATAATAATTTAGCGATCGATTAGTATCATATATCGTACAATTACTCGACAAGTCCGAATGAAGATTACAATTGATATTGTGATTTTAATGATGAAAATTAATATGATTTTTCACCTTGTGGCAAGCCGTGCAAAATATTCAGCGTCAAGGAATGGTGCTCTTGATTGATGGGTGTAACTACCACAGCGTATAGACAACCGCGGCTCGCGAGGTTTCCCAAAACGAGGCTCAAGAAAACATCTTCATTTGGGAACAACAAATCTACCGTTAAACCGATCTTCTTCAACCGCGACTCAATAGCCTCCGCATATTCTCTATTTTAAAGACAAACACGACGTATTATATAATGCAAACATTTGATTTTCACCAGAAAAATTATCATTGTCTTACGTTAATGTCTTACTGACAACAATAATTTCACAGTCATTCTTTCCAGCCACAAGATAATCAGACGATGCGCTCCCGCTTCTATAAGAGGCAGATGTTTCCATTATTTATGTATATAGAAAAAAATTTACTGTTATTAAGTCAATATAACATTTGTAACGAGAGAAACCACATATATAAGAATATTTAATTACTACGAAAACGATTACCGTCTCACCCGAAACTGGTATTCGTATCTCTGGTTCCTGAGGTTTTAAAATCATCATAACGATTCCCGTTATCGTTGAACGAGTCTCTACCGAAATTATTACCGTGTCTATCTCCCTGCTTAAGATCCCAGTCTCTTGGAGTCTTGTCATCTATTCGATTGTTCCTATTAATTGGACTCCTATCTCTGAAATTCGCGTTCGCGTTCGCGTTATTGTGAAGATTATTTTTATTCTTCTTTCCACCCCTCGTGCCTCGTGCTTTAAAAGTGCCTCCAGTACCACATGTATTAACATTTTGGTTATTTCCTTGATTATTCTGATTTCGATTTTGATTTCCCCCAGGTCTGTTCTGATTTCCCATCTGACTGTTTCCAAACTGGTTGTTAATTCCTCTGTTTTGATTACCAAATTGATCAGCCCCGCGATTCGGATTACCTAAATTAAATTGATTGTTTCCTCGATTTTGTGCTAGATTATTGAAATGATCATTTCCACTGTTATTATTGTGTTTTCCATTAAACTGGTCTTTGTCACCATCTCTAGTCTGATTTCCATCTTCAAAGTGAGCATTTTCACCACTCCTATTTTCAGGGTTTAACTCTTTCTTGTTGTTACCAAATTTATTATCATTTTCAAAACCCTGATTTATGTTAAAATTTGTATTGCCTCCAGTGAAATTTGATTTGTTTGCATCAAAAGGTTCATTTGTATTTTTGAATTGTTTGTTCATAGGATTGAATTGATTGTTTGGCCCACCCATTTGCTTTGCATTATTTCCAGAATTTCCAGACTGATTATCTTTCTTTGCTGGTCTGACATCTAGAATTTTAGAAAAACAATATAAAATTTATGATTGTCTTTGATACATGTCAATATTCATATCATATTAAAAAAATTAGAAAAATGTTCAATCTTAATAAATATAATTAGTAAAAATATTATATTGAGAATATGATAACAATTATATTTTTCTACCTATACGTCTGCCTTTAAACATTGCTCCATCTTCATTTTTAATAGCTTTTTGAGCAGATTGTTCATCTTGAAACTGTACAAATCCAAAGCCTCTGTTTATCGAGGATCCTATGACAGTACCATATTTAGAGAAATGGTCTTCTAATTCCAATTTTGTGACATCATCAGTTTGTAAATGACCCACAAAAATACGTCTTGATGCTGTAGCAGGGTCTTTTAGTATTCTGGCAGTCATCCTAATTTTATACTATAAAATATTTAAGAAATGGTTATTATGATAAACTATCAAAAAATATTCTCCTTATCAATTTTATTAGAATTTATAAAATTTATGTCTTTACACAAGTTATGATGAGTTTACAGTTATTTCTTGTAATATAGAATTGTTAAAAAGTAATAACTAGATTATTACTACCTGACCTTTATTCATTAAAGTAGAATGTATGAAAGAATCCAATGTCTGTAGTTAAGGGATATATTAAACTAGATACATTTAAGCTACACACATGGAGATCGGAATAGTTTCTTATATCCCTTTTGATAGTCTGTTCTTTTTCGCTGCCCTCCTTGCACTAGTTCTCCTATCCTTTGTTTCCCAACCAAGTCTCAACTGTACACTTGTGTATTTTTATGTTCCTCAAGTTGACACCAATTCTTCGAAAAAGAACAAGCCAAATATCACTTATTAGGATACAAAGAGGAAATCTAACCTTACAGTAATATATTCTTTAAATACTAATAAGTTTAGAATATGATAAATAACTGTGATAAGTCTTTAAATAAATGCTCTGAATTTTGCAAGTGCAAACAAATTTGACGAGCGATACTTTATCCAAAAATATCATTTAATAACATATATTAAAAAAATTAACAATATATACACAGAGATGCATTGAATTATAACAGCTGCATCAAACCGATGCTATATTAGCAACGTAGTAAACATATATTGAATTAATAATAGAAATATATATTAAAATATATATATAATGATACTTACCGTAATTGCTTATTTAAAGTAGCTACCATGAAGATCTTTGTCACACAATTACTGTTTGTATATTTTGCAAAATTTTTCGCCCTATTACAACAGAGCCATCTTGTTGAAGCGATTCGGTTCCCAGCATGAATAACAACCTAAATGAACCATTTTATCAATATCACTAGATAGATCCAATTTTATGCGCAGTTGCATGGTGTCAAGAATAGTTTCGATGAGACGTATAGATGGAGAAATAATCGAACACTATTTGTTCCTGTTTGATTATTTTCGAAATTTAAATTTGAGAAAATTCAAATTTTTATTAAATAAAATTTCCAGAAAGCGGTAAATAGAGGGCGTTTTAAATTGCATTCGATCAAAAAGCACTTAATTCAGTATTACATGAATCGCAAGTTGAAGCACCGTCTTGTGTGAAAACCGTGAATTATAAATAATTCGAAGTCTCACAAAGAACCACAGCACTGTACTTCTGTGTTTGGGCCAGAGCACAGACTTCTGCATAACGCATAATACACAACGCATAAGAGAATCAACCAATCAGAGTTCTTCATCTCTATCCTGAGGAGGGAAATGAAGAAAACTAATTGGTTTATTCTCTTATGTGTTATGTATTATGTGTTATGCAAAAGCCTGTGCTCTTGCTCTTAAGCCCGTGTCACACTATGGATCGAAGATCAAGGATTGCGGATTGAAGATTAGATTTCGACAAATCAACGAACTTCGGTCTTGATTTGCTTTATTCCGATTGGTCAAATTTCAATCTTCAATCCGCAATCCTTGATCTTCAATCCGTAGTGTGACACGGGCTTTACGCTTTTCCGAACGCCGCAACTTTCGATGAATTACCAATTACCAAGTGTTTTCAATTGATCCAACGTCTAAAGTCTCTCACAGATGACGAGTCATATGACTTAGCGACGTGTGTCACACCACACCTAAGTCTTCGCTTGTTCGTTCGAACGACTATGCGAACGTCTCGATATTCCACATCAATACAAGCCTGAAACTCGATTATCTCCAAGATGGGTAACAGATCGAGCCTTCTTTTGCGCGAAGAAGAGATAGCGCAAATTCAAGATGCTACCGGTTGTGAGTATCCATATTGTGTTTGAAATAATCTTTGTACTCCGTGGCAATAGTGACGGCCCGTGCAAATGCCAATTTCCAACAAGACGAACCTAATGTTACTTTCTCGAATTATTGTTATAGTTACACCGAATCAAATAGAACGACTGTATAGTCGTTTCACCAGCTTGGACCGGGGAGACTGTGGAACACTTAGTCGAGAAGATTTTCTCAGAATTCCAGAATTGGCGATAAATCCGCTTGGTGAGAGAATAGTGAATGCTTTCTTTGAGGAAAGTGGGAATGATCGAGTCAATTTCTTGCAGTTTATGCAGGTTTTGGCTCATTTCAGACCCATCAAAAAGAATAGTCCCAATCGATTAAACTCTAGACAACAGAAATTGAAATGTAAGTATATACAAAGTAACATGATATGACAGTTAAAATAGTAAATTTTATATTCTATTTGGCTCTTTGTTATTTTTGTATATTAAACATTAGCTGTTAATTATTTTTTTACAGTTGCATTTAAAATGTATGACTTGGATAATGATGACCTAATATCAAAAGATGAATTGCTTGCTATATTACACATGATGGTTGGTGCTAACATTAGGTAAAAATTATATTTTGTTGCTATAGCTAATGTATCTATAATTGTACAACTTATTTTGTTATTTACATGGATGTAATATGTATGAAGTTTTATATTATAAAAATATTTAATATAAATTTTACTATATTACAGTGAAGAACAGTTAACTAGTATAGCTGAACGGACTATAGTTGAGGCTGATGAAAATGGTGATGGCATGATATCATTTGAGGAATTTTGTAAAGCTCTAGAACGCACTGATGTAGAGCAAAAGATGTCCATAAGGTTTCTTAGTTAAATTATATATATATATATAATTATTGCTTTATGTAGTGTATAACAATTTAAATAAGCAACAATTTAAATAACAAACTTCTGTAAATTCTTATCCCAACAGGGTTTTGCAATATATATTTATGTAAATAATCCTTATATACTGAAAGATTTGTGTGAATAAGATTGTAAAAGATAGAACACAAGGTGTATGATACAATATTCACAATTATAGAATGTACATATATAATTATATTTGGGATATTAGTAAATGAAAATATATCTAATTCTCTTTAACCAAGAAAGGAACAGTGTTGATTTATTATGATTCCAGTATTTCTATATTACATTTCAGTCATATAATTTTAACCAATTATTTCTGTTAACCAATATAAAATAAACATTGGAAATGAATATATCGTATCAGTCTGTATGTGTATACATATATACACATATAAAAAGTTTAAAAATAAATTAATAACATCAATTTGAAAAAAAATGTTATGTTTTTATTTTGTTTTGATTATTATGTTCGCATCAGGAAGAAAATTTGCTCGCATTCGAAACGTTAATATTTTTAATTTTATTAAAGGTCGACTTTTTTGTATCAACATGGTGTAATGCTATGGAGTATAGTTATCGAGTTTACAGATGGAATCACTGCAATAACATTATATAATGTACAGACATTATACATAATATTGTAATTCGCGACAACATGTGACAACGTACAATATCGGTACATTAACACCTGTCAGCAGCAGTTGAATCTTCAAGAACATCATATGTTCTGTCCAATTAATCTATGTTGACTCTCATCCAATGATTATCAGATGATCGCGCTCTACGCTGAGAAGGACGAGAGGAAATCAGTAACTATTTTTTTCAGTTTTGCGTCTGATGCTTCACTGATTACATTCTCTTTTGCGATAACGGCAAGAAGGTCTTGTTGAGTAGACCTAAAAGAGAAGTAGAACATTTATAAAAATACATATTTATGTCATCTAACTGTGTGTACATATATCAAATACCTAATGTGTGCGAGGAATTCTTTTTCGAAACCTGTGATTTTCGTGGGGTCCATCTTATCAAGATAGCCACGTACACCACAGTATATAACAGCTACCTGTTCCTCAATAGCCATGGGTACTAAACATAAAAATATGGAAAAATGTGTAAATTAATTTTGTTATTTATCTGGAGCTATGTCAAGATTGTTAACGTTAAAATTGTGCCAATTTTACCATATTGTCCTTGTTTAAGAAGTTCCGTCAATCTCACACCACGATTCAACAACTGTTGCGTCGCGGCATCCAAGTCCGAACCGAACTGTGCAAAAGCCGCTACTTCACGATACTGAGCCAATTCCAGCTTCATAGAACCAGCAACCTATGCACGATTGCGGAATTAAAATATAATAATACTATACAACAAATTTCATTATAAAATCTTGAATGTGTGCATATTACATAATTTGCATATATATATACATACTTGTTTCATAGCCTTGGTTTGAGCAGCAGATCCGACACGAGATACAGATAAACCTACGTTAATAGCAGGTCGAATACCCTTGTAGAACAACTCAGTTTCCAAGAAGATTTGGCCATCAGTGATAGAAATGACATTAGTGGGAATATAAGCGGACACATCACCGGCTTGCGTTTCAATGACAGGCAAAGCAGTCAGGGAGCCACCTCCCAAATTTTCGTTCATTTTGGCCGCTCTCTCAAGCAAACGGGAGTGGAGGTAAAATACATCACCAGGGTAGGCCTCACGACCTGGTGGTCTTCTAAGTAGCAAAGACATCTGCCGATAGGCGACGGCTTGTTTCGATAAATCATCGTAAATGATCAAAGCATGCTTTCCATTGTCCCTGTGAAATAATATTCGAGGGTGTTGATATAAATATTGACTATAATACATCTATTATTAAATCATTATTATATAAAAAACAATAGTTTATTTTATTTAGTTATTCAAATTTCAATTTTTTCTTCATAATCATTAATATGAAAATAGAAATTTTTATGTGATACACATCATTTTAGCAACTTCAAACACCCACCTGAAGAATTCTCCCATGGCACATCCAGAATATGGAGCCAAGTATTGAAGTGGGGCTGCATCAGAAGCAGTGGCAGATACAATGATAGTATAATTAATAGCACCACTGTCCGTCAAACGTTTCACGATTTGCGCAACAGTAGATCTCTTCTGGCCAATAGCAACATAAATGCAGTACAGCTTCTTCTTCTCTTCTCCAGCCTCATTGAAACGTTTTTGGTTGATGATCGTATCAATGGCAAGGGCAGTTTTTCCAGTCTGTCGATCTCCAATGATTAACTCACGTTGACCACGGCCAATAGGCACCAAGGAATCTACAGCTTTAATTCCAGTTTGCATAGGCTCTCGTACTGATACTCTGTCCAAAGAATTGTCACAAATAAGAAATGTCACTAGCAAAGACTAGGAAATATTATGAATTATTACTATAAATTACCTGGGGATAATGCCTGGAGCTTTAGTTCCAATACGGAATCTCAATTTATTGTTCAGAGATCCCTTGCCATCGATGGGATTACCCAAAGCATCAACAACACGACCCAATAATTCTTCACCAACAGGGACGTCAACAATAGCACCCGTACGTTTGACAATATCACCCTCCTTAATATGTCTGTCATTACCAAATACAACAACACCAACATTGTCAGGTTCCAAGTTCAATGCCATACCCTTCAGACCTGAGCTAAATTCCACCATCTCATCTGCCTGAATATTCTTTAGCCCGTATACACGTGCAATACCATCTCCAATGCTGAGTACTCTGCCAGTCTCTTCAAGATTGGCCTGAAAATTAAAAAATTTTTTATAAGATTCCTAAAAATAATCCTTTTTCTCTCTTTTAAATATATCACAATAATTTATATAAAAATATTAAATTATAAAAATATAATATAAATATAAAAATAACATAAAAACGAAAGTATGCAAGTAAAGATTATGACATTCAATATTAGTTAACCAAATATCAAGTAATATACCGATCAATCCACATCATAAGTAAAACAAGGTAAGTGTCGGTTCACCTTTGGCGCTGACCCAAGGATACGTTCTTCCAGAATAGCAGAAATTTCTGCAGAACGACGGCTGCAGGATACATGATATTTGCGAGAAGCTACGACACTTGCAGGCCAGCTAACCTGCAGTATAAAAGAAATATATAATGTCTGTCGAATGTTTTGCCGAAACTCTTATTACATAACTTGCTAGCTAACACACTTTATGTAATACACCATATAAATATTCGTAGCTCGCGCAATATACGTTTTCTCACTGATTTGTCAATTTATAAATAGAAATGGTCACTGTACTCGTACTTCTAGTTTGACTTTGCGAATGAGAATGATAAGCGGTTACAACGAAGAATAGTGCGGTACTGGCAAAGTGGAAAATGTCGGCATGTTCTACCAGGCGGTGATACCTCACACAGCGTGTTTAATAAAGGAAATATGAAAGATCTTTTTATTACCTGGGCCGTTGTGTTAGGCAAATGCCTGACTAAGGACGAGGCCAAACGTAAGGACAAAAGCGCCATTTTTAATGTGTTAAAAGTCCGCCGACCGGACTAACGAATTCACGAGCAGGAGAAAGTCGGTTCACTCGAATCAGAGACCAGTGAGGAGCAGAAGAACGTCCACTCTGGTACCCGTCACCCTCCTTCCTCCTTGCCGCGCTGTCACTCATGCGCAGGATATCAGTGGCCATCGATCTGTTCGCGTAATCTCGAACCCAGCGTCACGCGCTATATTTCTATTCGTTATTTGATATTCCCTTATTACAAATTTAAATATTGTATATCGTAAGTACAAGAACCGTCATCTCCTATATATGTTTCGCGATATTAATTACTACATACATCTCATAATATTACAAAACGAATAATTTGAAAAGACAGGCTACCTGTTCATGCGTATTACGTGTCGTTGTGGAATAGAGCGCCAAATTCGAATGTGACATACATGTGATAAATTTACATAATAACAAATTTTTACGTTGATTTTAAAATGCGAAGAAATGATTGCGATTATCAAGGGCACTTAAATATTAAAAATATAAAATATTCTACACGTTTCTTTTCACGATCGCAACATAATAGATATTTCTTCTATTCGTATCTCCAAGTTTAATCTTCAATGTGCATTATACGTATATATATATATATATATATATGTATGTATGTATGTATGTATGTATATATGTATATATCCCTCAACTGATCGTGCACACGATAGCACCTGTTAGTTTAATTAATAGGTAACAAGTATATAGAAATCGACATTTATTATCGTCAACCTTCGTGCGCTGTCGAAATGGTTAGTGGCGTTAGTGATTGGGCGGAATGTAGAAGTGTCATTGCACCGGCGCCAAGCTTGGTTATTTCGTCTCGCTAATTCGTCGTATCGATTATCTTCGTTTACCATATATAACAGATCGTTTTCACTTAAAAACAAACGAACAATAAGAGCAAAGATTATACATGGAGAAAACTTTGAAATGTAAAATAGTGTTAGTGTTTGCCGTAATCTTAAAAATATCCGTGTTTCGTTTGTAGAAGATAAAACACTCCACCCTTACCTGCCCTTACCCTAATTGTTCATGTTTCTAAACAACCCTATTCTAAAAAACAAATATTCTCATGATTGTGACTGACAAATGAATCATTTGCACTGTTTGTTTTTGTAGATATTTGTGTACACATATGTTATAATAAAATTTATATATATATTTGCATATAAATATATAATTTTGATGTGTAATTTCAGTGTATGGAGAACTATTTATTTGTGAAATTTATTTACCAAATGTCAAAGAATAGCCCAATATCAAAGAAATAAAATAGAATGGACTCTGCTACAGAGCTGGAACATATAGACAAGTTAATGAAAGAAGCAGAATGCTTAAAGATTCGTTTGGAGGATGAACGACAGAAATTAAATGATATCACCCGTAAGCATTTTATTCTTTTAATAAGTTACATATTTTTTACTAGTTTTACAAATTGCTTAATCTTTTATTAGGAAATTAATAATAAAGACATATTATATTTATATTATCTTTTATAAAGATGTAAATATCTTTATCTTTTAGATTTATAAGAATATCTCAATAATAATAATATCAAGTTAATAATTTTATATTTCTTTGAATAGAATAATGTAATTTCAAGTTCGAAAGAATACTTTAAAATAACGCTGTTATATAAGTATTCATGGAAAGTAATATTTTATATTTTGTTTTAGTTGCCAGTGTAGCTGATAGACTTGAAATAATTAATTGTATAAATGTAAAACCTAGACGTATTTTGAAAGGACATCAAGCCAAAGTTTTATGCTCTGACTGGTCTCCTGACAAACGCCATATTGTTTCTTCTTCACAGGTAAGTGAACTTTCTTTCTATATATTCTATTCTTTCTATATATTCTATAAGTATACTTTCTTTTTATATTAATTTATTTTATTTTACATAATAAACAATATCTTATACTTAGGATGGAAAAATGATTATATGGGATGCTTTCACTACAAATAAGGAACACGCTGTTTGTATGTCAACTAGATGGGTGATGGCATGTGCTTATGGCCCTAGTGGTACTTTAGTAGCATGTGGGTATGTATATTTATATAGACAAATATTAAATTTGTTATGAATTGTGATGAATTGGTAGTTTATACTCATTTTTCTGTAATGTTGCAGTGGATTGGATAACAAAGTTACTGTATATCCACTAAGTTTGGAGGATGATGTTTCAGCTCATAAGAAAACTGTTGGCACTCATACATCATATATGTCTTGTTGTGCATTTCCTAATAGCGACCAGCAAATTTTAACAGGTAGTGGAGACAGCACATGTGGCTTATGGGATGTGGAAAGTGGGCAATTATTGCAAAGTTTCCAAGGCCACTCCAGCGATGTCATGTCTATTGATTTAGCACCCAGTGAAACCGGAAACACATTTGTGTCAGGTGGTTGTGATAAAATGGTTTTAATCTGGGATATGCGCAGTGGCCAATGTGTGCAAAGCTTTGAGGGACATCAATCTGATGTTAACTCAGTATGTATACAATAATCATATATCATTTTTATATCTTCCTATTAACAAACAAAAGTTGACATAAGCTATATTATTAATTGATTCCTATTACAGTCTTTATTAAGGATAACTTAATATGATGTTATATTTGAAATACAGGTGAGATTTCATCCAGGAGGTGACGCAGTAGCGACAGGATCGGACGATGCTACTTGCCGTTTGTTCGATTTACGTGCAGACAGAGAAGTTGCAGTGTATGCAAAAGAAAGTATAATATTCGGAGTAAACGCGGTCGATCTCAGTATAAGCGGGCGTTTGCTTTTCGCCGGATACAACGATTACGCGGTGAACGTGTGGGACACTCTGAAGTGTCAACGAGTGGCATTGTTGTACGGGCACGAAAATCGTGTCTCCTGTCTAAGAGTTTCACCGGATGGCACTGCTCTCTCTACTGGTAGCTGGGACTCGACTTTACGAGTTTGGGCTTAGCTTTACAATTACTACTATTTGCTTTAAACACATAAAGATACATCTCTTGCTAAACAGCACAGTTAAAGTCTTTCATTATTTTTTATATTTATTTATTTAGTCTCGCCTTCTTGACTACTTTTTTATATTTATTTATATCCACATATTGCCATTATACCAAGTATATATATATGATATATCAAATTGAAATTGTTGCCCATTCAATAGGAAGTATGCTAAGTCATATATGAAATGTAATCAGTAACAAACCACTGACTATGGTAATAATTATTACTATAATTAATGATGTTATATTAGGCTGGCCCTAATTTGCAGAAACAATTTTAGCGGAAATATATCTCTTAGTGCAAGTAAAAATATGTATGTGAGAAAAAATAAAAATTTCATAAATCCCAATCTTGTCAAAAATACTTTGTTTTGTATACAATAATTTAATTTGAAGATTATCACAATTTGCATGTGACATAAATTTACTAACTAGAGCAAACTTGCTGTATATATATGATGTGGATGCTGTATATATACAGCATCCACATCAGCTGGCCATCTATGTGTCGTTGTGGTAAATTCCTCGTAGCGACATACACATGATACATGAGAAGTGCCGCGAACCTGACTTAGCACTTTGCGGCTACTTCCGTACAATTGTTATTACAAAAAAACTTTCCTATAAATTCAATATTCCTAAGACATCATATTTGTATACTGCAGCTACGCACGGAGGATAAACATGCCTCAATATATAAGTATGTATTCGATCATTATAATATCTAACCTAGAAATATGCTATCAAATTTTCTCTATAAATAAAAAAAAGTAGAAAAAATATAACTTGAATTTTTTTTCTGTAACATAATATAAAATATTCACTTACTGCAGAAGAATGGTAATTTTTAAAATTATTTCAGGAAATATAAATTGAATTACATACATATCTATTGAATTACATATACACACACACACACATACACATATACTGCTTAGTTCAGATGATCTAAATTTAACATAAACTTAAATTAATCTATTCAACACTATTTATAATTTATTATTCGCAAATTTTTGTATTATATTCATATGTTTCAGTTAAAGTTAAATGGGGCAAAGAACTCTTTTCTAATGTAGAAGTAAATACAGAAGAGGAACCAATGTTATTCAAAGCGCAACTTTTTGCATTGACCGGTGTTCAACCTGAGAGACAAAAAGTTATGCTGAAAGGAATGACATTAAAGGATGATGATTGGGGCAATTTAAAACTGAAAGATGTAATGATATATAAATGTATCCTAGCTTTATCTGACCTAGTTTCTGTTGTAGAAAATTAAGAATAATCTGTAATACTGCTTATTGAAACAGGGTGTCACAGTACTTATGATGGGTTCTAAAGAAGAAGATGTACCTATAGAGCCAACAGAAAAGCCATTATTCTTGGAGGATATGAACGAAGCTGAATTAGCCACAGCTTTGGATCTACCAGCTGGTTTACTCAATTTGGGAAATACGTGCTACCTAAACGCGACGGTGCAATGTTTAAAGACTGTACCCGAGTTGCGAGAATCTTTAAAGGCTTTCCCAGGTGGTTGGGCAGCAGCTGCGACTTTATCGTTACCCGCGCAAAGTATAACTGCAGCATTAAGAGATTTGTATGATAATATGGATAGAGGAACGTCTAGAGCTCCTCTTGTTCTCGTTCAAATGTTGCATTTAGCTTTTCCGAGATTCGCAGAAAAAACCGAACAAGGCGTATTTCAGCAGCAAGATGCTAATGAATGTTGGACAGAATTGATCAGGATGATACAACAGAAGTTGCCTGCAAAGGTTGCTAGATATACATTACAAATAGAAATTAATTTTATATATATTTACTTAAGCATTTAATGCGAAAGTATTGGTTATTACTGAAAATATTGTATTTGTATAACAGAACAATCCAGATGTATCTGAAAATGATACTGAAGCTGCCAAGCCACAGTCGTTCATTGAGCAGTATTTTGGTGGTATATTTGATTTTGAATTGAAATGTATTGAATCTGAAGATGAGCCAGCAACTACTGGAAAAGAAGAATTTCTGCAGTTGAGTTGTTTTATTTCAACTGATGTCAAGCATATGTATTTCGGACTTAGGAACAAAATGCAAGAACAAATTACGAAGATGTCTCCGACACTCGGAAGAAATGCTGTTTATACAAAAACGGTAATTTTTTTAAATTGAATATACAATATAATTTCCAATATCTGTATATAGATTTAATACAAGAATTTATTATTTCTTTCGGAATAGAAAGTCATTATATATATATCGTTTTCAGTCAAAAATTAGCAGGCTACCAGCATATTTAACTATACAATTCGTACGATTTTATTACAAAGAAAAAGAAGCAATTAATGCGAAAATTTTAAAAGATGTCAAGTTTCCCCTGGAATTCGATGCTTTTGAATTATGCAGTCCTGAGCTTCAAAACAAACTTACTCCGATGCGTGAAAAATTCAAAGAATATGAAGATTCCATGATGGAAGAATCTTGTAACGTGAAAGATAAGAAGGATAAAGAGGACAACACAAAGAAAAAAATGAAACAGGAACCATTCTGGTTTAAGAACGGTAACAAAATACAGGATGTGACTTGACATTTGCTTGCATTTTACAAGTTCAATCTACTAAATTATATATATTTATTCACGATTGCAGATCTGGGTTCGAACAACAGTGGTTATTACGAATTGCAAGCAGTTTTGACGCACAGAGGACGTTCCAGCAGCAGCGGTCATTATGTCGCTTGGGTTCGGCAAAAAGGAGACACATGGATGAAATGCGACGACGACGTTGTCACGGCTGTTACCAGTGAAGAGGTTTTGAAACTCAGCGGAGGCGGCGATTGGCATTGCGCATATGTTCTTCTGTACGGTCCGAGAATTTTAGAAGTACCCGATACGGAGAACAGCGAGGCTTAACTGTCATGATCAATTTAAAACGGTGAAAAAAAATACGCTAGACAAGAAATCGCTTGCGTTACTAGCTCTATACAAATACCCATTTGTTTTTATATTGACCGATAAAACGGTGTCATTAAAGCATCGTTACTGTGCGACTATATCATCTCATGGGCAGGCAATATTTGTAATTTGAATAATATCTTTAGCACACGAACGAACAACTTTGTTTAGAGTTTAGCCGTGTCTACGAGCACTGTATATATTACAATACCGTGTTGAATTGTGATATATACAGCTTACATATGGATGCCTGTGCGATAATTTACGAAGCTAATCTCTAAGCTAAACTCAAAAGATTCCTGCAAAAAGCTCGATATCAGATAGAGATATTAATCTCCCTTACATAGTTATTAAGAGCAATGTAATTTTCAACATTATAATTGAAGACAATATTTATTACGAGATATCTGTTATCAAACTTAAATCTAAGAGTCATATGAGGTTCTTTGATATGATATTTGTTTCGAACAAAACACGCTCTAAGTGCTATGTGGGTGCGCCACATGAGCACATATGCTAGTCCACAATGCCTTCGTCTAGCAAAAAATTGATACCAACATAAGAAGATCCTGTCCATGATAGTAAAATAACCATGAATCTAGAGACATTTTAATTAAATCCTACTATCAACCAGAAGATGACTATACGAAGACTGACACATATATTTAAAAAATGTCGCTTTGCAAAGAGAAAGCATAATGCAACATTACACATATAGTATATTACCTAAATTATATTATAAGACCATTTTGTTAACATGAGTTTTATCTTATTGAGAAAAATATCAGGTTTGATATATACAGCTACACATCTTTATATTTAAAATGCAACTATATATATAATTAAAAAGAATTACAACCTGCAAGATATAGAATTCCTAAAGATAAATTTTTATTATGACAAATGTATAATAAAATTATTACTACATTACTAAAAAAAATATCAAAAGCTTATATTGTGCTTATAGAATCTTCTTTATACACCAGGAAACTAGTACCTGAAGTACACAATGACTTTTTTGTCTGGCACCTGTTATTACTAAATTATTAGTTGTTATTGCAAAAGCAGAAAGTAGTTTTAAAAAATACATATATCAGGATTATTTAGAATTTATCTCATAAAAATTCACTATATTTATATAGAATAGTTTCATATAATTACCAATTGGTTAAATGGTCAATTTATTTTATATATTTTAGGGAAGAAATATAAGAAATAAAGTTTAAATGCAAATAATTGTAATCACTATTTATTATCAAAAACTATCAAAAACTTTGTAGAATTTAATATTTAAAATTATGATAAAATTTTATAAATTACTCTTTCTCTCCATGACTGTTTACACTCACGTTTTATTCTATACATGATTTCCATTGAAGTATTTGACTTCTTGGAAAGTATTATACTGATCTTATTATTTTAAATGTTTCTGAAAATCATATTTATGAAACTTCCCTGATAGTACATGTTTTCCGGGGACGTCCTGAGGATGAAGAAATATCCCCAGAACATCCTTAAGATGTACTCTGGACATCTGTACTATTAGGGTTAGCGTGCTATGATTTTTGTCATTGACACATTACTAAGTTTTCCAGAAAAACAATTCATAAAAGTGCTAAAACTGACAAATATATACACAGAATAGAGGAGCTAGTTCGTTTCTGCTGATAAATTCACAAACAAACCACAGTGAGCACAGTGAGGATGTGTGATATGCAGTAACAGTAAGTTGTGGAAGTGGATGCAGTAACAATTGAGAATCAGGTCCTTCAGAAATTCATTTTTCAAGCTGCTTCTACTATATATCTTCTTCAAAACATAGTGATGTATATGATCTATCTATGCATTCATTTATGATAAATTCATATTGCATTACTTTCCATTCATATAGTGACCAAACTTCTTTTGCTTGTATAATCAATGATGAAAAGGTCTTGCATTGATTCGAATATTATTACAATTTTGTACAGTGTCACAAACCTATCATTGTTAATAATTTTAGGAAGACTTTGGTTTTTGAGCTTTTTTCCGACGTAGACGACCATCCGGATACCTCATCGCTGCTCGCATATTCAGATCATTCCAAATTCTTTGAACCGATCCAAGTGAAATGTTCAACTTGTTGAATATTTCTCGAACAGAAAGATTGTTATCGTTAAGAATTAGTTCTTTAACACGCTTCAAATTCCTGTCTGTTTTTATTGTAGTCGGTCGTCCTGATCGCTTAGCGTTCTCGGTAGAATTAATACCATTTTTAAACTTCGAAAACCATGTATAAACCTGCATCCTGCTCATTGCACATTCTCCAAAAGCTTCTCTCAGCATTTCGTGAGTCTTCGAAACATCCTCTCCGATTTGGAAGCATAATTTAACACAGACTCATTGTTCTCTCAAATCGGAACCAACGACTGGATTCATAATATCACACATATTTTCGTTCAATGACATCTTTCTCAACATAAATTTGTTCATTTTAGATGAACTTTCTGTACCATTCGCACTAGTGCATGACGGATGCATTTCAATTCAATTCAATAAATGGCTCTGAGCAAAATAGGGTACTGCTCCAACGCCACTCTCACGGTGTAGATAGATTAAATTCTGTAAGGCTATTTTCCAGCAGAGGTAAAAGAAAACAGGGACAACGCATACGCAGTCCCAACGATAAAAAAATATGCGTAGTTACAGGAACTGCCATGGAGCGGTTCCTGTACATCCAACCGCCACGGAGGCGAACAAAAACTATGACGGATGCATTTTATTTCGAACAGTATAGAAAAGATTGTTCATATTCTACTGCCTGAAATAGGCCTTGAGCAAGTATGAACAGGATTACCATCACCCGCGAAATTTGAATTTGAAACTTGTGGATAACCTAAAACTAAAGTGATCTTAAATATTAACAAAGAATCACAAATTTATTACAGTATATAAATAATTTTCTCCTCATAGTTAAGTTGTAATGTTTAGCTTTGAAAAAAACGCGTAACGATAACGATATTTTTAACACGTTCATTGCCAAACTGAAAATTTGAATTTCTTATGGTGACCAAAGTTATTTTTTCTTTTATTTAGTTCTTATTGTGCTCAAAATAAGTTAGTATATTATCTATATACTTTTATTATTATGTAAGTGGGATTTAATGTACTCTAAATATTTACCAATAAAAAACATTTAAATATAATAATTATAACTTTAATTATCAGTCTTTCTATATAATCACTTATAAGTATTAAAAATAACGCACAAATAGACATTTATATTAGCAAAAATCAACATTTATAGGAACTTACTAATTTTGGTTTCGTTGAACTAATTGGTTTTGTAATTGCACATATTATAATATCAACTAAGAAACTTATACAACGAATGAACTTACTCTAAATTGTAAATCACTTACATATTCAAAAAACAAAAATACAAAAAACACAAAAAGGGATACAAAATATAAATTTATTTAGCAGTGCAATCATGCAAGTCAAAAAAACAGTCAATACACAACGGGGGAGAACCTGGACAGTTTTTACACTCAGTGGTGGTGTTTACCCTTTTCTTATTTTTATAACAGTTTCTACAATCCTTTCTGGACGTTGCATTTATTGTTTTGCCAGTGCTTAGACATCGCGGTTTGGCTTTTTCAATTTTAGTCAGCTTGTGTTGGTCTCGGTCTCCACGTCTCTTCTGCGTGGTTTGTGGGTCAGATGTTATTTCTGGCAAATACGATTCAATTATTTTCTCTCTAAAATCATAAAGATCATGCTCCTTTTATTAGAATATTTATTATAAAGTACCCAGGCATTTATCAAACTCATCATCAAAGTATGTACAAAAATTTTCACATACCAACGCTAATTTCGCTATCACCAAAATCGTAGTCTCTATCATCGACATCACTCCCTGCATAAATGTCGTCGTCCGAGTCCAGTAATAACTCTTCCACATCCGTACTTTTTAGTCGTTTTTTTGCACGATCTGGCATTGAACTGAGTCTTTTCGAGGGTCCTGGTTTGTCACTCATAATAAAAAACAAAAATAATATTCAAAATAAATAAAAACCAAACTTTAAGTGCGCTAAATCAACGAATAACCTAAACAAAATCGTCGAATCGTCACCTAGTTCGAACGCCGCCACTGTGCGCACTGGCTAACAAAAACAACAGACGATGGCTGGAGGCCATCTCCCCTCCACGAGAGTTCAATCCCTTCCCCAATGGCCTATGTAAACATCACGCACCGTTTCGCTGTGGCCGCTATTCTATCCCGCATAGAAACTCGTTAGCGACGATCACGCGATATCGCGGCATGAACGGCAATGAACGTGTTAAAAAAAGTTTGAAAGAATGATCGCCATGTTGATCATTGCATTATTGCGTTTTTTTTTTACTTTCTTCTGTATTCTTGTATATCCGTGAATCTTGTATATCCGTATATCCGTGATTTGTGAAGTATTTAAGACTGAAAGCAATGGCTGCGTTCAGTAGAACAAAATGATCAGTGAGCGCTTAGTGATTATTGGGTGCATTCAGTACTACAACCGCTCACTGAGCGTTCAATGAGCTTTTACATTTGATTGGTACATTCTTTTAGATTTAAAAATATACACCAATCAGATGCAAGAGCCCACTTAGCGCTCAGTGAGCGGTGTAGTACTGAATGCACCCATTGGTTGCGTTCAGAAAACAAAGCGCTCACTGAGCGCTTAGTAACTATTGATCCTTACTGTTAGATCCTTACATTCAGACCAATAACGTTGACGAATTAAGCTAAGACTCCATGCATGCGGTGAGCTCCGGCAAACGGCTGCGGTGACCAATCAGGAGACAGACGCATGCCGGAGCTTGCCGCAACTGGACTTGCGCCTCCCTCCTGATTGGTCATCGCAGCCGTTTGCCGGAGCTCACCGCATGCATGGAGTCTTAGCTTTACTCAACCGTTGTGTAACCGTTGTGTTTTCTGAACGCAGCCATTGTCTGTGATCAGAGCATTCTTTTAAATTCTTCATAGACCCAGAAGTATTTATCAATCAGGAGCGAGATTCAATGGTAAATCTAGTAATGTTGTCCAACTGTTGAGTCTGCTGAATGCAGCCATTGGCTGCGTTCAGAAAACACAACGGTTACACAACGGTTGAATAATTCGTCAACGTTATTGGTCTGAATGTAAGGATCTAACAGTAAGGACCAATAGTTACTAAGCGCTCAGTGAGCGCTTTGTTTTCTGAACACAACCTTTGTTCTACCGAACGCAGCCACTGGATATTGTTTTCTTAGCTGAGTGACTATTGGTTCGATTAAAGTGAACGATGTGTAGGCCGTTGCTATACTGTCTGTATTTGGATAGTCATTAGAAATTCTAGCTCTATATTGCATGAATCAATTGGTCTGTTCTTTTCAGCTGCACTGCGGAACTAGTGCAATAAATTAGAATGAGACAACTATATTTTTTCTCACTTTAACTTATTACACCAGTTCAGTAGTGCAGCTAAAAAGAACAGACCAAATGTGTTTAGATGTCAGTTCATCTTCAGGCTCTAGCGCCGCTAGAGCAGTCTAATTCTAGGTTGGAGGCGCACATATTCTCCTTCCTATCCCTTGTTACATTTCTACACTAATCAGCTGTCAAATACAATCATTCCGTCAGCTGTCAAATACAACCATTCAGTTATCGGTTTTAAAATTTTTGAAGTAATAGCTATATACACACATACACACACACATACACACACATACATATTCTGTTCATGGTTGCTTATGGACTTGTTTTTGATATATTTTTATATGTATATTGCTTATTGTCCCTATTAATTGTTTGACATATTTATTATAGAATTTGATATATGAATTATTTATTTATACAACGATGGCGAAGGAAAGGTATGTATTAAATTTTTTAAACAAGACTGTTAGAAGGAATGATTTTCATTGATTTAATTAAGATTCATAAAATTTATATTTTTATATGTGCTTGTGAAGGCTAATAGAACAACATTGAGATTTTGTTGTAGTAAATATAAATAACACAGAAGAATATTTTGTAGGTTAGAATGAAAAATAACGTCATTTAAGGAAAATATATACAATTTGCACATTTCATTAAATTAATATATAAAATAATATATAAAACATTCCTTCTAATAATCTTATCAATTGCTAATTTTAATATTACTATAATAAGTTGTTATATTGAATTATATGTTGAAATAGATTCACAATGCTCCTTTCTGAACCTGGAGAAATATTTTTTGAGGATTATAGTGTCCAGATGAGAAGACCAGATGCTTCATCTGAAGAAGATAAAAAATGGATAGATGGAAGACTAAAATTATGCTCCAAATCTCTGGTATTTGTAAATAAAGATATTAATCAGCCATTAATCAAGATTCAGTTTAAAGAAACTGTATCTATCGAGCAATATACATCCACTAATGAAGTAGGGTAAGTATATATTAATATTTTTAGAACTTAATAAAAGAAGTTTATAAAATGTAACAATTATATTCTAATTTGTAGTTTTTGTACTTTGGTATTTTTATATTTACAATCACAATTATCTATCTATTTGAATTTATTTTAGTGATATATTGTCTGTGGAATGCAAACAATATGTAGAAATGTTGGAGAAGAATATATTAGCGCCATACAGATTCGTTCATCAGAGTAGTGTATTCCACTTCTGTTTCAACTATACAAAAATAGAAGATTGTCTTCCACAAATTTTACAATTGCACAGAGCAGCAAGTTTAGCAAATGCAGAACAAAATGCCATGGTAATATCCTTGTGCATTAATTCTATTTGATTACATTATTAGGATTACATTATTAATTATATTTTTATTTTTTAAGATTATGGCTATTGTACACTCCAGGCAATCAGGTGTATTCTTCGACATGTCATGGCTTGAAGATTTATATGAGCAAGTAGTTTTAGAAGCACAAGCAAACCAAGTGTTACCACTTGTAATAAATCCTGGAAGAGTATTACTAACTACAGCTAGAATCTATTTCCAGCCTTATAATAACACAGATCAAGTAATTATTGCATCACATCATATAACCATTGATCAGAATTCTTATTATTAATTTTGATTATTATGTATTAATTATTAATCTTTTTTTTAATTTTTAGCATCCTGTTCACAAAATACAACTAAAAGATATACAGAGTATTATTAAAAGAAGATTTATATTACGGCAAGTGGTAAGTAATTTATAATTCATATATTTATTATTGAAATAAAATAATGTGCGATGAAAAAATAGTAAGATTGCATCTCAAAAGACTATATCAATAATTTGTTTACAGGGTCTTGAGATTAAATGGATACGACAATCTGGTGGTAAAATCGAATATCTATTTCTGTCATTCCAAAATCAGGATAAGAGAGACAAACTGTACGAAGATTTACTTAAACAATCGGCAGTTTCATTAGAAACTGTACCTCAAAATCAAATGCTACTAAGATGGCGTAATGGATATTTATCGAATTATGATTATATTTTATATATAAACAGGTGATTATGTAAAAGTTTGAATGTTGTTGACTTAAAATATGAAAAATATATTTAATATTTACTCTCACTTTTATATTTTAGTTTAGCAGATAGAACGTTTCACGATTTAACACAGTATCCCGTATTCCCTTGGGTCATAAAGGATTATACTTCCACGACATTAGATTTAAACGATGTTAACGTTTACAGAGATCTGTCAAAACCCATCGGTGCATTAAATCTTACTCGTCTAGAAAGACTAAAGGTATATATATTAGATTTTATTACATATACAATATATCTTGATATTTCATGAAATATATATATATTGAAATTTTCTTTTTTTATTTTCACATTATTATAGGAACGATATTCGGAAATGTCTGATCCAAAGTTTTTATATGGTTCTCATTATAGTGCACCAGGCTTTGTATTGTTTTATTTAGTACGAAAATATCCTCAGTACATGCTTTGTCTGCAAAATGGAAGATTTGATCATCCAGATAGAATGTTTAACAGGTACATATATATATGTTTTTCCTTCAACTTCTCTCGGAATTTTATTTTAAAATATTGATAATTACAACATAAAACAAAATTTATATTCTAAAAAAATCACTGTATCTTATAAAATTATATAAATTATATATTTAATTTGTAAAGAATTAAACATTATATATTAAACACGAAATATAAAAAATACTTTAAATATCAAAATATACAAAATACCTAATTATTCCGTCAAAGGAGTAGAAATAATTTTATGTTTCACTTTTATCAACAAAAACACTGAACAGTATAGCCGACGTATGGAAAAATGTTTTGGTGAACATGTCTGACTTTAAAGAACTGATACCAGAATTTTATGATACAAGCAACGGTGGTGATTTTCTAGTTAACAGTTATGGCATCGACTTTGGTCATCGACACGATGGTTCCAAGATAAACGATGTACAGCTTCCTCCTTGGGCAGAAAGTAATAAGATTTCTGATTTTAATTTCAGATTATTGGTCACCATTTGCTTTCATAAGTGATATGTATTTCCTAGGAGTAGGACTTTTTATCAGGAAATATTTTCGCTTCAAACGCGAGTGCATGCTATTTTTGCTTAGATTTTGAAACCATTTTTCATGTTAGGCAATAGTAAAGTTAGTTGTTTCACATTATGTGACCAATCATTGATTAGAATATTGAATATTATCGTGATTAAATATTTGATACATTGATTTAGGCCCATCTGATTTTATAAAAAAATTAAGAGCTGCGTTAGAAAGTGAATATGTTTCGCAAAATCTTCATCATTGGATTGACTTGATCTTTGGATATAAGCAAAGAGGAGTTGAAGCGGAAAAAGCTGATAATGGTAAGGATTCGATCTTTTATATATTATTTATGTTAATAATATTTATAATACCAGTATCACTAATAATATATTAGTGATACTGGTCGCTTCAATTTTAAGATGATAATATATCTTTCATTGCAGTATTCTTCCATTTATGTTATGAAGGATCAGTAGATTTAGATACTGTACGCGATATAAATGACAGACATGGTCTTGAAGTGCAAATTATGGAGTTTGGTCAGATACCAAAGCAAGTCTTCACTCTACCTCATCCTAAACGTTTAACGTCGACTGTAAATTTATCACATAATGCAGCATTGTTGTCATCGCCAGAAATAAGCAGTGAAGGTGTGTTTTTTCTTTATCTTCTCTTTTCTCTTATGTTTTTTCTTTCTGGTCACGCACATAATCTTTCTGGTGCACGCACTATACGATATTATTTTTATTAAACATTTTCTTTCAATTTTTCAGGCAATGCATGTGTAAAGGACAAATCATTTAATTTTACAGAATTAGTAGCTTTTCAAGCACACAAAAACTGCGTTAGCAGTATTATACAAAAGAGTACGAACTCGTGTAACGAAATCATATCAGTAGGGCAAGACGGAATGCTTAAATTGTATAATATAAGTGAGAAGAAAGTGACACGTAGTGTTAAGTTGTCCTCGTTGTCTTTATCATCCTGTATCTCATATTATACACCGTCGCAACGTAACATTCTCGTAGCAGGATCTTGGGACAATACCCTGTAAATATAACACTACCCATATTGTATACACAGTGAGATAATGGGAAATCATACAGTGTGATCTGGAAAAGTGTCAGAAAAATTTGGAGCTAAAGACTATATAGAGATAAATATAAATGTCTCTAAATCTTTACCAAATTCTTACATTTATTTACATTCCATGTATATGCAATTTTAATAACACTGCTTCTTTCCAGGATATTTTACGACATCGAATTCGGTAGAGTAATAGATATCTTACAAGGACATTCGGATGCAGTATCATGTTTAGCGTGGAGTTCCGCTCGCCAAGTTATTATATCTGGATCGTGGGATTGCACCGCAAAAGTTTGGCGCGAGTATACATGTGGCACGAAAATTAAGCCAGTGGAATGTTTTCTTGCACAATTGGATCATGATTCAAAAGTAACTTGTATTGATATATCCAGGTAAATGATATCATAAAATTTTTTTCTTAAACGCTGTTAAATCTTTTTAAAATTAGTCTCTATTAAAAATATCTACACATAATGTGTGTTATTTCTGTTGTGTATTTTATCTTATCGTATCTGTGAATTGAATAACTCATTTTATGCTAATTGCAGGGACGATACTATATTGGTTTCTGGTACAGAAGACGGCGAATTATGTTTATGGAATATGGATACGTATGATCTGCAATATATCATTAAAAGTAAATGTACATTTTTACTTTCCTTTAAGGTCACATCATGTTAGAACTGTTACTGTAATTTAAATTATCGCAATATTATTCGCTAATATCTAATATTTGTATTAAAGGTCACATGTGTAAGGTAAACGCAGTAACGTTCGATAAACAGTGCAGCAGTGTGATATCGTGTGCTGAAGATAGAATATTAAATGTAACAGACGTTCGAACGAGCACGCAAATATACTCTATTAGTTTAGAAAACGAGCCTCTCACGGTAAAATGGATGGGACCATTCTTATTGATAGGTGATGATCATGGAAATTTCAATATATGGGACTATCGGAAAACCGTATTTGTTACGCAGATACACTGTCATGATGGTAAATCATGCATTATTATAACATTCTTAATAGTTGAACATTATGTGATGAGTTTTGTCTTTCAATAATCGTGTTTGCCCAGTTATATAGTTTATAGGCGTTATATAGTAATATAAATATTGATCATATAACTCAGTGGTTTAACTTTTTTTAATGGTTACATTTTTCTCTTTTCTTTCTTTTTTCCTCGAAATATATAAATTAATTTAGCTAATTGGTAATTATGTCAAACTGTTCTAATTGAAACAAATTTATAAAATATTTTTAAATAATTAAGATATGTGTATTTTTTAGGGTCACTTTCGGCCTTAGCAGTAGCATCTGATAGTAACTTGATAATAACAGGTGGCGAAGACAAAAAAGTTATTGTATGGGAATGTCATAATCAATGACACAGTATTTCAAGTGGTTGTCTTTTTTTTATTTAATGTATAAAGGAAATTCTGTGTAAGAAAAGAATAGGCCTAATTTCTTTTTTAGCAATGTACTATTAATTTTATTATGTGTTACAATAAAATACCAGTTGTATATAGTATAACAGCAGATTCTATATTTATATCACAAATTCCTGAATTGCAGAAATATATAATTTATATTTGATAAAGAAAATGTCTCTTAGCATTTTATAGGATTTCATTAGGATTTTTCTCTTTTGCGCAATATAAATATACATTTGCATTTTAAGTATCAAGAAGTACAGCTATATACATCAGACCTAATTTTCTTCAATTCAGACGTTTTCTTTAATAAGACACAAGTTGTCACACCAATATTAAGATTCTAATATAACTTATACAAATATATTGTATATCTAATGATATGTAATATTACATTCCGCTTTTTCTTTGCAAAGTAATATTTTTAAGCTATATGTTATCAGTCTTCCTATCATAATAAAAATAACTCCACATTGCGAAAAAATGACTGCAATATCAAGCTTTAATACGAGTGATTGTTACAAAAACAAATTAAATAAAAAATACTAAATATATCATAAATATTTGTACCACCGAACATAAGTCCATTTATCCTAGAGGAAATTATACACAAGACGAAAGTATTTACATCATTTTGTATAATTGGTGCATAAAGAATTCAAATTTAATGTCACATCTAAGCTCTCATGATGTGACATATTGTATACAAATTGAAATTTTAAGAAATGGATTGATTAATTTACAGTATTAATAGCAATGGATGGATTTGCTCGCATTTGGTATTGGCTTTATTGAAAACTCTTAATATGACTAGTGTGTGCTAAAGATACAACTGTAAATGCTACATAAAAATACTGGAAGAGGAATCAACACTATTTGTGCATGCTAATAGCAATGACTAGTATTACACAAAATATTGCGATAGATCAAACAGGAACATTTAATTTTTATATCTATACATATTGTTCTAAAGCCTTGTTGTCACTATACATTTTACTAAGAATTTTGGTATACAAGCTCTTTCGAATTTGTATGTTTCTTTGGAGATAACAGAGAACGAATCTGCAACAAGTTTTGTAAAGAATCTTGTTTTTGTTACTAATATTTTTACTAATATTTTACTAAAAATATCAACTAGTAAAAATTCCTCTTGCGGAAGCTTGTACTTTAGGAAGCTCTTCGACTTTTCTAATTACTTTCTGTTTTTTAATTTGACTTGAACCCTGATTCTATTAATGCTGAAAGATACTTCATTTTTTTTAGTTGTGTAGTTATTTCGTACCAAGGTAACTTGGTTAACATATTAACATATTACTTTCACGTATGATGATTCACACATAACTGAGATTGTTAGGTCAGAACATTAAATAATGTTCACATTAGAATGCACTTTCGAATCTTATCTTAATGAAGAATTTGAATATTTTGACATAATATCTCGTTACATCACAAATGATCCAGTTGCTTTAATTGTTCGTAGGTAATGAAAAATATAATATTCCATGGTCCCATTCTAAACCATGTTGGGACGAAACCTTTGTATAGTGCTAGAACTCCTTCATTTTTAATCGTCTACATGAAACATAAAAATAATTATTCTTAAGACTGATATACTAAATTGAATATCTGAAAAGTATGTGTAGACGTTAAAAGGACAAAATTTTATACCTGAACCAAACAGTCTATGCTACCATTGTAAATATGTGAAGGGAGTTTATTGCCAGCAATGCACACTCTCCTTTGATTCATTAATCGTGTCTAAAGAAAGAAAATTATGTTTAAAGAATCAATTATGCAAATTATAAGTTGTAATCTACTCACACGAATGACGTCCAAAGGTGTCGAAGCTACAGCGCTCCCCATGCTAGCTACAAAACTCGATCTGGAAAATTATAATTAAAGTCAAGCACATTTACAGCTTATGCTAATATAAATCTAAACCTAAATGTCACATTTTTAATTAAACCTTATACCGTTTTCTTTTCTTATCGAGAACTATATAATCTTTTCTAGTATTGATTTCAAGTTGGTTTTAAATTTTAGACTGTAATACCAGGAGTTTATATTATAAATAAAAATTAACCCTTATCCAGGCAATCATGTGCAGAATTAAGACTGTTTAATACGCCTACAATGATGGCTAATATCTCAACGGAGCAGAGAGATACACTTCCAGATATAAGTGGAAATTGAAAGCATAGATGAAATAAAGCATTTCTTTAGAGTAAAAGGAAAAGAGGAACAATCAAACTTCTGCAGCACATGGTTAGTGATTTAATAAAATTCCCAAAGCTCTAAGACGCATAAGTGCTAACCAAAAAGCCATTGCAAGGTAGATTAACATGTTTAATCATCTGGACGATTGTCTTAACGATTCTTGTATTAAACACAGAGTGCTGAACACAGCTTCCGTGTCAAGCCTCTCTGGTCATCTCAAAATCCGTCTGTGCCCATATGCATGACAATGGACCTGGAAAAAAATGTTACAATTTTAGGAGAGTATTACTCCTTTCTCGCTCTTGAAATAATGGACAATACACGGGATATTTCAAAAATTACGTAATAACGTCTCGGAGATCTCAGAAGTTTAGCCGATTAAATTGGCCGATTATCTCCGAATCGAAATATAAAATAATTTCTGAATTGGCGACTTCGAAATTAAGTTATTTAAATTAATCGCTTAAATTAGAACGTTTTAAGACGACTAGATTAGTGCAGAAGAATAATGAATAACTATCTTTTCATCCTCCAGTTAAATTTAAATGCACTTCAACCATTTCGCTTGGTGTTTAATAAATAGCGTGCATCTTTCTATATGCGTCTATTTCAAAATACTAATCACAAGAGCATTCTCTATACATACATACAATAGTAGTTCGTAATTAATCAATACCATCTCACATTGGAACAAGAATAGTTGAGTAACTTGCTAATTACAATGTCATATATATACGTTGTGCTGTAAATTCACCATCTTGTTATGAGAGATAGGCTTTAATAGCCCGGATAAGGGTTAATTGATACTAACAATTAATAACATAAAATGAAACATATCAATAAATATGGATATAATGTGAACGGTATAGTGACGAAACCTTTGGTTCTGTGAACAATTAGTAAAGTTAAGCAATAATATTTCATTAGCTAACATATTTCAGGCATATTTTCGATCTTTGAAAACTGTTTTCATGTAAAAATAATATTGACATCCACTGATGAAAAAACTTACACAAAATGATTACTAACGCTATCTCCCAATATATTCATACATTTACTCTTGGTATAATCATATATAGGTAACTCTACAGCTGCAATAACAGCCGCTCGTTGAGCAGTTGGTCCAACACCCTGGAGGAAAAATAATATATTTATACATATGTACATACATATATATATATATATATACATACTCTTATACAAAATATTACATATATCTGAAAATATTTTTTTGTTACAAATCACTATTTGGTAAAGAAGTTCATTTGAATCAAATTTGAAAAATAACTAAAAATTTATTCATTTATTATAATTTAAATGAATAATATTTCATTTTTGCTTAATTTCTACTATCATTTTTATACTCAAATATGTAATAGTTAGTCAATCTAATGCATGATAAATTTGATAAAGTAATATGTAGTGACAAGAAGCACTCATTACCCTCCAAAGCCCACGAATACCTTCGTGTTTATACACATCTTTGAAACAGGCAAATAGAGACATATTTGCTTCATTGCCAGTGACTTGCATACGAACTTTTATAACATCAGTGGGGTTAGCAATAGCACTTGATATAGCTCCAGCTAATGCTCCACATATAACATTTATTACTACTAAATCATCAGTTGTCCATTTATCAGTTACAGCTTTTTTTAAGGAATAATAAGTCCCAAACTTAATAGTTCCATATGTCGCTTGCCGCAAAATAGCAGGACTGATTCTAGACAGCAAAAAGAAATAATAATAGAAAGACCAAAAAAATCATAACATCTTATGTGAAATTAAGAAATTTTTTCATATTGAATACATATTTTCTCTTATATTGAAATATTTACCCAGAATATAGTCCTTTTAATCCTTCTTGCTTAGATATTTGCAATAAAGCATCTGTCATGCCAGAATATCTCAAACGTGCAAGCTTTTGATCATACTTCTGGCCTTGTACTTGCAAACGTGTTTTTGTTGTATCCAGAGGAAATGTACCTATTGAATAAATAAGACAGTTAAAATTTACTTTTTTATTCTAAATATTTCACCAATTGAAAGTGAAATATACTAAAAATTACATTTTTATCATAATATATCATAATATAGGTGTAACACAAAATATTGCTTAAGATAATAACAAAAATTATTTTTAATTACTAATTTACCCAATTCTGCAATAATTGAAGCTAAACCTCCATATACAAAAGGTCTCCAATCTTTCCAATTCTTCTCTCCCATTGTCCGTTTTAATGAGACAAAACCAGCAATATAATTGGCAAAGGATTACTGGTACAAAATAAGGATTAATGAATCACTGAAAAATAAAAAAAAATTGAAAGATTTTTCCTTCTTTTTCCTAAAATAGATCAATATTAAGGAAATAAATTTTTAAAATATAAAGAGTATTGAATTATTTTGTTTGACTTTTTTACGTGAAATGCATAAACTAATAAATATGATAATAAATTCGAAATATTCTATTTTCAAACATTAATTCCACATATTCAATTGTAAATTTGCGAATAAGCTTAGTGCCTAAACTAACCATGATAATTTTTACTTATACTCGTTGTCAGGTGGCTTGACGATAGCTCGTGTTTAATTAGGTACAATCTGCATACAGTGCACGTTCAAAATTTCAAAATAGCATACACTTACATTTCGTATATAACTCCTTAAATAATAAATAATTATTTTAAACGTACCCGAATTGAGATACGGAGATAAAACGAACGCGAGATATCACGTGTATCGTCTCAGTATACTCAATATAAAGAACGGGCACTGCATCGTCTAACGTAAATACATTGGCCGCGTTCAGTAGACCAAAGTGATTAGAGAGCGCTTAGTGATTATTGTCTGTGATTGGAGCATTCTTTTAGATTCTTCATAGACCCAGAAATATTTACCAATCAGGAGCGAGATTCAGTGGTAAATCTAGTAATGTTGTCCAACTGTTGAGCTGCTGAACGCGGCCATTATCATCCAATGGAAAAATTCCTTTGCTAGAGACAGATTGTCGCTGATCGAAGTTCTCTAGAATGAGAACTTGCTATTTGATATCATACATTAAACAAACTCTTATAATAAAAGATATACGACATTTTGATCTCTTATTTTGATGGATCAATAAAAGGTTTACGTTATTTTTTGGACTTATTATTTTAATAAGTCAATAAGAGGTTTGATTTATAGGATATAAAGCCAGCGGCACACGATTATTTTTATCTTACAAAATCGATTATCGTATAATTTTTTTAGCTCGATCATTCCCTAGATAATAGTTTTTTATTCAATATTACTAGAATCTTTAAACCCATATCAGACTGTTGGGATTGCGTATTGATTGAAATTTAACCAATTAGGGCTAAGTTTACTATATTTGAGATTATTTTCTTTTTTCCAATTGGTCAAATTTCAATCCAATCTTAATCCCAATTCGTAGTCTGATATGGGCTTTAGAAGCGAAATAACGAATCTAAAGCCAACGGCACACGATGCTTGTTTCGTGCTAGATTATTTATTGGATGAAAATACTGCGTTCTGATTGGTACATTTCCGAAGATGAATGAAAATGCACCAATCTAGCAAGAAATCCAGCACGAAACAAGCATCGTGTGCGGCTGGTTTTAGACTCGTTATTTCGCTTCTAAAGTCCATATCAGACTATGAATTGGTGTTAAGATTAGATTGAAATTTGACCAATTGGAAAAAAGAAAATCTCAAATATAGTAAACTTAGCCCTGATTGGTTTAATTATAATTCAATACTCAATCCCAATCAGTCTGATACGGGCTTAAGGATTCTAGTAATATTGAATAAAAACTATTATCTAGGGAATGATCGAGCTAAAAAAAATTATATGATAATCGATTTTGTAAGATAAAAATAATCGATGTTAAAATAATCGAAATGATGTCGCCCATCCCTAGCTCCGACTCCTTTAACAGTTCATAAACACATTCAAAAATGGCGAAGGGGGGGAAATCGTCTTATCAGGTGCCTGTAGCCACATTGAGAGAGAGAGAGAGAGAGAGAGAGAGAGAGTAGCTCCGACTCTGACTGGCGTCCCTAGCCATATATTGGAGACTGGAGATTGGAAATTAGCTTCGATTAGCAGTTCTGCTATCACAAGTGTCAAAAATTGAATGATATTTCCAAAATTGTTCAAAGAAACTTTAGATCATTACGTAGTAAGTGTAGGAATTTACATTGTATCTATAATAACCTAACGAAAACTTCAAGTATCCGTTTATTTCTGTTTTGCGATACATATAAGGAAATTTCTACATATCTGAAATTATTTCTGCAAACGTTTAATTTTCTCTCTATAGATAATATAGGTAAGTTTTAACTTTGTTCTATGTGTTTGATTATATTCTGCACGATACAATGCATAAAATATTATATTTTTAATAACATCAGCATAAGATACATTTTGTATAGGTTATATTATGAATTCTTTAAACCGCTATATTTCGTATACTAAAGATTGTTTTTATCAAAATTACTTGTTTCTTCGTGCTATTTTTATATATTATGTATTATATAAGAAAAACATATATATATATAATACTGTTTTTGTTTTGTAAGATAAATGCCAAGTGTTAAAGATGAATCAGAAGGGGAAGGGGAAGAAATGTCGCATGATAGTAATGACAGTAATCAAAGCTCAGCATCATGTGACAGCAGTGCAGAACATACTGACAGCGATGACTCGTCAGAAATGGATGAGGTTGAATGCGAGCGGAGACGGCATGAATGTATGGAAAATTTGATAGATTTAGAGAGACAGTTTTCTCTTCTCAAGGAACAGTAAATATCCATATTTGATACACTGTTTATTACTGTATAATATAATATAGTTTTAATGAACTGTATAATATAATATAGTTTTAATGAACCATATAAATAATTTATATTGTCACAAGAAAGCTGAAACAAGTTAATGATACAAGCAGCGTATTAAAACTTTCAAAAGATCAATATTTGAAATATATTTTTGGTTGTTCTCTTAGATTATATCGAGAAAGAATCACGCAAGTGGACACGAAACTGGGGGAGGTTCGAGTCGGAAAATCAGAGGAGTATTTAATACCTTTGGAACGGCTGAAAGAGAACTTGAAAACGAAAACCGAAGTGGCCGGAATATTGAAGCAATTCAGGTTAAACAATATTCTAAATAAATTTTACGCCGAGGAGCAAGCTGCCCTGCAAAATTTCGAAAGCGAAAAGTCGATAGTTTGGGATGGCATTCACGATGAACTCCAAGACAAGATCCGTCGTTTGGAGGAAGACAAGAACAATGTGGATATACATGCGGATTTGTGGCTCAACACGACCAGCAGACGACGTAGAAACCATACAGAGAGACGACGTGCCGTTTCCGTTGCGGGTCCTTACATCGTTTACATGCTTAACGATACCGATATATTGGAGGACTGGGCGATGATAAAGAAAAGCCTGAGCAGTCGGAAAACGGAGATAATATAACTCGCGGTATAATCCAGGAGCACATTTAGAAATGCTTTCGAGACTGGTCTTAACGCGTATGGATACAATCAGTAGCTGTTGTGATCGTTGACGTTCGAAAAACAGACAATGATTTCGGGAACTCTTCTTACTTTTAGTCGCAGTAGATCGACACTTGCAAGATCGAGAACGGTCGAAATCGTGCGTTTTTAACGGAGTGGACCTCGAATCAGTCAGTGGATAGTAATTGCGAAAGAATGGAGAGCTTTGAGAGAATATCAATACAAATATATAAACCATGGCTATGGATATCCAAACGTGGTTGCAAACTAGGGTACAAATTGGGTAGTAGTTGTGCACAATAAAAATCCTTGACGGCGAACGAGTGCATCTCTTGGCGAATAAATACGAAAAGAAATTGATTTATTAATTGTTAATTTAACAAAGCGGAGAATTATATATACGACAAATTTAATAAAGCAGTTAACGAAGGATAAACTTTCGACGAAATGATCGGGAAATGGACGCGGAAAATGCTCCCGATGCTGACATTACACAATCATCCTCGATGCGTGCGAGAATTTCGTCCAATTGGAGGTAGCTTGAAGATGTAGCTTCGACGATGAGCGCATTTCCAGCTGTGACGTTCGTCACGGATGCGATGTATATACAGTGTGCCTTGGGGGAGAAAGAAATAAAATATTACAGTCATATACCAACGTACTTTCGGTACACTGGCGATTGCCGGGGGAATTACGCGCGCACGGCTATTTGTCGCGGGGACTCAGCAGATTCGAGTTATCTATAAAACTACCTAAGCTGGCACTAAGAACGATAATTATGTTAGTCTTTCATCATATACCAAAAGCGATTGGTTGTAATGTTTCATACACACGCAGTGCCAAGAATTAAATATGTATTACGTACATGTATATAATGCAGAATGTTGATAAGTTCGGCCTCTCATTGGTTGCATCGCGTTACTGCCTCTATTAAAATTCCGTTCTTTAAACGGACGATCATTCGTCCGAAGGCCCGACTGCTCGATTGAATTTTATTTTATTTTTTAATTGTCACGTTGAACATCGTGACAAAACACGTCTCGGGGCCTTCCAATTGAAGTTTTGATAAAGAACAGCGTATAATATCAACGAGCGCGAACGATCGACATTCTGTGAACACACACATACACATGAAACACTTCCGGAAGGTACTCATCTGTCTCTCCATTAGATTATATTCACGGAAACTTTAAGTGTTTTCCGTTTATTTCCAATACGTGTAAAAAATGTATGATATCAATCGGGCATATTTCATATTTTTGAATAAAGTTTGAAAAATTGCACAAGCCCTCGTTCTTTCATTCGATACCCGATAAAGACATCGAGACATGCAATTATTGACTTCCGAAATCTGAGAATCAGGATAACGCGGGGATGAATAGCTTGAATGTGTGAGTGTATGTCTATGTTAATGATGATGATGTGACATTGATACGGCAATATGATATTAACAACTGATTGGTCGGTCAATAACTTTCGTTAACGACGCGAATAGAACAAAACGATCGCTCGTGGTAAATATAAAGATAATCTCTTTCTCTAGCGAGAAACTGACTTCCAGAATCTAACCAGACAAATCACTTTTCAGTTCGATAAGATTGAGTTAACTATTCAGTTTGGACTGCTAAGGGGCTTACCTAGTGTGACGGTTTGAAAAAATCGAATTTTTTTTTATTTTTTGACAGTTTAACATCTGTAGAATAATATCCTGAAGTGTTATGGTCGTATCTGAAATATTTTAGAAACGGCAGGTATGAAACGGCAGCACAGCTGGTCGGGGGCCATAAACTCGATTCTCGCCGGCGAGGCAGGACGCCGGACAGTTGCGGTAGTTCTTAGGCTCTGACGTAATCGTTTATACTTCAAAGATAGAAAAGAGAGCCTGGTAGTTCCAAGGACTCACAATAATCCCTTTATGTTTGTACGAAAGCGTTGTTGGCAGCTCAAAAGGTTTCGAAGCCGCTCGACGCAGGTATACGTAAGCGGCCCGTTTAGTTCATTTTTAGCCACTGTGCAGAGCACATCGCAGCGCGAATTTCATTCAAAATGAGTGGGAAAAGTCAATCTAGTGTTCAAAAAGGCACACACGATATTCCAGCGCGTAGAAGTACCAATAAGAAAAGAAAGTTCCAGGGAAATCGACACACGCTGGAGCAGTCGACCGAGTACACCAGTACGACATGACGAAATTTAAACATGACTATCTCCCTCTGGACCTACAAATTCAAGAAGTTCTAGAGCCAATTTATAGTGATTTAAGTAGGCCTGAATTATTAAACAGGTGCAAGGATAGTAGTACACAAAATAATAACGAAAATTATAATGGTTTGTTGTGGCACTTTGCTCCTAAACACCTTCACAGTGGTTTAAAAACAATAAAACTGGCCAATTTCTTTGCTGTTGCAATTTTTAATGAAGGTTTCCAAGCTATTTTGCATTTGAAACAATGGGAGTGATTATTGGGCCCTCTGCCAAAGATTATGTAGAAAAACGAGTCATGAAGGTAGCAGAAAAACAGCACCGCGAGGCTTCAAAGGAAGCTCGGACAGCTCGCAGGACAGCTGCAGCGGCCCAGCAACAATTTTTCGAACAAGAGAAAGGCGAATTATATGGGCCTGGAATAGCTGAATAGCTGTAAGTATAATAAATTTTCTTTTATAACAAAAAAATCAGTAGTTAAAACTTGAGACGCGTTTTTCTCGAAACAACGTTTTCGAAATTTGCTGCAGTCATAACTCGCGAACAAATTAATGAATCAACTTCAAATTTGATAGGCATACTCAGTACATGTTTTGTCATACAGTAAACTAGGATTTTTTCAATCCGTCAATAAATGTCAATTTGCCACGCAAAAAACGGGCACTTTTTTTTGCTAAATTCGAACTTTTTCTTTTACAACACCGTAATTTTTTTAATTTTCAATATTTTTTCATAATCCTAGTTCACTGTATAGGAAAACTTATCTAGTTTAACGCCTTTTTTTAACGTTTAACGTCTCTTTTTATTTCAGGCACTCTGACGTCACTTATCGCTGCAGCAGTTGGGCTACTTTTTTTTTTTACCTCCGAGAAATTATTAATATTTCCAATACATGTCAATATTTTTTCGTAATAAAATTTTTATAACTTCTTCAAATGTTACTTAATATAGCCTCAAACCTTTAAAATATATGGAAGAATAGTTTTTTTTTTTAAATCCTCGAAAATCGCCCTCATTTTCATGTGATCACACTAGGTAAGCCCCTTAAGCATTTTCGGTACAAGTTCAACAGCGTTTGGCTTACATATCGAGGAGTCAATCGAAGACGCGAAGAGACAGAGGGAGGAGGCGGGATACAGAGAAGGTAATTTTAAATGTAATTTTTATTTAGGCTATGTACAACACATACGTACAATACGTGACCCTTGCTTAAAACTATGTTACGCTCGTCCGGTATGCATTTCCACTTAATTTTTAACTTTTTTTCCTCTCGACACAACACGTGACATGGTGTGTGTATGTGACTTGGATGCGCAAGCACGTGCTTGCTGTGCACCTTCTGTATGTATGTGTGTGTGTGTGTGTGTGTGTGTGTGTGTGTGTGTGTATGTGTGTGTACGATGTGTGTACGTGTACATCCGTGTACGCGTGTGTGTCTTTCATTTAATCTTGTGCACGTATGAATGTAACGTGTGCGATATGTTACAAACTTGTTTTCTCTTTAGGAACATTTCTCGTGGAATGCCGCGAGCGATAATAATAAGGTCGCAGCGAAACTACACGAAAAAACAATGCGCAGTCTTCTCTGCGGCTTCATCTTCTCGAGTCGATATATTGATTAGACAGTTATCGAAAAATGACACCAATATTAGACGATTGTTGATTGGACAGACTCCGAATATCACGACTGAAAGGCGCCAGGGAGATGTCGCGGCGAGTCGTAGGTGTTCGAGATGCTCGCGGGCCACTTTGCACTCCACGCACAATGTGTATACTCGCACAAACAAACAAACACACCTGTCTTCAATCTCGGGGAGCTCTCGAAGAAGCGTCGAAGGGTCCAAACGCGAAAGTTCCGCTTTCCGGCTCTCTTTCGTTACGCGGGAAAGCATCCGGACGACCGACGAGCGAAAGAGTAACGACCAACCGATTCGCGATGAACGGGCTGAGGAATTATGTCGGTATGCTTTTTCTTTTCGTTCCTTTTCGTTCCTTTACATTCAGCTGCATTATTGTCGACGATTGATACGATGAACATCCGTCAACGTCCGCCGATCATTCGTCCGAGATAATTATCCCAAAGACAACACAGTCGGTCTCGATCTCGAAATCGGTCGCGAAGCTTCGGCTCGTTGGCACGAATTGGTTGAACGTTACGGTATCAATTACAGAGTAATACGATCGGATGGCGGTCGCTGGGAGTTCAATCCTGGATGTGAGTGAGATGGGCTGCGAACTTTCTTCCGTTTGCTCTTTTATTATAACTTCGTCCAGCTAAGAGAGATAATCAATGGCCTCGTGAGTCGATCGGCCTGTGCGTTTGTCGATCGCCTGGACAGTGCGATCGCTTGCGATCTCACCCCATCTCATTCAAGATACGATTGAGTTAATTAGCCAGGGTGAAGAATCGCAGCGACGTCGACACTCTCTCTTTTTCTTTTTCGACGCAATCAGCAGCCGACGTCGCGCGTTCGATGATCGTGAGTAAAGCAACGTGATTGTTAGCGCGAATCAGTCGATAGATTGCAAACGTGGAAGATTGTTAACACATCTGTTAACACATTGCTATGTATAAATTAATTATTCACCTATCAGCTGAGTGACAGCTGCGCCCGATGGAAATTCCCATCGACTAACGAATTTTCGTTATGATCATTAAATAAATTATTGAATTTTTGTTTGAAAAAATGTGTTTTACATAAAATGTGATAATTATGCTTTTAAAATTTTCAGAAAAATCAACGTGTACAAAATAATTTCATATCATTGGCCAATTTAAGCAAAGAATTGTACATTGTGACTTTGTTACGGTCAAGAATGTGAGCTTGCCGTAAAGTAATTAGGAAATGTGAAAGAGGAAGTTATCATTCATTCATCCTGTGAAACAATATTCCTCGTAATGTGTCGTCTGACTGGTTCTACTTGGCGTCGGATACTTTCCCAGTGTGAAACAGGCTTGAGCAGGCCATCACATACAAATGCATAGGTATATCGTAAGGACGTGCCGACGAGTAAAAAATAACGTCCAACATAAATTGCGTCCAACGGGTGATATACAGCGACTCGCATCGAACTCGTTTCGTCGACACGTCGATACGTTAACACGTTACGCGTATCACATCTCCGTCTTGGAAGGAAAAAATGATACAAATGAACAAATGTGTACGACTTCAGAAAAAGGATTCGCACCAAAAGTATCGTTTATCGACGTTGCTTCGATAACGGTGATGTGTTTCTGAGATAACGGTATTCTGTGTTGCGTGAATGCATGTGTGCGTGTAACTTTACGAAATCTTACTCGTTCTCGTGACACACACACACACACACACATACACACACACGCACGCAAGTGTACTTCTAGATAATATTCCTAAGCCTCAAACGTATACTCGGTTTTATCGCGTTCTTACAAGCGAGATGAGACGAGTGCGCGGCAAGAATCGGATCTTTCTCTCATGTCAATCATGACGGAACGGGGATGCGATATGGATAATAATAATAATAATAATAATAATAATAATAGTAATAATAATAATAGTAATAATAATAATAACTCTCTCTCATGTTAATTCGTAGGCGACGACTTTCTAATCAATGCGGATCAAAGGGGAGTGAATGAGTGTCGACGGACCGAGCATCGCGACGGGGAGAAACCCTGGCGCCCCTCAAATTTCGAACGCAAGACACTGTCGCGGATAACCACCACCATCATCACCACCACCACCACAACTACTAACATCACCGCGTCCCCCCGTTCCCTGTTTATTTAAAATCGTGGTCAACATAAGCACACAAATCAATGCCTAATATCATTCACTAAGGGTATGCTTACACTCTTTTAAAAGGACATTGAAAAATCGCATATGCTAGAGTATCTGCCGATTACGCTCCTCTATGTATCTATATCTCCGCACCCTTATTTACACAGTCCCGTCCCTTTCGCCCACCGATTAACGAAAACGGCACGAATCGTTGTTGAGTAGACTGACGAAGCGTCGCGCGCGAGATTGCGTGTCCCTGGTCCGACTCGGATGTGGCTGTGTACAGGTGTGCGAGGGTGTGTGTGTGTGTGTGTATGTGTGTGTGTATGTGTGTGTGTGTGTGCGCATAATGCTTCCGCGCGTTCTTACGGTACGTTTCCCGATACCGAAGAACTAGTGCGCGAAAAAGAGCGGACACCCGTTACACGTAGAAAATATACGGATCTCGCGACAAATCTCTCCCGCGAGGTGCTCTTACACACACATTCTGTACACGCTTTATAATCGCACAACTCCCTCGCTGTCCGCGAATCCGAGATACAATTTGCACCCTTGAGAGATCGCGTGTATTTTCTCACCCTCTTCCTCTCTCTCTCCCTCTCTTTCTCTCTTTTTTCCCCCGATGAGCTCCCCGTCGAAATTGGCTCGCAGCTCGCATGTTCTTCGTTCATTCGTAACGTCTTTCCGTATCGGTCACGGAAATCGCCACGGATAAGCGAGAATGTCTAATCGCGAATGTGCCAATTAAACAAACTTTGGCGATTGTTGATCAACCTCCGCTGATCAATTTGTATTCAACACGATCGAACAATCCGCAGATCGCAAAGGCGAATTGGCGACGGCTCTCTCATACGTATATATATTCGCCACGTACTGCTGCAGGATTTCTAGAAAGAGAAGGAGGGAAGGAGAGAAAGAGAGAGAGAGAGAGAGAGAGAAAGAGCTCTCTCACTCGCAAGCGAGATGCGAAAACGTCGATGCGGCCGCGCGAACTACTCGTGATAGCCATCACGCAAATCGGATCCACGGTCTCTCCCTTTTCTCTCTTCCTTCTCGTCTGCGAAACGGCGAAACGTTGTCTTTCGATCGGGCTTTGTCGATCTCGTCATTTTAATTGCCTTCCTCCGTTGTCCACTCTCATCGTCGCCTCGCGCTCGGTTCTGGTCACAAGTGTGCCGTATGATTTCTGACGAGATCCTCGAGTCGCCAGCCCGCCTCCGTTTACAATTATGTTTGGTACTGTAACATCGGTGCAGCCAGGTTCGGGTGGTGGGCTGTATTCATTCTCAGAGCCGAGATGCTTTTGTTGTACCACTCGTCCTCCGCTGACATCCCTGAAACCGAGAGACAACGTGTTTTCAGGCAAACCGAACTGCGCTCGCCGTTGCTCAGATCGCATCGACGATTTCGCTGAAACGCGCATTCCTGAGTTTCGCGTGATTGACCTCGATTCAAATCCCGTCAAATTTAAGGGACACTTTACATGCGGTCCTCGGAAAAAGAAATTACCTCAGGATTATTTAATATTCTAGATCTAATTTTCTTTAATAATTCAAAACTTTACATGATTGTTCGCAAAATAGTAGAGACACTTTTTATCGCATTTGACCTAATTTATACATGCACACAAGATTTTTATATGTATTGTCGTACACTCTGTACAACAAATACTTCTTCGAGCTTTTTCAACGTAGAAAAAAGTCAACAAGACTCCACAGCCAGTAGTCGTTTGCAGTTTGACGAAATTTACAGGATCGATGAGAAACCAAAATTTCAACAACGGAAAATACCGCACACTTTTCGCGCTACCTTCATCTGAATTTCTTCGATTGATCCGCAGTCGGAGAGCCGACCGGGCCGCTTCGAGTGTGTTGAAGAAACAACGAACCGTCAACTGGCATCAGACGTTAACCGGTCGGCGTAGCGCGCGCCGTAATGAAATAAATCTGAGTGTCAGCCGCGGCGCGTGAAGGATGCCGACTTCTTTTCTCTCCCCGAAAGAATCACTCCGGGAGTGATTCGATTTGACGACTTTCCGCGGAGCTTGATCGAGTCTGCTGCTAATCGGTCGATTTGCTATCGCATTAAGACGTTAAGTCGTTAAGGAGAAGCGGCGAGAGATTGCGAGCGCCGAAGAGGCGCGTGCTCGTCGCAGTCGCCCGTTCGTTCATTCGTAAGCTCGCAAGCCCCGCCGACAGGCAGGTAGGCAATTCGCGAATAGTCTTGATTCGATTTAAAAGCGATATTCCATCTCGCGCCGGAAATGGTGTAAGACGGCGCTGGGGCGGAAATGGAGAGAGCGTCTTGGAGGAGCCGGCTGGCGACGGAGCCTCTCGTGCACACGGGCGTCGGATTCGCGCCATTTCCGCTCCGGATTTTTGCAGAATCATTCGATAACGTCGGGTCAGCGGCCGAAGACAACGCAGAAAGTCGTCGGCAGAAGAGGAAGTCGCATGGGAAAAGGACGAAGCCGCGTCTCGAGAAGTCGCGTAGAAATTAATTTACACGCCCGTTCCGCGCTCGCGAGATATCTTACGGAGTGAAAAATTGACAAGCGATTCTCTTGAATAATCCGGAATAATCAAAATAAAGACCGGATGTGTCGAGATCAAGCGTCACGATTGAGGCTAATAACGGTACAAGGCTGTTGCGATTTTCTGTTACTGATGGTAGCTGCATGATAGTACACGTGAGGAATTTTATAGTACATATTAATGTGGAATTTTGTGGTCGAGAAGTTCGACATTGTGCCTTAGTTTATTATCCTTTTATTGTACATGTTGTTATTCACAAATATTTTATTATCCATATGTCATGTGCCTTTTATATCTGAAGAATTGGAAGCTTTGCTGCTGGAAAATTTACTATATGCCTTAGCAAGATAAACTCTGATAGTTTTTACGCGTTCCACTAGAAAAACACGGTAAAATTAAAAAAAAAATTGATGTAAAAAAGGCTATAATATTCTTTACGTGTACTATCGCCCTCGTTGACATCGATATTTCTATTATCATCAATGTACCATTTATGACAACTATTGTTATCGGTACACTGTTCGACAACCATTGTCTTCGGTGTGTACTCTTCGGTAAGTACTCTGATCGATATGGTATAGGTATTTTTTATCACTATACCAATATGAGGGTTAACTGTCGCCATTGCGGAACTCTGCAAATTCATCAGTAAGCGTCGAAGAATTATCACTCTTGAAAAATAACTCGAACGAATCTTGCGAAACACTCCAAACGTCGCAAAAGCGTCACACTCGCAAGAAGTTTATTCACAAGGTGAAAATTTGAAGAAACAAACAATAACCGAAGCAACTCAGACAACGGCGACGCGCTCGGGACATTGGAGTTCGCGCGGAGCGACAAGGGCGGCGAGTGTGAGGACCGGCTATATCGATTTTTCGGCGGGGAAGCGAGTTCTCGGCGGTTATCTCGAAAGGAATGATACATCTCCGCGGTATTTACGGGATTACGGGCGTTTGCATAATCCTTGATCCGAATGGGAGTGCGAACAGCGCGCGCGCGCGTTCGCGTGCGTCGCATATTCGCTTTACGCACGCGTTTAAAGCACTGTGTGGCGTTGCATTATTTATGACTCACCCATTGCATCTTGTCGCATACCGGTGACGGCCGACATATTCGACGCTGAATGCGACATGGAGAACGGCTGGGTCATGCTCGGGTAAGACGTTGTGCCCATCTGAAATGTCGTCGTGCGCGATTAATGACGCCGTCTCGCCGGGCGATCTCGCTCGTGACTCGAAAATGCAACGAGGCGAGAGTCGGTCGTCTCGCGAATTGCTCGGTCGCATATCGTTATATCGAAGTAGCGCGACGATAATAACCGATAATCGAGCAACGCGACGATCTCGCATCACCCGCTAAATCCCGCCGTTCTATTCGGCTGGAAACAAAAAGGGGAGGAGAAAAATGGAAAAAAAAAAGAAGAAGACACGAACACGCGCGCGGTGTTAATGTCGCGTATAATTAATTCCCCGTGCGCGAGAGCGTACGAGAGGATGAAAATGAATTCCGCGATATCAATGGAATTACAGAGAGTTACGTGCTCGGTTTGAGCGGCCGAGCTGGAACAACGGAAGGAAAGTAATGCGGTAATTAACGTATGTAAAACATAATTATCGGCTAGGAGGCCGCCTCTTACATTTTCGCTCTCGCCCGGCGCGAGAGCGGGAGCAAGAGCAAGAACAAGAGTGAGAGTGAGAGCGAGAGCGAGAGCGAGAGCGAGAACGCGGGCGCGCGCGCGCGCGCAAAGGATATATGGTTTCATTAGATAAAAATTAACCGCGTAACACGTTCTGTTGAAGCGATGGAAATTAATAATGTGTCGCGGTATCTATCTCCGGGTCGTAATCAATTTTCCAACGGGTTACGTTGCGTTTCTACACACGGAGCGATATCGCGATATATCGCGATTAGCAAACGCGATTATCCAACCGAGATAGAGATCTTTCGTAGCGGGAGGTGTACATACGTCGTCAAACGGTCCTCGCGGGAAATTCTTACGGAAGATTTCACTTCGGACAAAGCGGTGAAAACGATTTCCTCCCTCCCCGGTAAAGGTTGCATTTCGCAAAGCGCCGGACGAAGCGAGATATTCGCTTGGTATCGCGCGACATCGAATTCGCGAGATCGAAGTACGCGACTACACGTAATTGATACACGAGTTGTTTTCTTTTTCGCGGGGGAACCGACACGCTCGCGAATGATTGGCTCAATTAAAGCGGTAGGCATTCGGTAATCCGGCCGACCCAACTAATCAGCCGAAATGCAATTTAGCTATATCGACCGATAGCGATGCGCCGCCGGACGTACGCTCAGGTGCACTCCAATTTAATAGCTCGGTTAAAATCATTAACGAGAAACGCATCGAATTCATCCCTGCGCGACATGCGAACCCTCGAAATTACCCGCATCGTGTTGCATCGAAATTCTTAGATTATTCTTTCTCCCTCGGTCCATCCGTACGAACCGACTTGTGCTTCGTGAGGGTGATCCTTTTTTAGTGTCTTTTAAGCAATAAACGCAACGTAAATTATCGCGAAATCAACAGAAAAGAAGGCGAGAAATTATCTCTGGAGAATTATTCCACTACTAGCGTAACTTTCTGGAAAAATCGCACTCGACTCTTCTTCGATATACGTACTCGTATATATAACAATCTTGTTTATATATTATTTACTTGTCGTAAAATCGCGCGAGGACCGTGTCTTCGCGTTGCGCGTATTGGTGAGCGTGCAAAGCGGCGGGTATCGATAATAATGAAATTTCGGAAGCGTCCTGCGCGTCATAAGGGAGCCTCACCTGGGGATAACGATTTATGCCATTTATGCTGTTGTGAGGATGGGGATAGGGTTGATAACCCCTGCTGGCGCCAGGATAGATATTCCTCATCATGGCGCCTTGGCAGGCGGGAATCGGTGTCAGGGCCTTCTGCAGCTGCTTCTCCTGCTTCCGGTATTTCGCTCTTCTGTTCTGGAACCAGACCTACGGAGGAACGAACAACGGCGAGTGAACAACCGAGCGATCGGGCTGACGTGATTTTTTATTGCGCGCAGCGCGATCAATGGTCGACGGACGAAAGCTGCGGAATCGTGTCCCTGCACCGCCTCTCCCTCCCGAGAGAAAAGCATCGATGACTATAATTGCACGGTGAAGTAATTATAGTGAACCATAAGTTAATCGACTGTTAACCGTACGGCTAATTGAATGCGGTTAGCCGTAGTTCAATTACAGTAATCGGAAAACTACTTTTGCAGTATAGTGTGGGAGTGATAATATCGCGCTCATATTATTCTTACTGCTACTTTTCCGTTCGAGTAACAAAAAGGTATAGCTGATGAAGATGATTATGATTCTAGTGGAATTAACCGCTTCTCTCTTTTCTCTCTCTCTCTCTCTCTCTCTCCCTCATTGTGGAACAATGAATCAGAAACGACGCTATGAAGAGTTGCACGCGAGAAGCAAAATTAATTCGCAAAACAAAGCTTTTGTATTCGGAAAGCGGCGTAATGATGCCATCTGATTTTCTAAAATTCGAAAAACGTTGCGACCAGCAGCAGTCAGTTCTAAAGCGAATTTCAAGTCCGGGAGAGGTGTCGTCGCAATGATTTTCGGGTTTCGTGAAGAAACTCCGGGTTTACGCCAATACGATATCCTTTGAGCGGCAAAAGGTTGATATAGTGCGCGAATTTTTGTATGTAAAAACGATTTTTACTCCGGATAATGCAATACTCGGTCGAGACACGTGTATTCGCAACAAAATGGCGACGAGAGGGCTAACAAAGCAACGTGCAGTGAACGTAGGAACGGATGAGGGTTGCCTGAGCGCGACCAACCCTTAGCGCGATATCGAGCAGAACTCAGCCTCGACGTGAAAGAAGGGCCGCGAATCTCTTGGGCCAAAAAGCGCCCTCATTTTTTACTCTCACCCCCGAACCTTCGGGTCTTAAGTTTACCCCCGGCCTCAGCCGGGGTACCCAGAGTGGTTTACCTATCGCCATTTTGCATCGGGCAATTTCCATTGTTTCGCGGGATTAGTAAACCCATATTGGGGCTTGCCCGAGCCGCCACCGGCGACTCACCCCGGCATCCACACCGGCGCATGTTTCCGCACCCTCAACCTCTCAGCCTCCCTCATCCACCCCCTCGCGGCCCCAACAATCTCCACCCTCGCGCCCCGCCCTGCCGAGCGACCCCTCTTTCCAACAACCCCCAGAAAGAGAAAAGCCTGCGGCTTCTCGGGTCCCGGGTCGGGGGTTGTTTCCACCCTCACCGGTGACGTCACCGGCGCCACCCGATTGGCCGATGCCGCGGCAGTGACGTCACATCGGGCTCGCTCATTGGCCGACACGTTTTATCGACATTTCTACTGTACACCCTCTCTCATCGTCGCAGAAGTGGGTGACATGAGCCAGGGTGGCTCGAACGGGCTTTTCTCTCTCTCCCCCCTCTCTCTCTCTCTTTCTCTCTCTCTCTCTCTCTCTCTCTCTCTCTCTCGCTCTCTCTCTCGCTCTCCCACTCTCTCCCCTCTTTCTCTTTCCCACCCTTTCTCTCTCTCCCTCTCACGCTTGCTCTCCTCTGATCTCCTCTCTTTCTCTTTCGCGCTCTGTATCTTTTCGCCTCGCTCTCTTTACAGCTCTATCACTCTTTGTGTAGAAGTATGGCGCTTCCGAAGAGAGAGAGAGAGAGAGAGAGTGTCTCGTGAAATATCCGCAGCGATGCTCGGATCCGCACGTACCAGCCTGGCAACGAAGGGAAAAAATTCACCGCGTGCTCACAGAGAGATGAGAGAGAGAAAGAGAGAGAGAGAGAGAGAGAGAGAGAGAGAGAGAGAGAGAGAGAGAGGATGGAGGCAGATGGATTTTTATCGTGAGGGCTACTCACCTAAACGTTCATCTCCGCGCGCATTTCCCGAAATCAGTAATATATAACATTTGCACAATGTTAAGTAATTTCGAACTTCTTTTGTATCATCAACTTTGATTGCTTTCGTTTTTAGCCGAAATCGTATCTAATGAGATACTGTAGAGATTCCACAAAACTAAAAAAATTTTTCAAACAGAATCATTCACGAGACGCGCAAGGAAACATGACGAAAAATATGTTAAATACTCAGTGAAATATTTCAAAGCAACAATGAAGCGGAACTATACGAATAAGGACAAACATTGAGTTACATAATCAGAAGTGACGGAAAATTCGCGGACAGGAATACCCGGAGAAATGTATTTACTTTCAATTGTGCTTCTTTTTGTCTTTATTTTGCGCTATTCAATTCGCAGCGGATATTAGTATCGCGAGACATTCTCTTGTGTAATTAAGAACACGTTTAATTGGCACGAGCAATTTTCTGAACGCGCGCGCGTTGCGCGTCAACCCGGGACTCGATTAACTCGTAATGCGGGAAAGAATCCCATAATTGTCTCAACTAATCATCCAGAGGTTAATCATGAAGTAATCCCGATGGCAAATTGTTAATTAACACAGTAGCGGGGCCGAGCGATACCCGACGCGATAAAGGTCGTCACCTACGTTGACGTATCTATCTCATGTCGGTCCATGCCGAAGAGATCAACGCCTAACGCAAGAAATTAACAGTTTATGAGCAGTAGGATTATACTTCCGTTAACAAAAGCGTATTACGCCGACTTCTTATACCTCCTGTGACATCGTCAATTGGCCATTGTACAAATGTTGACGCGCAAATTGCGCGTGTCGAACGAACAGCGACACTGCACTACGTACTTGCACATCAGACGTTGCGTGTACATTTGCAACATTGTGTGTGTTATTGTTAAAATATATGTATTATAATTTTTTAAGCATAATTTATATCAACAATGTGGAATTTATAAGTGGCTTCAGATGCAGTTTATTAGATTTTCCTACGATTTTTCACTTTTCTCGATACATGTAAGATCAAAACTCGTTCAAACATCGTTCAAACCCGGTTACAATGTTGAAACATACGTGACACCTGATGCATCTTATCGAGAGAGAAGGATATTTTTTTCCCGAATAAAACAACTACATTTCAAATATATCGTAGTAATAAAATCGAAAGAACAGTTGGAGGAGGGAGCGAGAAAAGCTCTTCGGAAGAAGCACGACGACGGTGAGAGCAAATGGGGAATGTTTCGTTGGTATATCGAAGATGCCGAGAAGCAAGCTAGTTGGTCGGATAGTTTTGTAGTTGCAATTGGATTTTATTTAGATTATCTTCTAGCCGCTAACTTAGCCGGTATCGGAGGTAACGGGATCGGCGACTCGGTTCCGTTATTAAACGATGCGGTAAAATGGAGTTATAATTCGGGGGAGTATATAACTCGGAGTAGTAGCGCGATGTAGAACCAACTCTTGCTTTCTTGATTGCGTCTTTTTCTTTCAAGCAGAAAAAGAGAGAGAAACTGGACGCGAATGAAAATTATTGATGGTCCAAATTGCGTATACTTTCGAATATCCGCTTTACGATATGGGATTGACAATTTTGAAATTTACGAATTTTGCTCTTGTATTACATGACTACGTCGAATAATTATCGTGAGAAAATGGTGGATTCGTAGTCCGAGCGATAAGAATAAAAGCAGCGTGATAAATTCATATATTTTAATAACGAAAGATCGGCATTGTTGCACAGGAAATTGCGACAAATGAAGTTTTACAGAAATATCTAGACAGAGTTGAACGCGCGCAGAGTAATGGAGTCTTATTTAGATTAAGTTCTTGCCGCGAAATTGGCTGGAATCCGTGATTACCGACCCGAGAGAAACAGAGAGAACCCGATTCGGATATGAAATATTATAGAGAATCGAGACGATTATCAGAACGATGATAATCAGAGTATTAATTCCGAAGTTGAGTCTAGATCCACGTCGAAAGGGGATCGTCCGGAATTCAACAGTCGCAGATTACGGCGTAATTACAGAAATTACCGAGAATGATAATTATATATATATATATATTCTTCTTTTTTAATGGTTTTAAATAGAAATTTGCGGGCAAAGCGAACGTTTTAAAGATAGGTAGGAACGTTCCAAAACTTTTAACAAAGGGCTCGATTAATATTTTCATGATGAGCATACATCGTTCTGACTCACATGTATGGAAATCGTGAAACGTGCGAGGCAAGTCGCATAATCAATCTCAATTCGCATCGGAATTCTCGCCGCGGGGCGATTTGCAATTGCATAAAACACGCTTGGCTTTCGAATAATCCGGTGTTATCTCCATTCGCGGCAGTGCGCGCGAATTACCAGCTTCAAATATATATAGAAAATATCCAGCAGCATTATATTGGCACTCATGAACGTTTCGTTTCTTCCATAATTATAAGACGCGATATATCTGATAAAAGAATTAAAATTTTACAACAAAAGACAGCGCGTATCGTCGGAGATGCCACACTCATGTAATGCCATTCGCTAAAAATCCAGGAAAAAATTTGAGGAATCTGCTTCTCTCCGGGAAAATTTTTCGCGCACCTGCTTGTATCTGCGTTGTGTATGCAAATGACATTGTGTGCGCTTCGTTTATTCAATACCGCGCGTTCATCTAAAATCTAAAACGGAAAATGCCTTTGCTATTGAGAATATCTCTTTGTATGTATATATAAAATATTATACGCGTCTATACATAATATTTTATATATATGTACCTATATATGGTATATATATATATATATATATATATATATACACACATACACATTTACGAACGAGCGAAGCACATTGGCCGAAGAGATCCTTAAAAAGAGTGATTCCTTTTATTTGTTCCTTCTATTTGCTCGTAGAAGAGTCTTTGGAGAACATACTTGCGCGCACTCGCGTCCCTTAAGGCGCGCACTCTGCAAGAAACTGGAAAGCTAAGAGTTCGTAATTCAATAACCGCGCTCTTCTCCTTCCCACGTTCACTCATAGAGAAAGATAGACCGGATAGGGAGAAAGAGGATGAGGAAGAGCGAGATGGCTGTCCCACGGGGAGCGCGGCTCAAAATGTCTGCTACTTTGAGGACTACGACCGAGAAAACTATCCTCCCCGTATGCCTGAGAGAATACTGCACTCTGATAGCTAACCCACATACAAGCCGGGAAAATGGATACACGGATAATGGCTTTCTCGTCGGCTAAAAAGAGCGTAAGACCTGTAATGTAATGGTGTACTGCTTGCGCGCGCCCATTTCGGAAATTATGGACATGGCCGCACATTTCAACGTAATTACGTGATGTAGAATCAACTCCGATTATTCGATCGTTTTAAAGTTAAAAATAAAATTTATTCACGCCGATGCCGCGCCGATAACAATCCGCGATCCGTCGTCAAATCTCTCTTTGAAAAGTAGCATAAAGGTGTAATCAATTTGCGATAATTGCATGTGTGTGTATGTGTGTGTGTGTGTGAATTCCAAATATGTCATAGCGTGATTACGAGATCTAACCAATACACTAGTTTCAGATTTCTATATTTTCCATAGTTGAAAAATAACGGTAAATATCTTCGTTGTAAATATCCGAGCTTGAGCATTTTAAGATGTCTCACAGGGAAGCGAGAAAGTCATTAACGTTCAATTTTCATTTATTTTCAAGATTCACGTGAATTACTCATTATGATTGCGATTACATAGACCGCGATACATATTTTTTTTTGCAAACGCGGAAAATCGAGCATCACGATCGAGAAACTCGAGGCATCCGTCGGGGGTTTTCACTGCCCCCACAAATTTCCTTGTTTCCTGCCGGATAGGAGGACGATTTTCTCGTAGAACGCCCCGTAGGTAGGCTTCGATCGGAAGTCGAATCGAAGTAAAAAGGTCGAATGAAAACTCGGCTAACTCAATATCACGGAGAGAGCTCAGGCTTCTCCTTTCTTTTTCCTCGGCGTAATGGGATTTCTTGTGCGGTGATTCGAGAATTATTCTCTTACCACGGTGTTACCCGATTTTTCACTATTATTATCATTACCGTCACGATCTCCATCTCGCGATCTCCTCACGTGCGGACAATGTATATATATATATATAATATACACCTGTAAAATTACACCGCGACTAGCCCTCTTTTGATTTGCACAATCGGCGTATTCGCTAAATGAAAAACACTTTCTCTCTCTCTCTCTCTCTCTCTCTTTCTCTCCCTCTCTCTCTCTCTCGCACTCGCTTCGACCAGATTCCCCTTTATCCTGCTTTACTGAATTTATTCGCGCGCTTGTATATGTATACGGAGGCGGCGCCATTACATCTTCCTACCGAGTTTCCTGCAAACCTCACTCGAAACGACATAAACGGACGGAAACGATCCTGCGCGAGACGCACCGCCGATGTTTCGCATGGAAAACGCTCATTCAGCGTGCACTAATATGCGTTTGCGTGTTTAGCGAAATTGCAAATCGCGCGGCACACGCCATCAGCAGCGAATCTACGTGGAAACCGATGAAATTGCAGCTACTACTTTGTCAAGAGGCGCTGCGAGATATGGTCTTGTTTGCAGACGTTTATCTCAATTAGTTGCACACGTCATAAAGCAAGAAAGATGGTTCAAAGTTACACACTTTACTCTAGCGACTTATGTTATAATATTATTAAAGCCCGTAATTTAAAAAATATAAATTTACACACCAAGTACGTCTTTTTATTTTTTAATATTTTTTCCTTCTCTAACGTTGCCTCGACGAAATCACTAAAGAAACAGTCTCGGTACGAGTCGCCTCGAGATTCCATTCTCGCGCACATCGCTTCAATTTCGAGTCGCTTATCGCGTCGAAAGAAATTGCAATAACGGGCAGTGAGAAGATGCGAGATTCGAGGAGCGGAATAGATGTATTTTTTAGCAACCGATTGAACGATGTCGCGAATATGGGAAGAGAGAGAGAGAGAGAGAGAGAGAGAGAGAGAGAGAGCGAGTCGTCCCTTTAAAAGCTCCCGCGCTAGTCACGGCATTCTGTTTCCTCAAAGATAGCGACACGGGCCGTGGAGGCGGCGAGGACGAGAGAGAAATAGACGACGAACGAGGGTGGCAAAGTTGAGATGAGTTGGGCGCGCAGGGGGTTGGGTGACGCTGTACCGGAGGCTGCCATTATATCTGAGCCGCCATTTTAAATTGAATTTTCTCCACCCTAGATAGATCTGAAACGTCTCAGGCTTGCCTGGCTCTCGCTATTCCTTCCACTACGAGAGCGAGAACGAGGAGATGGCGTCGGGAGAACCGGGGAGGTTGGGAGGAAGAACGCTCCGAGGGGAGAGACGAGAGCCCCCTTTCTTACACGGCCGCCATCCTGCTTTTTTCTCGCAGCGAGAACCCCTGTTTTGCGATGGGACACGTAAAGCCGAACCAAACCGGCTCCCCGCCCGCGCCGTTCTCGGGGCTGTGACGAAATTTCAGTGTTCGCATAGCGAGACGCTAGGAGGGTGTGTCTTTGAAATTCGAGCGGGTGTTACTTTGCGCGACGCGTATTTCTCATCAGGATTACTTCGGACGAAATAGACACGCGCTGGAAATCGGGTTATAACGGGAACATCGTTACGCGCGCTGCAACTGTCCTCCCTCAAGCCCTTCTTCTTGTGACACGCGTGTCGCTCGGGCGATCTCGTCGCTCTCGTAACGCGTCGCGCTCGTAAAAATCAAAGAAAACCGAAGAAGCGAACAGCTGAGAAATGTCTTAAAAAAGCGTTGAGTCGAATGGCCGTAGCGTATGCTTCTCCTTTCCCTCTTGCTCTACGATGCGATACGGACTGCAGCGGAACGTTAGCGTTCACCGAGAAAAAGTCGCGACTAAGAGATTGACCTTCGAAGGGGCACATTCTAAATCTCATTTCCGGTGTGTATCGTGAAATTCCACTTCCCTATTGAAGGCAAGGCTGGACTCTCTCCGCAGAGACCAAAGCACGTTTACCGCGGTAAGAAAGCGGTCGGGAAAGGTGTACCGGGGGCCGAGGAGAGCGCTCAAAGCTGGACGTGGCGCGGAGGGTGCAGCCGGAAGCAGCCAAAACGCGCAAACCGATGACGCGAACGTTAATTACGGCGCAAAGCGCGCTTCGCCAGGTTACAGGTAATTGGCCGATTCTGGGGCAGCCGCGGCGGAAAACCAGCGACTGGAAATGACATTTAAAACTGCGAGCCGCCCTCTCGCTCGCTCTCGCTCTCTCTCTCTCTCTCTCTCTCTCTCTCTCTCTCTCTCTCTCTCTCTCTCTCTCTCTCTCTCGCCCTCTTTCGCGTTTGAGGTCGGGAACGGAACACAGCCGACACACAGGGGCCAGCTAGCCAGCCAGCCAGCCAGCCAGCTAGCCAGCCAGCCAGCCAGGCAGCCGGCCGGCCGGCCGGCCGTCGTCCCCCTCGTGCGGAGTTGTGCCGTGCTGTGCGCGCCTCCTCCTGACGCGCGCGCGCGCTCGGACACTTTGTGCATCGGTTATAACCGGGCGAGCGATGCGCAAACCGCGTTTTACTTGGCATCGCAGTTTAACAGGGTTAAGTCGCGGCGGTTCCCGGGCTTTTAACTCAAACAACACCCCGCTGCATTATATATCAAAAGAGCGCAACGCACCGACGACTGTTTTAATATGTACCCGCTCGCTCGGAATTCGAGGCCGTAACGTGCGCGCGCCCGCTACACCGACGAACCCCCTTGACGTTCCCTCGTCGTCACCACCGCCGTCACCACCACCACCTCCACCCTCAACCTCCGACCGTTCCTTTCTCTCACTCCCTCCCCCCTCCTCCCTCTCTCCCTCTCTCTCTCTCTCTCTCTCTCTTTCACATCGTCGAATCCTCCATCTTTAATGTCATCGCAAACCGCACCACTGTCGCAAGACTCGTTGATGTGCCAATTTGCTGTTTTAATACGACGTATTAATAAACATAACACGCGAATGCCACGTTCATGCCGTCTGAATTTATCGTTCGGCGTTCGCGTAGGCCTCTCTCCGGGCCTCTCTCGAAAGAATAACTGCGTGCTTGCGTGCGTTGGTCGAAAACGTCTACTCGGTCCCCTCTAATCGATTCCACGACCCTCGAAGAATACAGGGTGTCTTGCGCCGACATTTGCGACCGTAACTTGATTTCGTCGCCCCACATGCGTCTTTGATTCGATTACGCAATGAGTCACAGTCAAAAAGATAGGCCGGGGATAAGTGTACGTACCTGCCCTATCTTTTTCGAGTGGCGTCGGCCGAACGTCGCTTCGGCGAAGCATCGCGTTGATAATGGAATATAAAATTACCGATCTACCCTCCACATGAATATATACGAGCGCGCGTTGCGTTTTAAGTACGAAGGGCTCGCGAAAGTTCGTCGATGTCTCCACGGGTCTCCCAGAAGATGAGTGATTTCGTGGACACGTTGTCGCATGCGTCATTTCCTTTGATAAGAGAGAGAAGCGCGCGTGGTGAAAAATCCGACGCGCTCTTGCGATGTCAGAAATGGTACGTCGAAATTTTGACGATTATTCTCGCGTCGCGAATTAAAATCACGTGAAGTGTCGATTGCTAAATCGAGCGGCTCTCTTATCTGACGTAGAAAAGCTGTTACACACAAAAGCGAATGAGACAGCCCGTTGTTCGCGAATCCAGTCTTTCGAGCTCGAAGCGCCGAAAAACCGCTCGTTTTCTTCTTCTGCCGCAGAAGCGCAGAAGCGGCACGTTACTCACCTGAATTCTGGCCTCGTTCAATTTGGTGGTCCTCGCTAGCTCCTCCCGGCAGTATATGTCCGGATAATGAGATTTTGCAAACGCTGATTCCAATTCCGCCAGCTGCTCCTACGAAACAATTGGAGAGCCGTGGTAAAGGTCGATTTCAACTAGCCGGCAGGAAATTTCGACGCGATACGAAAGAGTGGAGCTAATCGAAGCGATATTGTGCGAGTACTTGGAACCTTTTACCACCTCGAAGAGGTATAAAACGCGTTTTCCAAAGAATCTCGTCGGAGGAAAGCGAGAGAGGAGCAAATTTAACGTTATTTGCGCCGAAATTGAGTAGCTTTTATATTATGGTATAATACGATGTACTTTATCCGCACGTAAACGCACGCAAGCCGACATGTTTTATATTTTGCTAAACATTTATGTTAATATCAAAAAGTGTTACAGAGCAATTAAAAATTACACGCACAATATTACTACGCCGTAAACGTGCGCGAATCGAACCACGATTCGACGTTAAATTTGGTTTCGTTGCTCAAATGTACAATTGCGTTGCGCAAAAGTAATACAGCGTTTCGAGATTCGTGACACATCGCGTGTTGACATTGTGTTCCAATCTGAAAACTAGACTACCAGCAGCGTCGCTGTTTAGACACTCTCGTACAAACCTGCGTGAAAGTAGTTCTGTGTCGCCGTCGGGCGGGTGTTGGACAACTGGCTGTCGTAGGTGTGTGGCCAATGTGAGGACTAGAGGCGCAGGGGTCGGGCTTTAACTTTTTAAAAGCGCCTTCTACGCCTGCAATAAGAGAGGAGCGCGGTTTTAACGCTTTCGCAAAGTTATCACGACGATGGACATTAATCTCTGCGGAAAAAGTAAGGACGCGTGAGTCGTGTATCTGTTGCGTGTCAAACCGCAATAACGTTCGTATTGTCGATGACTTGTCGGATAAATTTCAATCTTGCCGACACGCATTTGTATACATATATTTACATCATGTGTATGTATATGTATATGATGCGTAATTGTATTGCAATTATTTCATAATTTCATAATTCGAATTACACTCGCCGGTCGCGCCCGTAAAGTGATTTAATGGCATATTAATAGCCGTCATATTAAATATATATTTAATAAAAAATTGCATGTCGAGCACAGATGTACAGAGAACGTAGATAGACACGACAACAAAAAGGACAAAAGAAGCAAAAGGAAAGGATGCGATTTGTAAATAATTTATTTTGCATAACGCGCGTGCGAAAAGTGACGGGTTATCTCGCAACGATCATTCGCGGTCAATGGTGAAAAAATCGCAGCATTTTTCTCTCGATGAAATTCAGGACGCAGCCGGCATCCGAGAGGAAAATTTATCTTCTGAGAATTGCTAAAAGACAAATTCTCTTATTGGATACGAAACTCTTATTGCGTTATGAAACTCGTGGAAAAAATAATGTTGCGCTGCTGCAACTAACTGCGCAACATTTCCTTCCTCCTAAAACGATTCATCAGATATGAATGATACCAGAAGGAGAAGGATATAATAAAAGAAGCCGATATAAGAAGAAACTCACGAGCAGAATTTGCATAATTTCACAAAACGTCCCGCAACAGTTGCTTTTGCTTCGGAGGAAAGAAGCGAGTAGGATAGACATCGATGAAAGTATGTCGAAATTTAGAAAGTATGTGTATGGGACAATTTCCTGAAAATTCATAATACCGAAATCCGAATATCATAATTCCCGAAATTATTTATTTATTATTACAACCCAGCAAAGTGTGCTCAAATGGTTAGATATTAACAAACCTGTGTGTGTAACGCTTCACTATGGACAAAAATTCCTAGAGCGCGGTTGTGTATTTCGCAAAAGTTTCCAGATATTGTTCCGGTATGCGGAATTCGGTTTTCACGACTTCCCGGGAAATCGTCGCAGTTTTCGAGTTTCGACATTTTGATTTTTCGGAACAATGCGCGTCCACAGCAGAGAAAGCTCCGGCGAAAACTCGTTCACCTTGACGCCGAGGGGCCCGCGAACAATTCTTTCGTCGCCGCGTTCCCCGGGCTCGAATTACCCCGTGGCGCATTTTCCGTGAGGTAACGCGATCAACAAACTCCGTTAACGATCCTCATAACGCACTTGACGCGGTCAGCTCGCCCTATCTCCCTTCGTGTTCGCCGTATATTGTCCGGTTGACCGTTAGACGGTCGAGAAAGAGGCTCAGGCCGGCGGAGTCACGGGCGTCGCGTCGCGTCGCGTCGCGTCGCGTCGCGTCGCGTCGCGTCGGAGCGGCCGAAACTCGATTTCCGGTATCGCTTTCATCGCCGGAAAATTCGATATTCCACGGAAGGCGCGATTCACCGAACTTTCGACCTCCGCGCGAGAAGTCCATGACCGCCGCCGCCGCCGCCGTCGCCGTCGTCGTCGTCGTCTTGGTTGCCGCACGGCGATACGACGCGGGTGCGACGCGACGCGGTGCGGCGCGACGTCGCGACGCCCCGGCTTTATGAACGAACGTAGGTAGAGAGGTACCTCTACCCAGGTTGCACGGTCCCGGGGTAAGCGTGGCGAGCGAAGTCCCTCGCACTATGCTAACTTGGTTAGGGCGTTAATGACCTAATCATGTTACATGCTGATTCAATGTTCAAGGATGAATGCTGTCCACTTTACATACCTTGCCCGGTTACCCGGTGAACGAGGAAACTCGGTCAAGTTCAGCGAAGAAGGCGAAGGGCCTCTCTCTCTCTCTCTCTCTCTCTCTCTCTCTCACTCTCTCACTCTCTCGTCAGACGATCCGTTTCCTTCTCGATCGCGAGTTACACTTTGGCGTCATTCATTTGCTTTTTCTTTCGCAGCGTGAACTGTCTCTCTCTCTCTCTCTCTCTCTCTCTCTCTCTCTCTCTCTCTCTCTCTCTCTCCCAAGTTATGTACTACGTTAAATATTTCATTATTCGTGTACATATATTTTTTACAGCCAGTAATTAGACGAGTAGCCAATTAGGACCAAAGAGGTTAACTCGCAAGGAATTGAACAATTGTTTATTATCCAATGCAATTTTAGCAATCAACATCTCGCGTTGGGTCTTATTGGCTGTTTAGTTGGTTGAACACTCGAGAGCTTTGTTCATTTTTATGTTCACCGTTGTGCCTTTCCAAGTTTGTTTTTTACAAAGCATTTTTAGTGCCGGCGACTTTTTCGAGCGTTAACTACCTATTTCGCGGACATTCGGGAACACAACGGATTTACAACGTATTTCGGAATGTTATTAAGAGGAATATAGAGCTCATGGTTTCCGCGATTAATTCGATAATAGGCGAGAGCGAGAGGTAAGAAGAATAAGAAGGTAAAACGGGAGGACGGAACGAATCACCATCGAACGCACGACGATAAATGATGTCGCGCAATTAAATTCTAAAAGTTGTGATAATGCAAACTGCAAGGAATTCTTTGTGCCATTAAAATTATATCCCGTTTTAACGCAACACAAAGCTTGTCCTAATTTTTCCGCGCGCTGCTATAGATTGAAACGGGATTTTCATAAATGATACGAAATGAAATTAATGTCTCATAAAAGGTATCGGCAAAAAAATGTTTTCCGGGATCTTTATGACAGCGAAATGAATTTTTCCCATTAATTCGCAGCATGTGACAATGGGATATCGACCCATTAACGTAACCTCCCTGTGACTCTTTATTCTTTTGTATATTCCGCGAAATATCGTTACGCGCACTCTTCAACTATTGTTCGATACGAACTTACAAATTGCGGCTTCGTAATCTAATTTCGGAAGTCGAAAAAAAAAAGTTTATTACTCGATTGTAAATCTAGACTCGTGGAATATACTTGCGCCGCGTTGTTGTTTCAATTTGTTCAGCATTTGAATTCGTTTTTATGCAATTACGAACTTTTCGATTGCAGAAAATAGGCAATTTGCAATCGCCAGTTTTTCATCTTTGACGCAAAAATCCGGCCGAAAATTATATCCTTACGAATTACGCCTGTTAAAGCGAGCTCGCTGCGTGCGTCCGCCGGGAAGTGGAACGCGCTGGATGTTGTTAGAATCTCGGCAAATACCTCCCTTACCGCCGCTACCACCGAAGAAACGCGAATTGCTAAAACCGTAATTAGAGGCGCGATAGAGGAAAAATCGGTCGCGAGTAGTTTCCCGCCGGGAAATCCAAAAGCTCGTCGTTTCGTATGTTTTCTTCCCGCAACGCCGCATGGAGTCGCGGGATTGGCAAAGTCCAGCAAAGAAGATGTCGTCGGCGACGCGAAACGGACGGGACGGACGGTAGTCCGCGCGGCCGATTTAACCCTTTGTTCGGTGAGCTTACGAGCTGTTCGCCGACGATCTCGAGAAAGGAACGCACACAGGAAGAGGAGCATGGCGGCCGAGAGGGGGTGTGCGATTACGGACGGTGCTGTGCCGGCGAACATCTGCCCCCGCAAATTTTCGACGCCGTCAAGGGGGCCGAAGGGTAATTAGCAGCGATTTTAACGAGGTGACACGAGGTGCGCGACGAATGACACGATTTACAGGATTACCGGTAATGCGGATCGCGATGGCCTTCGACCTGCAGCTGCCATCCGCCGGCATCTGCTGTCACATTAGAACGTATTATCGCCGCGTGAAGAGTGATACGCGCGATCGCCGCTTTTGTGAACGTGTGTATGTGTGTGCGTGTGCCGTTCGCTTGATTTATTTTCTCCGCGCGACAGTGAGCCGCAAGAACTCATTGGTTTCGCTCTAACTCGACGGTAACGAGACGAACGTCGGGCAACGGCGGCGGGGCGGGCTCGCAAATTCTCCCAAAATGTCAAATGGCGAGCGGAGACCGCGCTCGCAATTTTAGTTTCGTCAAAGGACCTCCTGCGAGAATTCCGCTGGGGCAAACGTTTCTGGGACACTCGGCACGATCAACTATCTCGAGCATAAATTGTCATTTGCAGCTGGCACTCTTGGCGACTCTCCGGCGTGTAAAATATAGAGGATTCTCGCGCGCGTTGTACTTGAATTTGGACGAAAAGCCTTCGCGAGGAGGCAAACTTCATCGTGACAAGACTCTCGCGGCAGGAGTCGCGAATCACGGTACACGGCAGCATTTCACGCTGAGGATCCTGCATTTCGATAAGAATTCATACCGATGACGCGCGAGACAAATTTTGCTTCCGTTCATCCTCCGCGCCTTCCACTCGGAACAAATGGAAATTCATTCGAAGCGATCGTGAAAATGCCGCCGCTCTCTCCCTCTCTCTCTCTCTCTCTCTCTCTCTCTCTCTCTCTCTCTCGGAATCGCCTCGAGTGAATGTTTTATTCGATTGGAGCGCGAATTTGCTTCTCTGACGATGGAATGCGTCAGATTCGCTCTTCAATTTCGAGTGAAAATATTCGCTCGACGACTCAAAGCGGAGAGATTCGCTCGGTGTCGGATGGACGATCGCTCGAATTCGAACACTCGGCTTTTCGAGCGGGGTCTTCGCTGCAGGAAATGCTGAGAGTTCGACCGACGCGACGCCGGGGCGACCGACGGGGCTCGCGCAACAGGAACGAGAACGCGCTCCTGTTTTAAGGAGGACACGGGAGTCGCGCGCGCGGAAGACCGTCGCCCGAGTACTTTTAATACCCCGGAGAACCCGCGAGGGGGTTAACGACATTAATTTTTCCCCAGCCCTCACTCCCGCCGCCCCGGCGCACCGCAGCCCCGCGCCCGTCCTCGTTTTATTCTGCTGCCTCTTTTTCTCCCTGCCGTCGCGAGGCGGCTCGACGCGCTGTTGGATTTTCATTTGCATGAGAATCCCGCGGTAGTCTCATTTCGTTTCCGGGAACCCTGACCTTGAAGGGTGCGGCGGGAGCGCCGGGATATCGCCGTTTGCAAATCGGCGCCACCGCGTGAAATTCATTTTCGAGCATAATAAGGCCGAAAAAATTTTAACGACCGCCCGCGCCCGGCCGACCTGTTGAACTCCGTGTTTATCGAGCAGTCGTGTCCTTCGCGTGGAAAAGTAAGGATGCGTATCGAGAATTCCTTGTGGATACACTTAGGGTCTGTACCTCATCGCGACGCGACCATGTCGCGGTGTCTTCGTGCGTATAACAATTTCAAAGATCGATCGGAAGATGATTGTCTCATTGAAGCTGCATTTAATTTCTCTTTCATGCTGACATGGAGAATTTTTAATAGACGAGAGGAATTATCGCAGAAATCGCGGTCGATTTCTTACGATTTTGGTGTGATCCTTTTCGAACAATTTGAGAGAAATATTCGGAAACGATCGATATGATAAAATTATTACACGAAATAAATGATGAGTTATCGTATATGATGATACAAGTCATCTAATCAGAATTGCGAATCGTGCAAATGAAAAATCTACAGGACAGACATCTTCTTCGCGTTACGAGAGGGTCGTCATTTCTAGGTCGTAAAATCTTGGCGAAAATGACGCGATAATTCCGCAATTTAGACAAGAGCGAGTTGACGTTTCGAGCATGTCGAGGCACACGATGCGAAATGCGAGTCGCGATACAATGACAGAAAGGGCGTCGAGGACGAGGAGTCCCTTCGCTTCCGAGTCTTCCAACCCATCGAAACTGGGCGCCAGACTTGTCACTCGTTCGAGCCCTTGTCCGACGTGTCGTGCCCACCCCATTAGCACACCCCGGTGGGCTAAGCTCTCTTAAGCCCCACTGGCACATAATAATAGTCCATAGAACAGGTACCACCATATGTCTGGCCCACCCGACCCATTGTCAACACTCCGGGCTGGTCGCGAACGCGTGCTCGAGACTCAACAAGCGGAAAATACGTCTATCTCGAGATGACACGATGTCCATTTTTCTTCCGGCACTGATTAACGGCGTAAATCAGGACGTGACAAGCTCGTCGACGGGAAAAGCCGTCGAACCGTGTCGCATCCAGTGTCGCGTTCGAGGTGCAACTTGGTCGTGAGTTCTATTCGCGTTGCTCTGCCCAAGACTGCAGTTCGTGCGTGAAAAAAAAAACACCGAGATAATGCGCTCTACTTTCGATGTCATTATTAGAAAATCAACCGTCTCAGCGATCTCGGTCTATGCGACATCTTCTCGCAGTGTTCGAGAAGGCGTTTGCCGCGCTATCGGTCGATCCATTTGTAATGCGCGAATGAGAGATCAACTCTCGTGAACTTGTAGTGAAAAAGCCGGTCAGACGGGGGTCGGACAAAGTCTCTTTCGTTCGTCAAGTAATAGCAATTCTTGGACAATAATACGACGAACGTGTCCCTCGATGATCAGTTAGATAAGTGTGGAAAAGCCATGCCAGTCCTCGCAACGAAAGAAGCGGTACTACGCTCAGCCAGAGTCTGACCTTTTCTGCAGTGAAAGAGGCGACTAAGTCTGCTGACTTGTTCCACTCGCGGAGTGTGATAACTAGTGCTCGAATAATAATATCACGAGCACATCAATGTCCTCTGCTGACCGTGAAAGAGCCGTGGAACAAAGCGCTAGTCGCGCGACTTCGCGGAAAACCAAGAGCGAAAGCAAGTCCGATTTGTTCTGCGCTCAGGCGTAATGATAAGGCAAAAGTAGAGCTCGCTAAAGTGAGATAAGAGCGCGTTTCTGCCGTCTTGCGGGGCAGATACTCGGGGCAGATAACGACGATACTCACCGACACTGGCGGTGGCCCCGACGCTGCTTCTGCCTGGCGTGGCGGCGGGCGTCGGCGGGCTCGCCTCGAGGCCCTGATGCACTCCGTACAGGCCGAAGTCCTGCTCATTGGAGCTGGCGCTGCTGCACTTCCTCTTCTCCTGATTGTGATTGAGGTGGAAGCTGTCGTTCTCGACCAGGCCGACGCCGAGCAGACCCAGATTCGGCCTGAGCTCGTCCATCAGCTTGTTCTGGCCGCAGTTGGCGGCGGCAGCGGCGGAGAAGTTGAGCTGCCGGCTGAAAATCGCCGGGAAGATGTTGAACTGCTGATGGTCGAGGCTGAGGGCGGTCGTCGGCAGGGACGAGCCGCCGCCACCGCTGCCGCCGCCGCCACCGACGGAGGTACCACCGACGGAACCGACGCCGCCCGCACCGGGTGCCCCGGTACCTCCGGACAGGTCGTTAGCCAGGGTGATGCCGGGGTGACCTGGTCGAGGTCGTTCGTATTGGAAGCACCTGACGCTCTCTCGACCGTCTACGAAGACATCTTCCGACGCGAGCTCTTAATGAGGGCGCCCTGCGTCCGCGTTGCGCACGGTATTATCGTTGTCTTCTTCTCCTTCTCTTCTTCTTCCTCCTCTTCTTCCTCGAGATCGACGTAGCGAAAGTGCCCCGTGGAGTCGTTGAGAGTACCCGAGCTGTGAGGAGAGGACTCCTTACCCTCCGCCTCTCGGATTCTCGGTGACTTCAACGAAGGGCTAGAGCGTAAGTCGCGGACGGGTGTATTCTTCTCCCAATATTCAATGTTGTTCTCTCCTCGAGGTGAGTTTCGATCTCCGTGTTTGAACGTTTACGTTTGTTAGGGAAAGTACTGTGTCTCGTATCATCCGATATCCGTGTTCTTACGAACTGTCCAAGAACTTGGAGATCAGTTGGTCGATCTTGAGAATTTCCTTTTTCTTGAACATCCTCCTCGTAACACTTGCGCACGCTGCACCTTTGTCGTATCACTGTGTTGTAAGTCGAGGACTTGGACGCGAATATTATCGCACGATGGATCTCGAGCTGCTTTCCATTTGTTGAGTAGACTTCAGAGGTGTCGATAAGTCTCGGGATGATCACGGGCAAAAATCACGTATCGATTTAGCGCTGGTGGATGCTCCGGGGTTCTCCGATAGTCTCTGATAGTCAAGGGCGTGAAGCGCGCGCGTCGGACTCGCAGATGCGTTGATAAATCTCAAGTGAGCCTAGACTCTTCTAGGTGTACGGTACGATGAATCTTCATCGAAGCTCGTCAGCCACGATGAATCAAGCTCACGATAACGGGTTTCTTGACCCGCTAATAATAACTTTCTTGTTCCAGGTCCAACTGACAATCCATCTAACAGTTGTTCGCGTACATCTGAATAGGTTTGATGTCTATTTTGAGAAAATAGTCAAAAACTCTTCAAGTAGATTCATCGATCGCGCCCTTTCAACCGATAACTGCGATCCCTTTGCACTTTCGGCGAACGTAGACACGTTTCTTGGGGTTTTCACTTTTCGGGCGGGGTTCTCCTCTTCGTGTCTCCCTCCGAGGAAGCTCTCGGTGATCTCTTCGAAAATTGTCCAGTCGAGAAATCCAATTAAGAGATGTGTTCTTTTTCTTGAATTTTCTGCTCGCTGACAGCCGTTATGTGAACTCTTTCGCTTCCTTTCTCTCGTTTTTTTCTCTTTTCTAACTCTAACTCTCTCTTCTTCTCTCTCTGTCTCTCTCTCTCTCTCTCTCTCTCTCTCTCTCTCTCTCTCTCTCTCTCTCTCTTTGTTGATATTGCTCCTCGAACAAACAAGAACGCGGATAAAGAGCCAAAACAAGTCCACGGTATCCGAGACTCTAAAAGCTACTACGGCAATCGTCGAAGATACGCGACAGCGGGTGATCTCTACGCGACTCTGGAATTCGGCCGCGATTCAAATCTGATTATCCCGTCGATCCAATTAGAAGGGTGCGCGACCCCCGCGAGGGGGGAGGGGACTCTCGTTCGTCGACGCGCTGGGACCAGCTGGCCTTGAAAACGCGAATATCGAAGTAATTGGCGAGAAATGGCGCGCGTGCAAATCGAACCCAAGAAGTGGCGCGCACCGCGCGAAATGAGAACCGGATAACAGCGGAGGTGACGACGACAACAACGACGATGACGACGACAACGACAACGACGACAACGATAACGATGATGATGACGACGACGACGACGACAACGACGACGACGGCGGCGGCGGCGGCGGCGACGACGACGACGACGACGACGACGACGACGACGACGGCGGCGACGACGACGACGGCGACGACGACGGCGACGATGACGACGACGGCGACGACGACGACAACGACAACGACGACAATGACAACGACGAGGACGAGGATGAGGACAAGGACGTGCACGACGCGCCCTTCTGTCCTTCCTTCCTTCTTTCCTTCCTTCCTGAGAAGGACAACGCGGTGGGAAAACCCGGTGACGACAGGAGCGGAGAGAGCGAGTCAGAGGGGGCGACTGCTCGCCGTGAGTTCTTGTGGGATTCTGTCCGCGAAATGCAGTTATCCCGGTGACTCCGCGCGGGGGTGAGTGAGCAGAGAACGCGTACGAGGGGGTTGCCCGCCTGCCTTTCGACCGTCGTCATCGCTCGTGGTAGGGGGGTTGTTGCCCGTAACCGGTGTGTTGCCACCCTCTCCAGCCCCTGCGCGGCCGCCGCCGACGCCGCTGCCGCCGCTACCCCCCACAGTGCGAGGGCGCGAAGAGAGCGTAGGGTTCGCGCCGGATTGGCCCGGCGGAGGGATGCGTCGCCCGGGCGACGACCAACCCTGCAGGTCGCCGCGATGTCCGCGTCGTCCCCACCGCCGCCGCCAACATGGCGGGCGTACCAATAAAAATTCCTCCGGAAAATAGCCTGCGAGCGATTTTCTTTCCGGAGCTACCAGCGCGTTGTAGCGCTTTTCCGACGACGCACACGCTTCGTCCCAGTCACCAATACGCGCCAAGGGGATACACCGTGGAAGTCCCTCCTCCTCCTCCTCCTCATCCTCTTGCACCATCCTCCTCCTCCTCCCCCTCCTCCTCCTCCTCCACCACCACCACCGTGCTCGTCATCATCGTCCTTCGCGTTCCGCACCCTCTCGCCCTGTTCTTCTGTTCTTCTCTTCCCTTCTCTCTCTCTCTCTCTCTCTCTCTCTCTCTCTCTCTCTCTCTCTCTCTCTCCCTCCCTCTCTCGTCTCTTCTCTCCTCTCCCTTCTCTCTGTCTCTCCCTCTTTCTTTTCCTCTCACACGCGACCCTTTTCTCCTCCACGCGCGCTGCTCTCGTCTTCGTTTTTATTATCTCGCGGCAGATAGCTTTTTTAATTCTTTTCCCCCTTTTTCGGGATTTGATTGTAATGTACACCCACGACTGTGACCCACCTGCGTGCCGCGCGTATACAGCCGCGCGCCGCGCGACGCCGGTGCATCGTTTGCGCCGTGAGGTGCATTCGGCCCGGCGCTAAATGTCTTTGTGTACCTCACGCGGCCCGGCTTTTCCAGAGGATTTGTAATTTGGAGACGCCTTCTATATATCTTTTCGCGCGGCGCCCCTTTGTCCGCGCGCGAGAGAGCGCGCTCGCTCGCGCTTTCTCTCCTTTTTTTTTGTCGCGCCGCGGTAGATTGCGTTTGTTGATTTCTTCCATTTTTCGGGCTTCCCTGTCAAGATCGCCCGCTCGTGTTTCGACCGATCGGCTTTGCACGACCCCGTGGGGGCCGCTAATTTTATTTCTGAGATCTAGACGCTCTAGTTATTGGTTGTGAGCGAGAAACGATTGGAAACGATGGTCTTCGTGGCTATGTGTATTGTGTGCCCATTTCTTTTATCTCAACATGATATTCGCGAAAATGCACAGCGCGATTTAATATCTCGCGGTTCATCTTGTTCGACTGAAGGAAGTGGTCATCTTCGTCATCTCATGGTCACCTCCAACTTACAATTAAGTCACCCTTAACACTTCGAGGGTGGCTGACACTCAAAGTCCCTCGTAATCTTCCGGTTTCGGCCACATAGATGGCCGAACCGGTACATCGTCAAGGAAGTAAAAATATTGAGTAATAAATCGAACGAGCAATATGGCACCCCCTAGTCGATTCGAATATCGAAAACGTAAAGTAAACGAACAGATTTGTAAAAGGAGAGTGGCAGAGGATTAATGCGTCGCGGAACGAATCGTCCGTCGTCCCCCGTTCGCATCGACAAGGAGAAGATTAATCCGATTGTACTCGTTCCTCTGAAATTAGTCAGCAGATGAAACAACATCGGTGTAAGTCGTCGCGGTAAAAACTGCCTTACGTGACAATTATGTTGAGTAGCACGGATCATCTATTTCATTCGTGCGCGTTCGCGATCTTCTCATTCTCATTCCGACGTCCCTGCGCGATTTGCATCGTCATAGCTGTCGGCATTTCCATTTTCATTTCTGGCTTTCCTTGCGCCAGGCTACCTTCGCTTTGTCCCACGGTGGATATCATTTTTAAGTCCCCCACCGTCTCTCGCAAGCACGGCCGCGCGCGCTCTCGCTCGTTCGCCTTTGTATGTTCCTCTGCTTTCTTCTTCTTCTTCTTCTTCTTCTTCTTCTTCTTCTTCTCTCCTCCTTTGTCTTCTGTTCTCTCCTTTCTCTCCCTTCTTCTCTCTCATTCTCCCGCTCCCTCTCTTTTTTATTCTTTCTTTGCAGCGCACATTTTCTTTTCTCCCGCGACGCGACGGCGGAATATGCGCGCTCGCACGTCAGACGCAAAGCCGTCCCTTGCTCTTCGATTTTCCGCGAATCCTTCGTCCTTGCACCCTCTTCGAGGCGTCTCCGACGAGGAATACCGGGGGAGAGAAAGAGAGAGAGAGAGAGAGAGAGAGAGAGAGAGAGAGAGAGGGAGGATCTCCACGAACGCCGCCGTGGGAGATCGATGAGCGCCGCTCGAAATCGAAGCAGAGCGGAGAGAAAAGAGAGAAGCGGACAGAGAAATGTAAAGTTTCCGAGAGCTCTCTCATCGGGAGCTCGACCGACGTCTCCGAAGTTGCGCGGCGTGCCTTTCAAAGGCTCGGCAAGCCGTTTTCACTGAACTGGCAAAAGTCGATTTAGTGGCTGCCTCGGAAACTAGGTCACCGCCGACATATTGCGTTCCGGTCAAGCGAAAATAAACAATCGCCTCGCGACTTGCAAAGAAAACGACGGAAAAGAAACGGAGAGAATGTTTCTAAAAATCCAACGACTACGAAATAACGCGACCACCGAAGAGTCATCTCGCACATGTCCAATGTCGAATAAAGTGGAAAAATCAAGAACACATTGGAGAACAAAAGCGACGCGGAATAGAATCGTCGAATAGATCTTAACGCATCTCTATAGCACATTCCTCTCGACTCTATTTTCACCCACCGTTTTACATCGATTTTATCGCGTATGCGTGGTTGAGTAATCCAATGTATCTCCCAATGACAACAATGATCCGTCGGCTCTTTTTTAAGAGACCAAAGATGCCGCAAAGAAAAAGTGGCATCGTGCGATTAACATGTCTTGTGCACTTTTTCCATCTCCGTTCCCCCGGCGAATTTTAAACGAATCTCGTGACGTGCGCATGGTCGAGTAATTTAATGTATCTTTCAAAACGGTCCGCCGTCGGATTTCGACGGCTTTGTTAAAAGCCGGCGCCGAAAACGAGAGCGACGCGCGGGCCGCGCGTACGAATCCAAGCTGGCGAATTTTCGACCCACGCGTTGTCGTACGGTGGGTCCAAGGGTAGAGCTGGACAAGGGGGTACCATATCGGCAGGGCGTGGCCGAAATCTGTCACATTGGCCGCGAATAAACTACCCTTGCTGTAAGGAACGATATCGCTGTTGCTCTGTCAAAGATTACACTCGAGAGCGGACGCGCGGGGGATCAGTGTTATCCACGATCATTCTCACTGAGAGATTCGCTCGCGGCGAGATTGATCGATCGGACAGATCGTCTCCGCGATTTGGCATTATACGCACCTCCGTACGCAGCGCCTGAGATAAAATATTTGGAGACACGAGTCGAATTTTAAGTGACGCCAATGCCGATCGCGAACCGCGCACACACCGTCTAAGGCAGAGCGGATGTACGATTTGCGATTTATGTCACATATCATGCGTTTACGAACGAACACGAAATATAATGCGGGATTTGTAATATTCTGTTTTTCATACATTTGGTATTATAGAATTTATGAGGGAATATTGCGTGAAATGTTGTTCCTCGCTTATAGTTAATTTCGTAATTTTTCGTTTCGCGCACGTGTGTTGGTATCTTTTGTATTTATTTTCTCATAGCGTTAGACCCTTATTTGCATACTATTGTTGCAGCAATTTGCGCAACAGCCGAGTGCTGATAAAGATTAAAATCAGTCAGAAATGCACTGCTTATCATAAATATTACGTCTGTCACGTTTCTTATAGCACGTTACATTTTTCTTACCTCGGATCGCAATCTCTTCCCACCCTGTTGACAATGCGATGTTATATTTATGCGAACACGCATATAAATATGTAGGCATTGCACATACAACGTGGCAAAAATGCCCGCGGCATATATATGATGTCACATGTATCTTTACGGTTGTACATACAATATACATGCGCATGTGCCGATAAATCAGCCCATGAAATCAGTGGGCGATTTTCCCATCTAGGCAAAGTACAATTGACACCATCACCGGTAC